TCACAATAATTGGAACTCACACAATTATTTAACACAAACAAATGTACAATCAACACATCAAATGTGGTGGATTCTGCCTTGATGAACTACCCTTGAAGAACTGTAGGACTTACAGCAGTACGCCTACATTCCTTCTCAGGTTGACGCCCTAGGTTGGAAAATCGTCGCAGAGTTCATTTGCTAACTTCCTTCTATGAGCTATATCCTCAAATCTGAACGGCAACACGCCCATGTCATTGTATCGTAGAATATAGATGACGAACAAACACACGACATATCTGGTCAACCAAGTGTAGAAACAGAGTAATTTACACCAAAGATAATAGCATTCAATTAGTAACTTGAAACTAGAAATGCCTTTATTCGTGCAAGTCAATTTAACAATTACTCTACCGTTTACACTTGGCTTATCCTCACTAAACTGAGCAATATCTTTCGTCTTTTCAAACGCACCAATACTATCATAGTCATTGCACAAGATACTTGAGTTGATGAGCGTCTGTTTCATTGTGGATGACAACACCAACGACGACTGATTGATACCAGTTGATGAAATTAGCGGTGGATCAGAATCTGTTGTTGTTAGGCTTTCAGAAAGTTGTCTAACTGCAAGATTACTATCAATTCTATCTCTTATTATTAGCTCCGGTTTAGCACTATCATCTGATGATAGGTGGGCTTCACGCTGATCAATTACACTGACTGTCTCACAAGTATGCACACCTTCTGGAACTGCATCTGCGTTCAATTCTACTTCACGTTCAAGTAGTACAGAACCTTTGTTCAAATCAGCAGTAGTAGGAATTCCATTCATCTCAACATAATCAACCAAAGACAAATCTGCACTATCATGATCATTTCATGAATATTCACTTTACCGTCAAGTTCATCATTTTCAAACTCTTTGTTAACAGCAGTAGACAATTTTGGTTCCTCCTCACGAATCATTAAAGGTTTTATACCTTCACTCTGACTAGTAATACCCTGTAAACTTGTGGAGTAAGAACTGCACTCTGAAGAAGTAAATCTATTCTGTGACACTCTATTCAACAATGGCTTACCAGTTGCAACTACAGACTTCTTGACCGCACCGTTATCGTCACACAATTCGGAGTCAGACCTGGGGTTTACATTTAGCTTATCACTGAACTTCCTTACTGGTTCACAGTTCACCATTGTATGCACCTCTTGCAAACGTGTAAAACACAACCGTGCTTGTCTTGCATCTTGTAACTTATCTGTTGAGGATGTACCACGAAACCTGTTACATTCTTTAGGTCTATGTGCATTACTAGACACCATAGAGCCTTCTCGATAGCCACCTCTCTTAGGCCCTTTCGTCATCAATGATTGCATTTTGCCCTCAGACTGCTCTATTCTAGGGGTGAGATTCAATATACTGGCAAACTTGCTCATGGATTGATTGACACTATTATTTACCAGCTTCAGGATATCATCAAATTTTGGCTCGATACCCTCATCCTCCATACGGGAGCTTATCTTCACCCACTTCCTTTACAGTCGAGTAGGTAGGCGTCTTGCTATTACTTCTAGTATAAACTCGAGTTGAGGTCACTCATGCAATTCATCGAAACCAATGCATTCTTGTAAATCAACAGATTATCCATAAACTCAGTAAGTGCCTGGGGGTCATCCTGTAATTGACCACCATTACCCTTAACAGCCTCGAATAATTTCTCTACAATCATCGAAGGTCTTCCAAACCTTTGACGTAATATGCTCATAGCCTCGTAGTAACCCTCTTTTGGCTTCATAAACTTACTGCACTGTATAGCTCTTGCAGCAACACCAGTGCAACATCTCATCAAATACATTAACTTCATTTCATCATTTAATAAAAAACCACTCAACATGATCTCAAACTCTTTTACAAATTGTAAATAATCAGCCGGGTTTCCATCAAAACACCGTGGTTCAAATTTAGGGAGTTTGATGTTCCTATTATCCCTGAACGGCGAAACAGTAACATCAACCATGTCATGCTTAACATCAGACACATCGTTACAATTAACAGACAAGTCACCATGACTTACTTTCGTGTTTGCATCCAAGACACTCTGTCCCTTCTTTGACCCAGGCATTGTTGAACTTGACCCAATTCCAAAAACGTTCCAGATATTGCTTGTTCAAAGAGGACTTGACCGGCACCAGGAAAGATGAACGGTGACTATCCAAACTTTCACCAACTGTCTGAATCCGCCAAATCTGTTTCTGCCATCAGAAACTGTCAGTCACGTCTCATAAACCGTTAATGCCCAGCTCTTGCTACGCTGGGCCTCACGCTGTCCCTCAAAGCTTCTCAGAAACGCTTAGTAATAACGGACGAAAAACCAAAACACCGATTAACCACTTGAGAATTCTTCATTGTAACACCAACATATAGCTAACTTTAAAATTAAGCTTTAAAACTAAGGTCTATGAACAAATATTACAATAATAAATCACAATATTACTTCTGACGGCCTTGTCCTGACTTCTTTCTGAACAGCGACCGATGAGACGATGACTGGTGTATTGATGCCTGCGCGAAAATTGGGAGAGTTGGTTTTGAGCAAACAACCATGAATTGATCGTTCAATCTTCAATTACCTTGACATCCCTCATTTTTGGGTTTACAAACAGCCAATAAACTAGCCCAAATCAGTATATGTCCGGCAAGGTAGTAGGGCACGTTTCTTGGTAGGTTGTGTTCTCATTTTTCTGTTGTGTTCAACTAGATGTATCATTCGTGTTTAACGTGTGGTCACCTATCCTGAAAGACCTCAGATATAATGGAACAAGTGATTCACTGCTTGAACTAGGCGACACTAATCCGGTGTCCCGACTGTCCCTTGAATCGCTTAAATTAACGCCTTATATATATGTATTACATTTTATTCTAGTATGTTACGAGTGGAACATAGGGCTTCAAGTTACATCTTTGAAATCTCTGCAGCAGTTGTAATTTTGGTGGGGTGGGGCTGCCAGACCATCCTATCCTTTTCACCAGGTTAACTATCATCTAAGCAGGGTTTTAGAATACGTTAACCGGAATCTAATGACGACCACATATTTTTTGGCGAGTATTTTGTTGCTGAACCATCGACACTGATGGCTCCAGAAGAGATCCAACCCTCGAAATTTATGTTGATAATCCATATGGGGGTAAGACATAATATTCGTGGCCGACTATGGACTCATTTAAATAAGGATAACATTGAAGCAGTTTTGATAGCACGATTCAACAGTCACTCTTTCGTTTCTTTACAACTGATTGTCCGTTATATTTTCCTTGATTTAGGTTGAACATTATAATCTCCAGTGAGTTCTCGTCTTGGCTTCGTGATCCACATTAGCAATAGTCTCTTGAAAGAGTGTGGTTATTCACATCATCCATGACAACATGATGATCTATTTAACAAGTGGCTTTAATCTACTTATGGTCACAGTGCGTGAAGATTTAGGTGTGGATCTAAATCATGGCCCGAAGACTGCAGTAGACTGTAGTGCAGAAGCTCGGAAGCTTTTCAAAATATTATTAGATCTAAGTCTAAATAACAACTTGAATTATGCACCCATGGGATTCTCCCCCCTGGGGCATATCGCCTCATCATCTATTATTTTATTGAAAGACTGCATTTTCATTGCTGGGCAACTAAAAAGTTTTGTCAGACGCATCAAACCTATTAACTTTAATAACCTGGAATCGGAAACTTGATTTTAAACCTGAAAAAGTGCAAAGTAGTGAAGAATGCAAGTTATGCTATGTGCAACGACAGCTCCTGAACAACGTCGGAGTGTGACTTAGGTCAAGCTCTAACGGAAAAAGGGACACAAACGTAAACTACACGGGGGACGTAGTGAGGGCATATGTAGTCATACACATGAAAAGTCTGTTGCACTCACTCCTGAGCTATTTCTAGGGCTGTACAAGACATTCGTAAGGCTACGTCTTGAAGTGAACAATGTCATTGCACCACCACTGCTTAGAAGAGACGCAAAACTCTTGAAAAGATTCCAAACATGGACGACAAAAGGAGTGGTTGGTGTCCGAAATAAACTGTATGATAAAATGCTTATGAAATCAGGCCCATTTACACTTAGTAACAGTCGGCTATGGGGGATTTGATTACAGCCTAGAAGATAACAGATGACTAAAATCATCCAAACGAGGGTGTTCTGCCATTGAGTAGTTATAGGCTTCCTCGTGGAAACCTCAGAAGGGCAGCTCACCAGAGGGCAAGGAGGCGGGTGCGCTCCCGCTACGGGTTCGGCGTCTTCAGAATTCCTTATCGGAAGATGTAGCTATGGCGCCGTTTGTGGACACTTTAGGCTGTACGGTCATACAGCCCCACAAGGACTGTGTCCAAATGGCCTATCCCCTTAAAATCCCATACACAATTCCTGGGTAGACAACTGAATTCGTCGTTCTATTTCTTTACATCCTCTCCGTCTTACTCTCCTGTCTACTACAGCTACTATGCTTACAATTATTATTATTAGCGATATTATGTACGTATATATACATTCCAGCTTCAAATTTTATTTGCTGTCTGTTTTTACGTTTACTTTATTTGTTTTTCTGTCTTTTAGTCTGAATAACCTACACTAAATATATCTGTTATTATTATAGTTATTATCTCTTTCTTTTTGACTACGATACTGGAGGAATGACTGGCGAAAGTATCAACTCCATTCACAGTAGTAACAAAGTCTTAACACATCGCATACTACAAACAACATATATTTAATCCCAGTACTACTCCTTTTGGAGTGAAACAGGGCTACAACAGTCGAGTGGCGGGATGAATTACGCAGAAGCTTGCTGAAGACTAGGAAACTTTACCTTAAAATCAAGAAGCGAGCACGAAGAAATCAAATTGATTCATCTTAGCCAGTAAAAACGATTTTGGATATTGAGTGTTTTAATTTTGGAATAGAATTTAGCACCTTGGGTACAACCTTGAAAAATTTCGAAAAGAACTCTAAATGTTTTGAAGATGATTCCATGTAAAACGCCTTTTGTCGACATTTTGGGAATCAGAATAAAGCCATGCGAAATAGTGTTTCGTGATATTCAAAACGATTCACAATATACAACCCCACTGACAATTCAAAACGTTTGTTCTTCAAAAAAGACTGTACGCTTTTACCCACCATTAACTGAAGTAATGATATTTTCTTTTTGTTTGAGATGCTTAGAAAATCGAAATAACAGATGGTCAAACGGATATAATATTGGCGCCTGGAATTTGTCATACTTGTACTGTATTTTTAAAGGTCTCAGAAGCAAAGGAATCCACTGAATCCATAGTTTTAACCATCGATGGGAATCCGCATAAAGTCCCTATTCAAATGTTAGTTTTCTGTTAGAAGCCAATTAATTAACGTCATAGATTTACTCCCATTCCTGTATGGGATATCCCACGTTCTCTGAATCTCGGAGTACTGGTTCAGGAAAACAGAGTGATAACGAAAACGCTTTTCATTGAAAACAAGGGTTCTAGACATGGGAAATTTAGAATACTTAGCATATCTAGTTCATCTATTGATATAGTACCCCGATCTGGGATAGTTGAACCAAATTCTCATGTTAATCTAAAAGTTACTTACTTTTGCTTTGAATATAACATCTTTTTCACAGGTAACATTTATCCCTAGGGATATTTGTGACTTCGTTGAAGTTGTCAGGTATGCCTTATTAATTTATACTAACTGCTTCTAATGTAGGATTCAAGTGGACGGAAGTGAGGTTTTATCTATCGAGATCATTGGTAAAGTGATAAAACCGGAATTTAAAATGACAAATCGTCAAACCAGTGAAGGCGATAAAAGTAAGATCACCTGGAATATGATTAAAGTATTGGGTAAAAATGCAGGTGGAGCTTTGATAAACCACTGGAATTACGGTTACCTTTATTACAACAGCAATGTTTATTGCAAATGGAATTTGACAAACTATTCCCCCAAAAACACATCATTTTTTGCTAGCTTTTGCAATAAAAATGATTCTGTGAGTATTTAAACAGGTTTATCTATTTTTGCCACCAGTTAATTACGTTTCTAAAATAGTTCTTGATGTATTACCTGACTTAATTGCAAGATCTGAAAGTTTGAAACCAAACAAGTTTTCATACTTCGTAAAACAGATATACTCAAGAAAACAGAATTTTAAAGAATTTGTAGAATATAGAAATATATAACAGGAAAAATAACGATATGGAGAAAAACAAGAATTTAATGGATTCAGGATATCGAAAAGAGTGAAATTAAGTGCGCTTTTAGCTACTATTTTTACATGTACCACCAATAATCTGTAGCCACCGATCTTTAGCGAATCGAGGTCCCTAGCCAGTAATTTCACACCTCTCTGTATGACTCAGAACCATAGCGAGGCGGATGCCGTGCTTTGATGTGATCACTGTTGACTGTTTTATACCAACCAATAATCATTAGTGAGGAAGGGGAGACGGTTCATAATGAATAAACGCAAATATCCATTTCTTAAAATCGTGGGCGTTCTACGACACTCAGTTGATTTTTATGTTCAGAAAATAGTGGCACTTATATTGGATTTCCTTCATTAAAACTTGGTATTTTACTGTATTTTAGATTTCTCAAATGCTTCCATGTAGACTTGTAAATGAAATATTCTCAACCGAAATGTGACATGTAAAGCACTCATTTGATTGTAGTTTTACATTGAGATAAGGTAATATTTAAGTTGTGGAATTCTTGTTCACGAATAGCAAACCTTTACACATGTTTCATTATAAATAGTCGGTTATCACACTGATAAGAGAAATGCTGACCTACTTTCTCATTATTATTCACTAGATTAATGAAACACCTGGAAGACTGCTCCTGGAACTGTATTTTGTATATACCGAATAAACTTTTTGTGAGAATTCAACTCCGCAAAATGATTCAAATTAATTCTTCAATAGATTAGACTTATTTTAAGCACATAAATCTGTATTGCATCGGTGATTTTCACTAATTTTTAATTACCGTCTAGGATAAGAAAAACCTGGAAAACGGACGCACTTGTTAACTGCCAACTACAATTTTATCCATTTAACTGTTTTCGTGCATTTATTTTATACGCAGAAGTTGAAAAGCAGCATTGGCAGAGACAATGTATCAAAAAGTGCAAGAAGCAGCTCGCCAGTCCAGATAAGTGAATATTTTAGCATAAATCCTGATCACGGAGAACTGAAACCATTTGAAAAGCTGCCTGTTTCTATATCCCTTGCTCCTAGATGGAAGAAATCAAAACAAGGATTTATTAGCTTGAATGAATCCCCACCAATTAAACCATTTTCTGTATATCTACGTATACGTAAAGTAGATTTGGGAGCTGGAGATTGCTCTAATAAAGAGGGTAAGAAAGCAGTTAACTTCTGCTCAGTACTTTGATTTGCGTTTCTGGTCCTCAAAGTTTATTGCGCACTTTTAAAGTGGTTTTTCATGACGATATGATAAACTTGCAACACCAGAATGAAGTCATACAGACTTTTGGTCCATTCCGCTAGAAGAAACTGCTGCTATCAGATGGAAATCTGTTTTCGGGTCACTTGATAAAGGTGACTGGAGCTTTTCAAACTCAACTGACTAGTTAAGCATTTCAGGTGGCATTATGTAACTGTCTTGACGGTAAACTCACTAAAGATTTTGCCAACTACAAAAACTTACTAGATCCACTGACAATCAAGCGGGGTATAATTCGTATGTAGGAATCAATAAAATGGAGAACCAACCATAAAATAAATGCATTAGTTCTGAAGTTACCGAAAAAGACCCTCTATTGAGTAAGCTTGAATTTCTGGCGGGACATTAGCTTTCTAAAATATGCAGTTACACCATGTCAGTGGGCTCAAACAACAGAAGACACAATACACTGCCTTAATAAATGACCTCTAACGTCAGAAAAGAAACAAAAATGCGCCATTAAAGTCCGAATAAGTTGTTTTAATGGGAAGTTTAAACCTAGCTTTGAGTGTCATTATTAGGCTTTACTATGACAAAATTTATTTCATAAGCTGGTTCTAATTTGTGCAAAACATTGAAAAGTGCTGGTCCGCTATCCAGTAGGCAAGTTGTCAAGGTTGTATTTTTTCAGTTTCATCACAACTGAAAGAGACAGACGTATAATTGTCTATCAAGATCATCCACCTAATTCGTACTGTCTCTTTTTGGAGGTCGTATAAATTTCAAGTAACTTAATGTTTAGCCTTTATCAAAGTTCTCTCTAGAGGCCCATTGTCATCAACCTGCTTTTTTCATAAGTGTAAGTTAAAATATCTATATTCCAACCAAATCTCCTCAAGTGTCTTCTCTTCTGTCAGTGAACAAATAACTGAAAACTTCTGTTTCTTTCTGCATCTGTAATTTACTAATATTGGCTGTTTGAGATATTACGGGCCCATGAAATTTTATAGATCAAAAACATCTCTTCCTACTAAAGACCTATACATCATGGAATTGAGGTTGATAGTAATTTATAAACTACTTATATTTTTTAGAATCTCAGAGCTCTGCACGATCATCATTTACTCTGGATGAAAAAAATGATAACTTAGAGATCATTCTAACGGGATGCTTAATACCGGTTCAGTTATTAATTTCACCTAATAATCAACCTCTTGATCCAGAAAATCAAGAGGATACTAAACTGAATGAGAAAGCCAATAATGAAGGGATTAAAATTAGACAAATGTATGAAAATCAGTTAAGCATACACTTTCCTGCCTGTTTAACTGGTTTTAAACGATGTGCTTATTTAAAGTTATCAAACCAAAGTAAACATCTACCAATACATTTTCAAATACCTCGGATCGCTCATTTCACTGTGAAGCCGGACAAAGGAGTAATTTCTCCACTGAACAGCTGCTCAATTACTGTATGCTTCAGTCCAAAACAATTTGGTAAGTCAGTGAACACCTTGATGATCAGATTTTTTAAATTTGTTCAGCATTCCTAATCTGGGTCTTTTTGTTTGACTATTTTTCTTTTAGTACTGTATATGAGGATTTATATGTCATTGGAAGGTATTCAGTCATTATCAAAACAAGATCTCTATTAGTCTAAATAACCCAATGAAGTAATATTTTAGGAGTAGCGAACGTTTGACTCGAGTTAAAGGCATCCATGTTACACAGGCAATCTTGGAACTCATAATGTTTTACAATGACAACTTGACATCTTAAAAATCATTCAAAAATGATTCCAACATGGTATGTTTGTTAGGGATTGATTGATTTTGGGGACACTATCGTCACAATCTGACACCGGCTACAGAATCATTCAAAACCACACCACAGGCTGAGAAAACAGATGTTTTTTTCACTTTTACTCTTATCATAAATGATGCCAATACATGATTGGATCCGTCACAAAAACACATTATTTCGTCCCTAAGGAAGTATTCTTCATGTTTTATTATAATTAGCAGTAAAAAGCGTTTGTGAAAATCAATCTAATTGTATTTTATTTATCAGTATATTTGCCACTCTCCCTGTGATTTGCATGTTAACTTGCTGATAAACCTTGCAAACGGCAAGGTAAATAAATAAAGTCTCACCTTTTGCGACACTGACTGAACGGAATATGAGTTTCCCAAAAAATAGGGGTTGTCTAGTGCTTCTTACAGCACACAAAAAGTTACTGGAAGAAATTCACTACTGTAAAATATCAGTTTACATAAATAAAGTATATAAACAAAATAAAACAAATTTTGAACTGGAAATAAATGCAAAGAAACCACAAGAAAACAAGACAGAGAAGCAGACAGCGTAAAAGTAATCAGATGGAAGGATTGAGAAATAAATAGCTTGGAATGGAGAGTATTTAATGGTATATTTCGTCACCATTTATGAAATCATTAAAATCGGATGTCTTCTCATAACGAAATCTTCTTTGTGATCAGCCAGAGTCCTACGAACTAGTAGTAGAGTAAAGCTATTCGTCAATGAAAACTTCTATCCAACCACTTATGGCTTTCGTGTTAATAATATTGTGTGCATCTGTCTTGCTAAAATATTGCTTCATTTGCAACACTCTCTTTCATAGTAGCAACAACAGTCCACTAGCTTGGATTTGAGTGGTCTTCTAGTTCATGATTTAACGATAGGACTTCTGTTTATTTTCCGACAAGACCAAACATTGCGTCTGCGTCCCTTTTGATCTTATTAGTTGCAAACGTTGAGCCCTGGAATATTTGATGTTTAACAGTTTAACGCTGTGCTAAGAACAATAAGGTGTGCGTATACGTTTTGAATAGCATTTCAGGGGAAATCGAATTTTAACATACTTATTTGCTTAAACTCTTCTCGAAGAAATGGCATAGTGATCTGATTTACTTGATTACCAAATTCAAAAACCTCTTTTTTACACCAAGTGTTTTCTTAGTTAAAAGCATATAGGTATAAACAGGTAAAATCTGGGATAGAAATGAACTGAAAGTGTATTTTAGCATAATCGGTTGTGTAATGATAATGACAGTTATGAATGTGATTAAGGTCTTTGTTATGTCGCTCATTAGCTTATAGAAAACGAATCTGTTTACTTAATTCCAATTTTCTGTAAGCTAATTATCTTACTGGGATACCAGCTAAAATCAACCAGTAGTACTTGCTAGGCGAATTGAAGTGATAGGAACACCAGACAGTCGTTTCACTCGCTTAGAACCAACGTAATCAGAGTTGCATAGGGTTTGGCTCAGATCAAAGAGCCAAATCAGTTCAAACGACCGAAATTCCGGCTGGTTACTTTGGCGAACTGGTGATAAACTGAAGAGAATTTGCAATTTACACTTGACACAATTCAAAGTAAAAGTTTCACCACAGTTCCCTATGGAGACCAAAATTATTCATACTATACTACGTGACCTGCCTGATACCATAAATTGTACTCCACAAAGCAAGCATATGCTACGGAATGACTGATATGAGCAGTCGAATACGACCCACATTACTTCTCTGCTTTCAAAATTGTGGTGTCAGTCGTTGCATTATGCTGCCTACTGAAGGATACACAACAAATAAGATTAAAATGCAGCGCTACTGAAAGGGCTTAGAGAAATCAATGCACATAAGATGCAGAAAAAACAGAAATTTAGATTTTTCTATTGGCTAGTGAACTGAGACTGAACTGTGAAGGCAGTGTTGAACACTTTTCGACGTATGTATCAAAGCCTGAGACTGGGAACAAGATGAGAAAGGAGACTACTATTTAACTTATTAACTGCTTATGTAGTAGGTAAAAATGACGCTCAATTGACGAACAATCCAACAATAATAAACAGATAGATTATCTACGGTAAGTATAAGATTTTTAGAGGGGAAGGGGGAATGACTGCATTATCCAACAAAAGAGTACATTGGTTCTTGTGTACTTGATATTGTTTAAGTAATGTTGAATATCATTCAGCGATGTTAAATAACACTTATGGTAGCGGAATAATGTATTCATGCATCATGCTCTGCATTTGAATGTATCTGTATCTTTCTTTCTAATTTTTTAAATCCTGTGTACTTACTGTCTGATTAATCTTTCAAAACATTCAAATTATGATAGCTTTATGAAGTGTTTCATCCTGTTTGACTAGCTTTCACTTATGCGTAAAGATCTGAAGAAAAAGTAAAGCTTTAGCTGGCATCGTAATCACTCTTTAAAATATAAGTTGGAGGCAGATTATTATTATTTTTTAATTAAAAGTCCTATTCTCAGAAATGCTGACTCCGATAATATTTCAGCCTAAACATTTGCATTCTAAGCTACAAATGTTGATCACCATTTGCATATAAGTCTTCATTTTTAAACAGGGTGTTTATATGAAAACTAAAAAGTGCTTCCTAAATCTACAGAAGCATTTACTGTACAGTATTTTCTTTTTTATAAGATTTCATTTGCGTTATACATAGTCTTCATACTTTTTAATCCAATGATCATTATTTCTCCACTTTTCGTCTACAAAATATTTCTACAAATTAGGCTAGAATAATTTTATTTTTCTTCTAATTAACAAAGGTGAATTTCATACAGTTCAATATATTCATATTCTTAGCAAGTCAAATGATGAGAATCCAACTGTTATTTATCAGAGCAAGTTAATTTTTCATGGATATTCACCAACTATAACAATACCACAGGAAGTAAAATTCAATCCAGGTAATCGGTTTACTTTAATTATTAGTCGATTAAATATTAGAATATTTAAAATAAACCACATGCAAGAGTATGTTTCATACTGTATTCAGTTGTTTTGTAATTAGCTTCAGTAACTGTAGATCATGTTTTATTCAATTCTACTGCACACTGAATTATCACCGTCTCCGGAACACTTCCTTTTAGAGTGATTGTTTTCGAAAAATGTCATGGCATCCAAAAAGAAGAAAAAAATATCTGCCTAAAAACTACAATACCACAATTTTCAAGTATTGGTTTTGTAAGGATTTTGTTTGATTGGATGGAGGATTTCACCATGATCTGACATCAGTTAGAGAACCATTTGAAAACCTAGGATTACTGGACAGCTGTTTCGTTTTAGTTCTGGACTCTTCAGCACCCACCGGAGTTCGAAATCAAGACCTTCTGGTTACAAATATAAAGACACAAGCATTCTCTCGATTTGACAGTTTTCTTTCTGATTAAACCAAGATTTTATAAATATGGAACTCCTAGTGTAGATATGCCTTCCAAATACACACAAAGTCCAGTTTCATTTAGTTGTATTATGTCTGCGAGTATAGGTGTGCTTAATACTGCAATAAATAGTCTCCAACACAACGAATGCTATCGTAACTTCTGATTAGGACGAAACTACCTAATTTGCTAAGATTATCAGTGAGCCAGCTAATGATGTCAACCTCAACTATAGTAAAAACAAACAGTATTAGAGACCCCATGAATTGTGGTAGCGATTAAGTCAGCTGTCACTGTCAGAGCAGGCTTTGGTTTTCTCTGATCAATTCCAATGGCTTTAGTCATGCATAATGGATAATATTTTATGCCTTAAGTTAAATTAGTCGTCACTAGATATCGCATAGATCTATTTTGCTTTTGTAATATTCACTGTCCTCCGAATTAGATTAAGTAGCATTAATATAGAAGCATTTAGACACTGGAAGAATATACTTCCATATTAGACAAGTTCATTTGAAATAACACATGGTGATACAGTATTAATAACTGGGAGATGTTTCGGACACAGTATATTGTTCATGAACATGTCGTTGTCAGATGGAATACCCCCTGAAGCACTAAAAGTGGACCCAGAGCCGACAGCAGACATGCTGACTCCATTATTGCAAAAGGTCTGGAAGGAGGGAAAGGTTTCTACTGGCTGGAGGAAAGGTTACCACGTGAAACTACCAAAGAAGGGAGACTTAGGCCCCACTCTGCAAGAACTGGCGAGGAATCATGCTCCTGTCGACACCAAGTACAATTCTGAGTCGCATCATCCTGGAGAGGATAAGGGACGCACTGGATGCAGAACTCCGACCAGAACAAGCTGGGTTCAGGAAAGGCAAATCATGTATTGACCGAATTGCAACTCTACACATCATCAACGAGCAAATCATGGAATAGCAATCAAACCTCTACCTCAACTTTATAGACTTTGAGAAGGCCTTTGACAGCGTTGACCGAGAAGTAATTGGGAAATTACTCGAGTACTACGGCGTGCAGCGTCCAAATATTCATCAACCTTATTCAACAGCTGTACGACAACGGCACATGTCAAGTGATCCACAACGGAAGACTCAGCGAGGCGTTTGGAGTAAACACAGAAGTCAGACAAGGGTGCTGGATTATTATCACCAATGATACTGCTAATTGTGGTGGACTAGATTATGCGTCAGACAGTGCGAGACGAGCAGAGAGGAATATCCTGGAACGATGTGAAGAACCTAGAAGACCTAGATTTCGCGCGTGGATGATTTATGTTTGATGTCACACAAAATCGAAGACCTACAGGCGAAAACCGACAAACTGGTCGAAGAAGCAGTCGGTGAAGACAGGACTCCAGGTGAACATAGACAAGACTGAGGTTATGAAAATAACAACTCAACAACAACAGCAACATCCAGCGTCAATCACCATCAACGGGAGGGATTTGAAAGAGGTTACCTCATTCACTCACTTATATAGGGAGCATTGTCTCAACTACAGGCAGTCGTCGAAACGGATGAGGGTGTCAAATGGAGCGAGAATCGGGAAGGCGAGAAACACATCATTCATCAACGTGAAACCAATCTAGAAATCTTCGTCACTCAGCCAGAATCAACAACAAAACTCGGTTGGATTTTCAATACAAACGTCAAGTCAGTCACTCAGTTCTTCTATACGGATAAGAAACTTGGCGGGCGTGTCACAAAGAATATTTCCGACAGTCTGTTGCGGACATTTATCAACAAGTGACTTCGCTGGCTCTATACTGAAGATCAGATGGCCGGGCTGGAAAGAATCACCAACAAGAAACTATGGCTGGGAACAAACCAACAGGTAAGAACCAATCGCCAACCAACAAATATGCAGGAGAAAGTGGATTGGACACTCGTGGCTGAGGAGGCCGGGCCGCTGGGTGACTTCGCGCGCGCGTCAGGCCATTGCTCGAGTGGAACCATGCCGAGAGGGAAGTGGTGAGTGGGACGTCAGTGCAAGGGTGATATGGAGGAGATCGTGTGAAGAGGAGTTGAAAGAGTATGGACTAAGATGGACGCAGGTGAAAAGTACTGCAGAGAAGAAGACAGAAGCAAGTGGAGACGTGCAGTTGAATCCCTATGTTCCACTAGTAACCCAAGGGAACAATGATGTAACAATAATATCTTACCGTGTAATACACCAGATCAATATGTCTAGTAAGAAATCACTCTTTACCACAAAGCGTAAGTTCTAAATAAACCTAAAAATTCAGTAGAAAGCGTCCTCATCAAAATAATATGTAGCATATTCTTATAGTATTATTCCATGGTCACTTTAATAATGTACTTTGACTTTTAAAGAATTATACACGCCAGGCTTAAATACTTCAGGACTCATGTCAAAGTAGGATGAATTAAGCATTTTGTATTTGTTCAAAATATATGAATACCTATACTCTTGCTTACAGGTATCGTTCCTAAATGGGCTCATGAAGTTGGAAGGAACACAGATCGTGTCACATTTGGATCGAATTATGAATGCCCACGGGCGGCAATTATCAGTCTCATGAGTATGAAAAGTTTGAAAGGCTTACAATCTCATGTGTCCAGATTTGAGACACTAGCTAAATTATCAACAAAAATTGCCTTTCCAAATGACAGATACGCCAGTGTTAGACCAACTAACAAGCAAGATGAATTCAAGTAAGCAGTTTAAAGTTCATTCATGCTTTAACCTTAAAAGAATTTTCTTGAATTAATTACTTAAATTATGATATTCCTGAAAATTTTTCTCATTAGAACAAAATAACTTGGTGTGTGAATGAATAATATCTAATCACTTTTACTATTATTCAGAATACCTGAGTGAACACCTTCCTTAGTTACAGAGAAACAGTTACACATCGTTCGTTCACTCACATGACTCGTCACTGCAAACCAATCCTTGAATTCTCAAGAAGACTGTCTGAATTACGAATGGTAGTGTAGTTAGTAGACATTTATGATATACCTGGCAAACATTTTTCTAATTTTATTATTCGAAATTCTAAACATTTTTATACACCCTCAATTTATTATTCATTTTTGGATGTGTGACTAATTTTAAGTAGATATACACCACGAATTGATATGAGTTCATTTTAGATATCTTTGAATATGCATGTGTTTGACTGATAGAAATAATATTCTGAATTTTAATGAATGCATTCGATTTCGCAGAGTTTTGTGAATAAGAACCATATGGAAATAGGGTACAGAAATTAAACAGATGCAGGAAGAGGAGCTTCCCATGTTAGATTGTAGCGTAAAAAGGAAAGAAGATGAGAAGTTAAACACTAGTGTTTACCGGAAACCCATACATTCAAACAGATATTTGAACTTCCGATCATCCCATCCTATGTCAGTGAAAATAGAATTGGTGAAGTGTTTAAATAATAGAACACAAAAACTGAGTAGCATCAAGGAAAATCTAAGACAGGAAGTGAAGCATATAGGAGAAACTTTGAAACTTAATAATTACCCTGATAAATTAGTCAGAAAGTATGTAGGGAAGTGTAAAAATAAAATAAATAATGATAGTAGTGATAGTGATAATAATAATATTAATGACGACATGCATGCCAAATACACGCAAGACAACATCAACAATAAGGAATCTAAGTCATCAGTAGTAATTTCATACAAGGAAGGAACCTCGGAAACCTTACGCAGAATTCTTAACAAGGCAGGAATAAAAGTGGTTGCCATTCAAACCAACCACAAACTCAATTAGAAACAAGCTTTGTCGGTTAAAGGATCCTGCCTGTGGAACCTTTAAAACAAAACAATTTAGTTTATCTAATACCCTGCTGGAATGATTGCCAGGTCAAATACATAGGTCACACTAGTAGAACAGAGGCAATCAGACTAGCCGAACACAAAAACCTAGCAAAATTTGATTGATTGACCCAAATAAGATAAGAAATTTAGAGAATAGTTCAGCTATAGCACTACATGCAGTCACACACAACCACACAATAGAATGGTATAGGATGACAGTTTTAAAATCTGATGTAACAGGGTGGAGGGAGAGATTGATACAGGAAGCTTTGTTTGTCGAATCAACTGTAAATACGTGTAATAGGAATGATTCAACGCCTGTCCCAGATATCTGGAAAATTCTACTACCCCAAAGACGACAAATATGAGAAGACAAACAAAACTATAAAACTCAAGTTTTCAAGTCGTGTGATTACAATTGATATGATTATGAACAATAAATTTTGTTAGAAACTGTGTTATCCAGTAAATGATACTGTTTCACTGTGTGATATATTTAATAAACAAACAAATATGGAATTACTTATTACCACGGTGCCCAATGTTTACACATATATTAACATACCTATGTAACTCATACTAAAAGCCTATTAGAAATATGCGAAGTCAATTATGAACAGTTCAAATATTATATAACCTTTGAAATGTGAACAAAAGTCATCATATAAGGACGCAGATTTTCATTTACACATATTGTTATCACTTTCACTGTGGAATTTCCCTGTAGACTGTACGCTCTGAACTAACCTGACTTGATAAGTTCACCTAGTTTAAATTTCACTATTATTTAACAAACTAACAGTTAATTATTTTCTCTTTGCAGAACTTTGTTTTGCCGTTTGGCAAGGTATACATACACAGATCCATATTATGAATGGAACGAAGAAGAAATGCATAACATATCGAAAAGACAGTTAACTTATTCTGAAGTTTATCGAGATCATGCTCAACTGATAAAACGCATTCAAGAAGATCGAAAATTGATGAGATGGAATGAACCACCTAATGATGGTGTTGTTTTAATGGAGTTAGATAAATTATCACCAAGACTGGGAATAGAAGACTTTGAAGAATTTAAACAAGGTAAGTATTTACGTTACAAGTTAATTTTTATCATAGTAATCGATCATAGAGGCAATTAAGATAGAAGTTAATGATAATGTTGATTTAGGTAGCAGAAGCTGCCATTAAAGAGAAAGGAATTCATAGGATCGAGTGTACAGTTGTTTTCCAACTCGAAAGTGTAATACCGCAGTGTCTACTCCAAGGTCTATGAAATATTTCTATGCACAAAAAGCTTTTTAGCATCGGTGGATCTCTCCGAAGTCAAGCTTCTATCTATGTACTTATGCATCATGATGTAGATTCAGGAATTTCATCATTTAGACTCTAGAGTTTTAAAAACACTAAAAGGTATGCTTAGAATCATATCGGTACCATATGTGAACCAATGAAATTCATACCAATAAAAATAAGAGTATATGCCTGATACAACAAAAGAGGCAGTCAAAATATAAGCACATAAATGTATCCATAAAGTAGGTGACTAAGTAGTTTGGTCTCGGGAGGGGGGAGATTTACTTGATTTTAAGACCGTGAATTACGAGAGAAGATGATCTCCAAGTACTGTAGTATTCAGATTAGCGAAAATCTTTGAGAATGAAGGAATTCGCCACCATGATAGAAAAAGCCCAAGTTCAGGCTTTTATTAATCAATAACCAGAAAAGACAATTCCGTTATCATCTTGATAGTGAAAAGGGCCGCAGCTGTTGAAGATACAAGCATCCAACGAAGAGGTTATACTCTATCAGTTACAGTTTATAACGGCTGATTCACATAAGCGAATAAAATATTCGGACCCCAGTTAGTTGTCTGATCACAATGGCTAACGGAGGCGACTAAAACAAAGTTAGATGAAAGAAATCTGTAGTAGTACTCTTAAAGGACCATTATCTCCATCAAATTCAATTAAATTATGATTAGAATATCACTAAAAGTTTCGTTAGTAAAACTTTCTACTCCAGAAGAAATATCTGTCAGAAAATTTGCGTCATGAGATGCAGACATCTTCTCTCTCACTTCGACATAAAAGATAAAAGAATACTTATTTCTGACGACATAAGGATATGGTGCCGTCAACAATGGCTTCAATAGCCTGTTGAAGACAAATCTGCAACAAGTAATATGAACAGTTACGAATAGCTAGAAAGCTAATGTGGGGTCAATCTGGTTGCTTCGATAAATTAGTTGAAACCGAATGCAGCTCGTTTTGGTCTTCATCTCCTTCTCGCTAGCTATACTGAAATTTATCATTTTTTGGATTGACAAGTATATATATATATACTACTCAAAACGGTCATTCCGTTTGTGATTCATTACAATTATCAACCGAAGTGCATAAAATATGCATGGTGTCATACGCTACTAACCGATTGATATAAGTAGTTGGGTGCCACTCACGTAAACTAGTAATGGGTAGAATTACCTCAAATGGCTATGAATCTAGCTGGCAGTTTCAGCCATCTGAATTGAATTCCCTATTTGTAACTTACATTATCCGCGGTGAAATTTCGCCAGAGTTTCCTTCGGAAATTGAAATTATTCAAATCACAATGTGTGATCTGCTTCAGATCATACACGGTGCTCAAGACAGAATGTGTAAATGCGCGGTGCTATTATGCTAACGCAATTATTCACATCAATCAATCAGTAATATGTAGAACTATGCATTTATGCTTGCCTTCCTGATTGACAGGTCTGATTAATATTGGTTTCCAAAGTAAACTTCGGCAAAATCTGAACTGGAATTGTGCAAACTGCGTATAGAAAATTACTTGCAAGTTGAGAATTTGACTCACATATAATACACCTGTGTTTGATAAAAGATACAATGAATCATGAAAATTTATAGTTCATAAACACAAAGCTGGATGAGTGGAAATCTCATAAATGGTTATACTTACAACACATATTTTTCCTGGATCCTGGTAATGTAAGCTACTAAAATAGTTAAAAGTGATGTGGGAGGAAAGTGTTAGGTGTATATTCCCAGCCTGTCATTGACTACAGATCTTTACAAATTGTTATTTATCTCTAATTATTTCTAGCGATTTATAAAGGAGGCAAACTGCAGCCAATAAATGACGAGAAAATTACCGAAAGCACAACAAAGAACACCAAGAAAAAGGTATAAATATTTCTTTAAAAAAAGTGTGTTCTGTCTGTATGAAACATATTTATTGTAATGCATTATATTCTTAAGAAAAGTATCCATGCTACTAACTTCAAAACTTTCGACTTCCATTTGCTTGACTCATCGAATACATGTTCGAATACACGCATCTTAAGGATAGAACATGAGATAATGAACTCTTTCGTAGGCCATTTTGATATTAAACTATCAAGTTGGATTCCAGTTACCTATTAACTGAAAATTTCTGATAATTCACAAAAATGTTGGACAGCTGTGATTCAGAGTTATCGGAAAGTAATTGTACTTAGCCTCAACTATGCTTGTTCTATCAAATCATGGCCTTTAATAAGTACAATAGAAATATAATCTACACCTATTTAATAGTGGTGTACCGGTATCTGCGTCGATGGCACAGCGGTAGAATGCTCGCCAACCACACATATGATTCGGAGTTCGATTCCTGGCCATTGATGCACTCCTTTACCTTGCTAAATCAGGAATAAGACTGGAAGGGAAGGAAGGTTGGGCATGAGGCTAGCAACCCTATCCCGTAAAAATAAACACCACTGCTACTGAAACTTATAGCAGCTAGCTTGCAGCCCTGTGTTCTACTGGGAACGTAAAAGAATAAAAAAGTAATAATAAAAAATACTGATGTCCACTCCGGGGTCGGTGAGACAGTAATAAGTTTTAAAGTAGTAAAAACTCTAGTGATATTGATTCAAATCCCTTAAAAACGTTTTAAGTGAATATCATACAAATGTTGTGATGAAGCAAAACTGAAAACAAAGTAATCTCAAACAAATTTTAGTACCTGGAAAGCTTTAATGGAATCCATTTTTATGCGTACTGTTCATTCACAATGATAACATGCAATCACTAATTTTTTATTTATAAAAGTTGTTTTCTTATTTCTTATTAAAAGAAGAGGGCAGTAAAAGCGTTACCTCTTAAACCGGTCGCGAAAAGCACAGCAAATGAAGAGTGCAACTGGATGTTAACAGTTAAGGATATTGATGAGATATCTATACGTAAGTTGTAATTCTTCCAGAATAACAAAACGAGAAATCACAACCATCTGTTTATATTGTGTTTTCTTTTAAAACTTGATTTAACACAGAATTCAGTATTGAAAAGACCTTCGATATCCTTACTCAGTAACTGATACAATGGTGCGGAGTGCAGTGGAGCTAACGTTTATAAATCTCAGTTGCTAGCAATGTGTCAAGCAGTTTTACAACAGAAGGCTCGCAGAAGCGTCTGGAGTAAAGACAGGAGCAAGACGAACCCATCTACTTTCATTGGTAATCTTATTAATTTTGATGGGTCAGATCATGTGTAAGACTGTGAGGAGTAGGAAGACGAGCATACAGTGGACCGAAAACAGGTCACAGGAGATTTATATTTCATGGATGGTTTATATTTCACAGACTCTAAGACTCACAAGTGGAAACCGACAAGTTGTTAAAAGGGGTAGCAAAGACAGGACTTCAAGTGAACATAGAGAAGACGGAGGTGATGGGGATACCCAACCAACAACAAGCAAGAATCACTGACAAGGGGGAATATCTGAAGGAAGTCACTTGTTTTGCTTATCTAGACAACAACATCTGAAATACAGGGGCACTGACGAAAATGTAGAGGACAATCAGGAGCTAACTGGGGAAGATAGACATATATCCATTATGCTGAGATATGTTTAGAGATCAGCCGCATTCATCCCAAATCTGAATTTTAAAAATAATGTCATACAAACGCTTTTACACGGTTCAGGGACCTGGAGTGCACGCCAAAGCTGTCTTCGCTCCATACTGAAGATCAGATAGCCAGCTGAAAACTGTAAGGACCAAGTAAGTGTGACGGCATAAGGAATTGAAGTTGGATTGAAAATCAGCTCAGAAGACCATTGGATGACATCATACTCTAGGCTCTCGAGTGGAACCCAGCTGGTAGGCGAAGGAAAGTGACAAGGAAAAGATTGTGTGAAGAAGGAATGAAACTTTGTAGGCAGTCGCGCAGCGAGTTGAAAGTGATGTTAGAGAACCAATTATAGTAACGATGTGCTGTTGAAGCTTTTCGCTTTCACGTGACCATTATCTCCAATATATTTTAATCTGTTTTTACACGCAACTGAGTTCTGCTTTGGATGAGTTGCATTTTATTCACGCATCTTGTATGTAAAAGAAGATAGGAATTTTCTTTACGACAATTGTAAACAGCCGATAGTATAAGGAGGTTTATCTAGCTATTCAAAAACATTAGGATGTGTCCGATTTCTCGTTCACTCGTAATCCCAAATGTCTGGATGGTTTACCAACATAATACATACTACAGTTTATTACAGTAAATCTTGTGTTTTTGCGTGTATTTATACATGCTTACCTAGAAACATTACACTTAAAAATAAAACAGGTAACTTGGCTTCCGAAAGATTTGAATTCATAAGCTATAACTAACGGAAAACCATATGACGACAAGCTAGGTGGCTAAAAATAAAACCAGAACGTTTACAGATACAAATGGAATAAGTCATCTTAAAATAACTTCTTTAAGAAAAATAAAGAAAACCAGAAAATATGCCTTTTCCTCAATTTTTCCGTTTCTTCCAACAAATCTAAATTTACATAGTAGATAATAGTGAGTCACTGATCCTGGTAGAAGTAAAGCGAATGATACAACAACCTAAAAGAATGTTTACAGTTCTCGGACGAGACGTCCGATTAACATTCCGTGGATTTCAAATATCTAGCACTAAGCTGAGAACAATTTTTGATGTGATAGAAGTAGGTATAGTAATGTTTGAATCCGGTGCACTATTTCTGAAAATCAAGCGGTTAGGCTGATGAGTCACATGTGATAATTGTTTGTAATAACTGAATACTACCAAGACCAGACTACAACATGGAGAGATAGAAGTCAGACACTTGTATTCAACAGAATTCAGATAAGTGATCAGGCGAAATTTGTTTTTTTTTCAGATGACGGTAGGGAATTTATTTTAATTTTACTATTCCTTATTATTCTTTTTACTCATAGATCCAACAAAAGTCGACTTTGAACATATTTGTCCGAATACAGAATCAACGAAATTTATCACAATTACTAATCCATTGAATCAGTGTATTTCATTTAGACTAGACACTAATCAAGTTGAATTCAAACCAAACACTATAAGATATTACGTTATACAGCCAAGATCAAAACTGGATGTACCAATTAAAATTAAAATATCAAAATTATGCAGTTTTCAATGGTAAAAAACAAATTTTGTTTTCATCATATAAGGTAATATTTATGTAAAAAGCTGTAACCAGAACTTTCAGTTAACTAGTTTCACATCGAATTGTGATTATCTTCATAACTATCCGAGGTTGACAATTTCAGATACGGTGCTCTTCATCTATGCTAGAATGTCGTTTTCAGTGCATCTTAATAATTCATACACTGCAAAATAAAATAAAGTCTTACTATTAAGATTACTTGATGGTCATGAAACCAGAAAATAATGAACATTTATGTCCAGTGTATCTGTTCACAATTATTTAACTCAAAACATTTAATCAGTTTATTTAGACATTGTGTCAAACTGAAATAATTCGAGTGAACAATTAATTCATTTTTCTATGGTTGGTTTGTAAGGATTAGTTTTGTTTTTACGAGGTGATCACGGATTCATATCAGTTAGAAAACCACTGGAAACCAGGGAGTACTGGAGAGCTGCTGTTTCATCCTAGTTCGGGAATCATTGGTAGTATGCACCCCCTGGGGTTCGAATCCAAGGCTTTGAAACCATAATGAGAAGCATATATAGTTAAAAAGAAACAATTTAAGGCTGTTTAGTTACTCACAGTTGTGTGCACTAATTTTCCTAACTGTGAGCACACAGTAGCGGGGAATTCAATCTGGAGTGAAATGGACCGTAAACGAGAGGAAACGCTGACTAAAACTACCATTACTAACCTACACTGCTTGCCAGTGAAATAGTGGTAATCGTAACTCCATAGTGCATTCTGTTTGTTGTTGAAGTTTACCAAGTGATTGATGGAAAACCGGGAAAACCTCATGGTAAAAAACACAGGTTGTTTTAATTGGTATTTCTTAAATAAGACTGTTGTAAAATGATCTATCTGATTAAAGAATCAGCAGAGAAATTCATTAAATCTACGTTATTAATTGTCAGCAGTATATCTCACTATTACTGTTCCCTTGGGTTACTAGTGGAACATAGGGATTCAACTGCACGTCTCCACTTGCTTCTGTCTTCTTCTCTGCAGTACTTTTCACCTGCGTCCATCTTAGTCCATACTCTTTCAACTCCTCTTCACACGATCTCCTCCATGTCACCCTTGCACTGACGTCCACTCACCACTTCCCTCTCGGCATGGTTCCACTCGAGCAATGGCCTGACGCGTGCGCGGAGTCACCCAGCGGCCCGGCCTCCTCAGCCACGAGTGTCCAATCCACTTTCTCCTGCATATTTGTTGGTTGGCGATTGGTTCTTACCTGTTGGTTTGTTCCCAGCCATAGTTTCTTGTTGGTGATTCTTTCCAGCCCGGCCATCTGATCTTCAGTATAGAGCCAGCGAAGTCACTTGTTGATAAATGTCCGCAACAGACTGTCGGAAATATTCTTCGTGACACGCCCGCCAAGTTTCTCATCCGTATAGAAGAACTGAGTGACTGACTTGACGTTTGTATTGAAAATCCAACCGAGTTTTGTTGTTGATTCTGGCTGAGTGACGAAGATTTCTAGATTGGTTTCACGTTGATGAATGTGTTTCTCGCTCACCTTCCCGATTCTCGCTCCATTTGACACCCTCATCCGTTTCGACGACTGCCTGTAGTTGAGACAATGCTCCCTAGATAAGTGAGTGAGAGAAGTAACCTCTTTCAAATCCCTCCCGTTGATGGTGATTGACGCTGGATGTTGCTGTTGTTGTTGTTGTTGAGTTGTTATTTTCATAACCTCAGTCTTGTCTATGTTCACCTGGAGTCCTGTCTTCACCGACTGCTTCTTCGACCAGTTTGTCGGTTTTCGCCTGTAGGTCTTCGATTTTGTGACAGTGACATCAAACATAAATCATCCACGCGCGAAATCCAGATCTTCTAGATTCCTCACGTCGGTCCTAACATACTCTTATTTTGACTGAATGAATCAGGCAAATTCTAGAATAATCTTGCTTCTATATCAATATAAAAGTTGTGTTTTCTTAAATGCAACTCAACATCTTTTAACCATTTTTTTCCTTACATAATTTTAGCAACTTGAATTTTTCATTGAATGATCAGTATAAAAGTAATTTAGTTGTATGCGCAACAGTTGTACCGGTTGAATTAACTCTAGCTCCATCTTCAGTTGAATTAACATCAGCTAATTCATCGTGCGGTCTTATAGGAATAAGTGGAATGCGTGGATATGTTACCCTATTCAATCCATTGCATGCTCCAGCGAAATTCCACTGGCTGTCAGCCGGTACTCAAAATCCATTTACAATACGTCCGAAATTAGGTAAGACAAATCTTTTGCCCTTAAAGTTGTATTAGTTTAATACATAAGTATGTGCGTCGGTGGCACAGCGGTAGAATGCTCGCCGACCATGCACATGGTCCGGGGTTCGATCCCCGGCCACTGACGCACTCCTTTACCTCGCTAAGCCAGAGATAATGCTGGTAAAGAGAGAAGGTTGGGCATGAGGCTAGCAACCCATCCTGTAAAAATTAAACACTGCCACAGAAACTTCAAGCCACTAGCTTGAAGCCCTATGTTCCACTGGGAACGTGAAAGAAAAAAAAATACAAAAGTATAAATAACAGTTTTATGTGATAACTTTTATGTATAAAGGGTCGGTTTTCAGGGATTCAGTTGGTTACATACTGATGTCAGTTAGACAACCATCGGAAAACCATAGATTACTGGACAGCGGTTTCATCCTAGAGTCTCAAGGACTCTTATGACTGAGCTAAGAGAATCATGCAGTAATTCAGGTTTTTGTTCCACTCTTAATTTTCATCCATAACATCAGCAATATTTCGCTTAACACAAATCTACTTCAGAAATTTCCACCAAGAATTTAGAAGTTATTTACTGATTAATATGTTTCTAAAGAGGTTTCGACTACGCGATAATTCAGTCGTTAAATCAACTGCTTTGCATTGAAAGCTGCATTAGGAAAACCACACACTTTAGCTTTCAACACAGAAATTTAGTGTATTATCACCTGTCATCTTGGAATCTGTTCTGTTACCCAAATAACAAGCTTGCCTACTAACAAAAACCAAACTACCTGCTGTTGGAAGTCCCTGTTGCTTCAGGGATTTCACAGTGTGTACCAACTTCAGTGAACTAAATGATGATAAAGTAACAAAAAGAATACAGACGGCTGTTCCAATATTTGTTGGCCTAATTTATTTGACGATACTCATGAGGTAACGAACTACGCATCAAAGAGTGAGAGAACAGATTAGAAATTAATTTCGTTTAAATTAACAACTGTGAAGTTATTGAAAAAATACTGGGTTCTGACCACATGTCTTTCCTGCATTCCTCCCTTTAGGTAGTAATACTACAATAGACAGGCGGACCAGTCAGTGAGACAGTGACCTTTCACTCACTAAGGTGATCGAGATATTTACGATGCACAGGTAGAGTCAAGGAACAGTATTCTGTGCAATAATATTGAGTCAGTTAAAATTTAGATATGATCAGACTGAGATGAAACATCCGTAAGTGAAGCTAATTCGAGAGATGTAGAGGTGAGGACTGACCAACTGGGGTCCACAGGATTGACTGGCTGTCAGCTAGTAAAGACTCAAGTGAAATTCACTAATTGTTTCATGAATTCATTCAGTATTGGTTTGTAAGGATTTGGTTGATTGGTTACAGGATTTCATCATGAGCTGACATTGGTTAGATAACTATTAGAAAACCTGGGAGGCCTGGACAGTTGTTTCGTCCCAGTTTGGGACCCTACAGGAGTACTCACCCACCGGGGTTCGAACCCAGGACCTTCTGGTTACAAGGCGAGCTCGTATACCATTAAGCCACTGGGACCCGATCCAATGGCTAGCCCATGAATTCTAACTTCTGCCAATTCACGACATAGCGCGACTCCTAGCCAATGTCTTCGGCGAGTATTTGTCCTCACACCCGACCAGCTGCACCCTACTGGTCACAACTTCTCACTAGAACCCCAGGTAACTACCTAGCTGAATAGGGCTAGTCGCTAGTAAGCATCTCATTGGTATTCATTGGTCCCAAACTAGGACAAAACTGCTATCCAGTACTCCCAGGTTTTCCAATGGTTCTCTAACCAATGTCAGCTCATGATGAAATCCTGTAACCGAATCATTCAGTCTTCATCATTTTAAGAGTTTTAGAAACTTCCACTGATCTTGATTATTTCTTGTCCTCTCAAGGTCATATTTGTCTACTGCAATATCTATCTCTGGAATTTCTCCGCGTTATTGTGATTAGGCATAGTAAACTGGACCAGTCTACTTCACTGTCAACCACCCTGAAGATATACTTATCTATCCGTCTAAAAATTTATGTCTGAAAATAATGTTTTTTGACAAACTTTTGCTCCATCATTTATGAGTACAATTTTAATCTACTAATTTATAGCCAGAACCTGGATTTAACTATTGTTTGTCTTACAGGCATAGTGGAACCATTTTCTTCCTTGAATTGTGAAATAGTTTTCTATCCATGCCAGAGAAATACTTCAATGGAAGGTAGATTTCAATTAAAAATGCCAGGAGTTGATGAGAAAGAAATGGGCACACCTTCTACTACAACCGAAGGTAATAAAAGAATTGAATTGTTATGCACAGCAAAACTGTTGCCCAGTAAATTATCATTCTCTACACGCGATTAACACTTGGATCAATAGCACACGGCTTACCGTGTACACGTCAAATCACTGTATTTAACTTAGGACAAAATTCAATTCTTTTCACCATTAACAAAGACTTTAAAAACATAGTCAACCTTAACGGTGGTATGTCATTATATATGCACAGGTTGTCAGGAGCTCTACCTGCCAAAGTTGAAATGCAAGTTAGTCCAACAGAAGGCGAAATTCCCATTGGTGGTGAAATTACTTTAAAGGTAATATTTTACGTGTACAATTATTAATAACTTTTTTCTCTGAATATTTTTTCGCATTCAGTGGAAGAAATTGCATTAGATTTATTTTGTTATTAAGCACTTTTTGTGCCTAGGTGATCAAATTCAATAATATTTGAGGAGTAAATCTCCAAGGCTGATATGTTGACGAAATGTGATTGGAGAGTTAACATGGAATATTTTAGAGTGAAGATGGTGGTAACAATCACTATATATATATATATATATATATATATATATATATATATATGATAATATCATTAACTAGTCATATACTAATGCAAACATTTCGTGGTTGCCATGGTACTAAAGTACACATCAGAGATACGCTTTCACATTCACTAATTCGAAAAGTAATTCAATAGGAGCAATTTTTTTAACTCTTTGATTTTCCTCTTAAACCCTACAAACTCTTCCCATTAATTTGAACAGTTTAGATCAAATAATGTATTGTCGGAACGCAGTTCATGTGCTTCCATTGCTAAAGCACCAGAAAAATGTTATTCTACGGAAGAAGTAACTTTTTCCAAAAGTCTCATGTTAATATCTATTTTATTTATTGTGTTGTGGCTTATATTTATAATTTAATTTACTTTCTTCTTAATTAAGGTCACGTGTTTACCACTTGGTTTAGGCAAATTCGAATCCACCATGATACTTAGTACATACGATGGTCAAAATATTGATTTGTCTCTGTGTGGTACAGTTCTCAAGCCACAGATTGAACTTCTTTCAAACACATTTGAGTTCGGTGGTAAGTGCATGCTATCATTTCTTAGTATTATTTTACTAGGTTATCATGAGAATAATCATAAAGCTTTTCAGTGATTTATAGGAAAACAGTATTTTTTTTGCTTTATTGACACTACTGCTGACCCCTGGCTACTTAAAGAAACAGATTACTTCACGTACTTCAAGGAGATCTGAAAATGCTCGGTAGTCAACAAAATGAGCCTAATTCTGGTGAATAAAACAGGAAACTACTATTACTACTACTAATGCATAAAATGCAGGTTTGGAAAGGTGGCACATAACTCAGAGATTAAAATACGATCATATACATTCAAAACAGCGATACCAGTGTCAGGATACTCGATTCGGAACTGCATTCAACTGAGTTGCTCATTCCAAATCTAGAAATGGGGAGTTTAGAACATCTGATGCAGCAAACGGAGCTGTACTCATGGGAACTGAATGACATTTCCGCTGTATCTATAAAACAAAATCGAAACAGAAAATATGCTATAGAATGTCAACTTATATCATGCAGATCCTTAAAAATATGCAAAGAAAACAGAATAGCGGCCACTGAAGTCTTTCAAACACAAGTGTTTATTTGTTAAACTGCCTTTGAAAAGAGATTATGTGATTGAATTATTTAAGAGCTGGCTGGGGCAATAAACATTAACATAGGTAACTATACGTTCAAGTTCATACTTCTGAGGACCACCAAACATTTGATGTAACTATCAAGAAAAGATATATATATTCGAATGTATTTGAACGAGCAAATACAGTATTACACAGAACGCTTTATTCAAATGATTCGGCTTTTTACCAAATGTTTTATTTCCGTTCTTAGAATATTAACCTTTCTACTACTCCTATACCCTTGAGTTTGTATTTTTTTTTAGTAGCCCAATGTTTTATCGCTACCTTCCTTATTGTCTAAATGACATTCTCATGACTTCGGTATTCACATAATGATAACTAGGCGACACATTTTAAACAAATAACATTTTCGGTGATTTCTAATCAAGCCTCACAATTGTAAGAGGGCTAGATGTTATGAATAAATCGAGCATTGTTCATAATAAGTCATAGACTAATCAGATCATCCTTTCCGCTTTCACAAAACGGATATCTGACCCAGCCTATTTTAATGTTTTCAGCTAGATTAATTTGTGAAGTGAGGAAGGTAATTAAGTCAGTATTTAGGAACTTATTTCTCAAATGGTTTGTAAAATTTCCTATAATGAGAGCATTTTGGGAGACAGTAAGGAAGAAGTGTCAATATCCAACCTTACTATTCAAGGGAGGTGTAGAGAACTATTGGTTTAGGACATCTTAATCATAGTGCTATGTGCAAAACTGACTAATACAGGTGAAGCATAAATTAATGAGTCTGGTCACTTCAGTGTGCCTTTATAAACTTAACTGCTCTTATGCAGAATAACTCAACAAACCCATATTCGCTTTATCTAACATTGTTAAATATGATTGGAAAAAGGAATAATAAAGTCTATTGTGAGTTATATGCTTACACATCTAGTGGATACGAAGTAAAACAAGTGATGAAGTTACAACTTTTCATCATTACGTACTCTGCGTTATTTCATAAAATTTAAGAAAGATGTATCATGTGTTTTCAAGAAACAATCTGAAAACAAGTAAAGACGTAGTTCTTAATCATAGTTTGATAGCTTACACGGGTAATGATTTTTCATTATAAATTCGAGAGGTCTGTATCAAGGCTACTCACAAATAAGTATTACATTGTTCAGCATCAGACAGAAAAAGTCAATTTCAGATGTTTTTTACTAGTGTGATTCTATTTGTACATTTTATATTTGTCAGGAGGATATTTATGCATATTTGATGACAAAGAAGTGGTAGGATATTTTGTGTTTTGTTCTGTTTACTTGCGTGTTTTGATTTTCTTTTTTAAATGTACCACTGTACATTACAGTGAACTAAGTTGTGAAGTCCTAACAAAACTAAAGGTAACAGCACTTATTAGAGTGATGCAGTTCAGTATTTTAATGTTGTTTAGTATTTTGTCACTCAACGTATGGAAACACTTACAAAGTGAAGAGGATTAGTGTTTTTGAAGACTTTTAAGTCATGTTTTCTGTGCAATGAGATGATTATTTTGAAAAAGTGCTAGACAGAATTTAATGAATTCGAGGAAGACAGTTATTCGTTGCGAAAACAAATAAATTAGCTCAAGAGTTGAAATTTAAGAAGGTTACAGCTTTTGCTAGTGAAATCAGTATAAGTAGTATATAGTGAAATATCGAGAAAATTCACAAACGACTCTGAAAATCCGTAGGAGGAAACACCTGAATATCACTTAGCCATACAGAACAGAAGGAAATTAAAGGGAAGAAGAAGACCAATAAAAACAGGTAGGTAGAATAAAATCAACAATATATCATCACCCAAAAAACTCCACAACTATGGGGATGATAACAGTCAGAAAATTATATAGAATTTTCCACCTATTAGGTTGTGATGATGTTTCAGTTAGACGCCAAGCTAAGTTCTTCACGGCATCTGCTTTTGAATATACCAACTCCCTTTCGTACATCATATTCCATTTTGAAAGCTTCTTATGGCTTAAACGCATGAGAAAATGCATACTGTTATGGTTCTGTTGTTCAAATGTTTAAATTTCATGATATCAGTCCAATATAGTTTTTGTTTATTCACATATTCTGCATGACAAAGTGCACAGTTTGCCTAGTAGATGTATTTTGATTTTGCCTTTCTTGAAATATTGCCCATTTTAGTTACTTCTTTTACATTTCATTGTTCCCATAAATTACGCCAGTTTACTCAATTGTCCATTCTTCCTAAAACTTGATAAAATTTCTCTTCTCCACAAATGTTTTTAAAGTACTTAGGACCCAAAAATGATGTAATGTAATTAGACGACCAGTGAAACTAATTGAAGATATGGGTTTCCACAATAATGACCTGGAAATTCATCGGAAACAATAGGTTATTCCACAGTTGCATATTTCAGTATGTACCAAAATAAAAGATATCAATAGAGTTCGTGACCTAACAAATGCAAAATGTTTTTGAAATGGAGTATCATACGTCAGTATTTACCAGCTAAAGTTATTAGATTTTCATTATAATACTTAGAAAGTCTGATTAGCATCGAAGGTAGTAAAACACCTGATTTATAGCAGAATAATTTAAATTTAAAGATGTTCTAAGAAACTGACAAAACAGAGTTAGAACAGTAAAACGATGAAGTTTAAGGCCACAATGTGAAAAAGCAAGACAACGATAGATCTTATCAAAAAGAGGTGTCGACAAGAAAACCACTGAAAGGTTAACGCAAACCGAGTCTGAGGATTAAGACTTGGTACTAGAGACTTTGTCGCTTACTTACTGAGTGATTTGTGATTCCCGAAACGCGGGAATTTACCATAATACAAATCTCAACAGACTTTATAAGTGATTAAATGTTCTTAAGCTCAACTATGCGGGCTGCGGTGGTCGACAAATATTCTCCAGACCTTTGACAAATCCACTCTAATGGTAGTCACTAATTCGAAATGGACTGACATTCAAATGCTAGGTAGGTTTTAACTAAAAAGAATTAAAAGTCTTGGGGATGACTAATGTTTAGCTTTAATACGAAACTATGTAAGAGATCTAAGTGGATACAAGAATTATAGTTGCTCAAGGTTATTTTAACTAAACAGGTAAAGGTTGGTAATATAAGTCAAGACCATTAAGTGCTAGGGTAGTAACAAAGGTGATGAGTTGTCACAAACAGTTGTTAAAAGAAGTTATGCAATAATAATATGAATAGTTTGATGAGTGAGTTTTACTCAGGATGCACATAGAAACAAAGTAGATAATACGGAACTATGTAAGAGATTTAAGTGAATACAAGAATTATAAGCAATTAAGGAACAGGCAAAGAAACAAAATTAAGTCATCAAAATAAAAATAAAAGCTCAAAACAAATCAAAACATTGTTACCATGAGAGTAGAAGTGGTTGAGTAATCTTCTTTTGTATGCACAGCTCCGGTTTTTCCATGTGAATGGCCAGAGCTTCAGCGATGCAAAGGAGACGAAACCGTATTGCCTTTGATATGTTATTCTTGACTCTGTAGATTACTTTGAAGGAGGCGTTCGTTGAAATGCAATGATCAGTGTTGACCAGGTGTTCAATTATCGCACTCCTTATTGCACCAGTATTGCCTTTTCGCAACCATGCTGGATAATGTTCTTGAATTCTCTTGGACAGGATGCGCGTCGAACGACCGATGTACCTGGCTCCACAGCAGCAGGTGAACTGGTATATGCACATAGAAGTGGCCAGATGCGGGATCTTGTCCTTGAGGCTTCTGCAGATCAGTGGGCGACTGGAGAACACTATTCGTAGCGTTGCTGCAAAGAACGTTCTTCTCAGAGATGATGTGATCCTTCTCTTGAGAATATCGCTTGCTAAATCTCCCTTGAAATCCAAATTCATGTAGATTTTCTTTTTAGGCGCAGTTAAAGTTTCGTTTTTCCGAATTGTTGGTTTCATATTTTTGTCGATAAATCTTATTGGGTATCCATTTTGGATGAATATTTCTCTCAGAATATCTAATTCTGTTTCCAGAACGTCGGGACTACAGATGCGTCGGATGCGGGTAGCAAGTGATTTAATTAAATTTCGCTTTTGTTGAATGGGCACCCAGCTATAGAAGCTTGTTAGTTGTAATGTTTAGCTGTAATTAACGAGACAACAAGATGTAAGAATAGAAAAAATCATAATAATTATAAATTTATGCAAATACTAAATCACCAAACAATGAAAGATAAACCGCAAAATCCTCTCGTTCACAGATTAAAATTGAGAAGTTATGGCAACTCCCTCAAAACGTATTATTTTCATTATTTTATTCCTTCACGTTTCCAGTGGAACACAGGGCTTCAACCTAGAGGCTTAAAGTTTCGATAGCAGTGGTGGTGTTTTATTTTTACGAGATAGGGTTGCTAGCCTCATGCCCAACCTTCTCTCTTTACCAATCTTATTCCTGACTCAGCGAGGTAAAAGAGTGCGTCAGTGGCCGGGGATTGAATCCCGGACCACATGCATAGTTGGCGAACATCCTACCGCTGTATCACCCACATACCATTTCATCACTGATCACACGAAGAGTTGAACTCCGGTCAATCAGATGATTCGGATCAAGCACCTTGCAGTCAGTAGGACCGTTAAACAATCTTATTCCTTTCAACCACGAATTCTGCGATGAACAATACAAGGCGTATACGAAAATATTTATCGTAGTTTTGAAATTGGGGAATTTAATTTCTAATTAGGTATTCTGACTTGTGAATACCGGTTACCTTACTGAGTTTTCCCACAAGTTGCCCTAAGTTAATTTATGTGCTTGAATAGCATTGTTCAAAAACAGCCTGGTGGAAAATTTGGTAGAAATTATATAGTTGCGAGGTAATAAAAACATGGATTGTCTGGTGATCATTTCAGACAGATGTTTAGTGCACTTTGAATTTTGATACCTGTTTAATGAATATTAATATGTGACGACAGAAATTAGCCCATCAGTTTGACTGAACTTTAAGAAATATCACACAATGAATTCGTTACCTGTTAACTGTGTACACTTGTACTTTTCTCTTGTTAATTTCGGTGAATCGAAGTAACAGATATTTTCTAATGTACAGACTTCAATAATAGGTGTCTTGACAGTACTTGTACAATAGATGGCTCCTATCGTTTAACAGTCTTGTTGATAAAATATTATCGTCTGCAATCATGGGTTCTGTGAATAAGTCTTAGTGGGAATCAGCATCATTTACTGAGGTTGAGGTAAATCGAAACGACAACCCATAAACTGAACCAGAAGTCTATTGCAGATTCTGCTGATAAGCATTACAAAATAAAGACGTCAACATCTTTTCTGAATTAATGTTTCATTTTGTTTTCTTTTAGGTGTGAGAGTAGGATCAGTTAAATCGCTCCCATTTGGTATAATTAATAATGGTATCACTCGTGCACTAATTGAGATCAGTTTAGACAAATACAATGAATTTCAAATATTAGACAATAACAAATCTCTTACAACAGATGAATGTATGGATGAACAAATTAACATGAACGAAAGGGTAGCTTCTACAAAGAGTCAATTAAGTAGTTCATCTCTATTTAATAAATCAGAAAAGCAGCCTGTAGTTGATACTACAAATCTGAACTCTCAAAATTATTCGGAGTACGATAAAACGTCTGAGGTATATCGGATTTTTATATCACCTAAAGCTAAATGGATTGGGAGTATAATTTATAAGCCAAAAGTTGTAAGTGATTATGCTCAAATATAATCTTATTTTATTCCTTTAGTTGAATTTGAATCAAAATAACAAAATATACTTAAATTTTGACAAAGCAATAATAAGACATAGTTCGTCTGATTAATGTAATGCATTTATTTGTGCAACACATTTCGAAAAATCTAATCAGACACGGACTTGTTATAGGGATATATATATATATATATATATATATATATATATATATTTATATAATTAATAAAGAGTTAAGAGGTGAGAAAATAAATTTAGTTAAAAGGATATATTGAAGGTCAAAATAATACGTGAAGATCACTAAACCAAATAAGAGAGGTAATAGTACATCTGCTGTAGTATCGAAACAAAGTTTACCAAAGAAGGTTTAGAGTGATGACGAATTGTTTTTGAGCGCATAAAGGTGGTCTGAACTTTCTAATTGCTAGGGTTTCCACAAACTTTAGGATTCACCCCAAACACACTTTATAGATAGGTTTAAAAGATGTGAAAACATCAATTTTATGTCCTGTCTGTATATTATGTTTCGTAATAGAGGAGTTAGGTCTCGTGTTCTCAACATTGAAAGGTTCTAGAGATTCCATCTGATTTTGAAGCCATTTAGGAATATGCTCTTAAGCCCTTACTTGAAGAGATCAATGACTCCTCCCTATCTGTATGTGTCCACAAGTGCATTCAAATTGGTAAATACAGTCGGATGTGACATCATTTTTCGCATGATCAAAGAGCTTAGATGGATAAATCGGCTTTACATTCTTAGTTATTATGATATTAGCTGCATAAAAAGTCTTTTTAACCGGAGTAACGGTAAGAATTCCCTGCCTACCTTCATACTTATTATTAAAAACCTATCACTGGAAAGCTTTTAAATTGGTTTTAATTTATCCATTTCTGTTCACTGACAGGATTAACATTTGATTCAATAACTCTTGCGCTCAAAACACCTGCTACATACTAATGCACCAAACAATGGCTAGCAGATAGTGAAGTGGGCCTGAAATTCTTTAGAATCTTAGGCTGGTGACTAGATGATCAAGTTCTTTTCGAAGAACAGAATCGTAAAAGGTAGTGAGTGTTGCTATTACGAGTTGTCACAATTGTCAGATATAACTCACAGTTAATGGGTTTTACCTTTAACTTTGAGTAGTATGTCAGAAAACGAAATTCCATAACTAGACAGGAGCTGAAGATTGAAGTTTAGCCTGGAGGCTAAACACACTGATATGCTGCGTGAAAACGGAATTCTGTCAATTGATTCCTAAAAATAACACTAATCAAAAAAAATTAAGCTTGGCATCCAAATAAGATGTGAAGTAACTACCGACTACTATTCGCTGGTAGTATACTATTCACAAAAAAACTGGTAGATACGAAATCATTAATTAAAATACACAGATTTGTTGACATAAGGACAGGCTTACCACTTTTTTTTTCTTAATATGTGGTTTTACATTTTAAAAATTACGTTCTCTTGTGATTTGACCAAAATGCCTGTTACAGCTCTTTAAATGCCGTTCACTGTAAACTTTTCAGCGGAAACTGCACGATTGATTATCCTTCCATTTAAACTCCAATATTTGTTTGATTTTTTCCAACACAGGTATCACTTCATGACTTTACACTTCCGCTTATTATTAATAAACTCAGTCCAAAACTATTAAGTCAGCAATTCGAAGAAGTAAATAATTCTAATGAAGAACAACTCGTTAACGAAGATGAATCAAATTCAAAGCTAACTTCTAAAGAATTGGAACCAAGAGTTTTAGCTACAGGGTTAAGACGGCCGATAACAACTGAACCTAAGAATGGAGCACTGAAGTTTACCGGCACTCTGGGTGATACACCCTCAGAATCTGGAAATGTTTTATACCAAGTATGTCCTTAAATGAAACCATATATATATACTCCTATCGTGTTCGTTTTAACGGAATATAAATCAAAAAAATCTATATAGTTGTCTACAAATACTCAGATATGGACCTTGTTCAGTTGGTAAAATGCGCAAAATTAAAATGTAATGTAGGCTCTGAAAAGACTGTATTTTAAAATTCAAAGAATTTACTAAATACAAATGACAAATATTAACTCATTTCGGATAGGACTTATTGAAAAACTCTTAATTGGAGATCATAAAATAATCTCTCCTGCCAAATTCTATATAGCTGTCTTGTTGTGAATGTCTCGAAGTGTGCATCCGCCTATTATAACAAATAATGATTATTTTAGAACCTTGTGCATGTAGAAAATACTGGAAAATTCACTTTTAACTTAAGTGAACTGAATTATTGACGTGGAGATTTACTTACATGAAGGTAGAGAGAAGAAATGCAATGAAAATAATAGTTATCTGACCAATAACCGGTATTCTAAAAACCCAGATGATAACAAAGAATAAATACATCACAGTCATGTTACGAAGAGTCTCCAACCATTGATTCTCAGCACACCGAGGAATTTAGGTGGGAATTCTACACTTCCAACGCTCCTCAAACCAAGAGTCAAAGACTGTATCGGAAGCTGCCATGTGTTGGTATCACCGCTTACAAGTGGTTTCCAGCCTAAGCGTATGCCGACCAACATTGATGGACAATGAAGGTGGTGACTAGGTATGCGTAAAATGTGTCCTTGTTATCTCAGCCGATGGAGCTTCATAACCTCATCGACTATAATTTTTTCCATATACAACACTCTACAATTAACTTGATTATCAGTAACGATATTATAACACCTCAAACAATGATTTAAACTCAGATGTCTGCGGTCAAAATGGTTACTTTTCTCATATTTTTTCCACCACCAACAGCCATGACTTACGTTCATCTACTTTATAATAGTTTGAAGTCTTAATGTAATACACGTAACTTATCGATTTAGGGAAGGAAACTCAGTCATCTCAGTCTGGAGCCTTTCAAGAAATCAACTAACATAATCCTGTCGGAGAATGAACTTTGGACTAGTAGCTTTACAAAAGTCCACACAATCATTAGGACGTCGACACGCCTTTCATTTTCCTAGGTTCTCTAAATAATACCAGTTTATGACATGGTTACAACCATTTGTTTCAATTACTTATCTTCACAGTTATCAAGTAATTATTAACATATTGCACAAAATGTGCATAAAAATCAAGAATTGAAAATACGTCACTTGATAATGAGTTTTTCTCATCTTGAAATCTTTTAATAAAAACCAAATAAGTGAACAACATAATAGACGTTAAAGGTGTGACTACGACATTCTTTAAAAGTAGTTTCAAAATCGATAGAAAAGTGGCTCAGTGTCATTTTAAACCCTTTTTTCATTTTGTATTTTCTATTTGAAAGTGTCAATATGAAATCATGTTTACTTTAGTCTATATTTATTATCATCATTATTATTACCTTGCGTTCCAAGTGGAACATAGGGCTTCAACAACACATCTCCACTTTGTTCTGTTTTCTGCCGTCCTCTTCAGCTGGGTCCACTATTGACCAAACTCTCTCATCTCGTCCTCACACGATCTCCTCCACGTCACCCTAGGATGACCCACTCGTCGCTTGCCGTTTGGACTCCACTTGACGGCCTGGCGTGCGATGTCATTCGTCTATATATATATATATATATATATATATATATATATATACGTATGTCTAAATACAAAAATGTTGAACGTTGATCAGAATGTGTGAGAACACTTCCTAGCACTGTAGTTTGAAAAGTACCTTGAAATATTCAGTTTAATGTTGAGCTGAGTATGGATTAGTAGTATCTCACCACTCTTTTTGATGATTACATTCCAATCAAAAATTATAATTGGAAAGTTAAACTGGTTCCAATTCACTGAGATATCCCTAGAATTGATCTATCTGCATGGGAAAGAATTCATGAAGTAAGTGATTTAGTAGTAAACCTTCAGAAGTGAACAATCTGTGACATAAGTTTGATTGGAGGATTTCATCACGAGCTGACGTCAATTAGAGAGCCATTGGAGAACCAGGGAGTACTGGGCAGATGTTTCGTCCTAGTTTGGGACTCTTCACCGTGCGCACCCACTTCCAGAGTTCGGATTTAGGGCTTTCTGGTTACAGTGTGAGATGACAGACTGGGACCGATCCAGTGGCCCGTGAATTCTAACTTCTGCCAATTCACGATATAGCGCGACCACTTCTTCAGTGAGTAACTGACGAAAAGTTCCAAACTGGGATGAAACAGCTGTCCAGTACTCCCTGTTTCTCCAACGGTTCTCTAACCGATATCAGCTCATGATGAAATCCTCCAACCAATCAAGCAAAGGCCCTACAATCCAATACCTAAGAATCACAGATATATTCCTGTTGAAGAGTAATTACATCGATAGCTCCTAAGTCGAGATCCGTTTACTATTTTACAATTCTTCAAATAGAATCCAAATAGTGTTTTATTAGTCGTTTATGTCATTGCATGTTACCTATGTGATAATTATAAATACTCATTTCACAGCAATTTTTACTCAGTTGGTTTTCTTATGCGCTGTGTATGTTACAAACTGAACAGTTTTATTTGGCAAACAGTGATTATGATTGAAACTAAACAATAACTGAGCTAATTATACAATCCATCAAACCAAACATCTGGTAATCATCATTTGTCCAATATGTGTACTGAACTACAAAGTCTATCTGTGAGAAATCAAGTCGTATTATCACTAAGCTCCTAAACAGCAACAAGTGGGAGACGATTAGCCTCAGCTTATTCGTAATTATGATACATACAACTATTCTTGCGAAAAATATCTTCCTAACAGTCAGTTAGTGTTACACTGAAACGAGGTGAGATAGATCCGTATAGTTTCCTGTTGGAAGTATCATCTTCAATTTACGCGAGTCGTGTTCAACTGGTTTGCAAATCAGTTAGTGGATGAATTTTTTTGCAGGCTTCTCAAATAAAAAAACTAGATCATTATAAGATTAGTAATAGTATTCACACTTTTACATTTTTACAAAGAATATGATAATTAAAACCTTCTACTGTCCTTTTCAGCATTTAAGTATCAAATCAATTATTAATGTGCCAATGAAGTGGCATTTAGCTGTCTATGAAATTCAGCGTTTCAATAAACGTTATGGTTATGGCAAACTAACAATACGCGATATCAATGGTACAGAGTTACTGCCTGATTTAGATGGGTATATCAATGGTGATTTCATGGGTTGTAATGATAAAAATGTGCAACTTGAAATTCAACTTTGTCCAAGTAAGCAATTTTTTCTAATTTGCGATTGAATCTTAAATCCTTTTTTAGTATTATTTACTTTATGCTTGTTGGTCGTCGTATATATATATATATATATATATATATATGTTCCCTTCACGTTCCCCAGTGGAACATACGGCTTCAAGCTAGTGGCCTGAAGCTTCTGCAGCAGTGTTTATTTTAAAGGATGAGGTTGCTAGCCTCAGGCCAAACCCTTCCTCTTTGCCAGCATTATTTCTGCCACAGCGAGGTAAAGGAGTGCGTTGGCCAGAAATAATGGTGCTGTCTAATGCGGTGTCTAATTCTGTTATAAACTTATTAGTTGATCATGCATGCATCAACTCATGGTGCATAATGACAAGCATCGGTGCTTAGACCGGTGGAATTTTGGATCTCAAGAAACACATCTAGTTCGACAGGTTTGTGTGTTTTTTTTCTTTAGCTACTTGCATATATTTTGCTGGACTGAGGTGACTAGCCTCTATTTTTATATTGGATTCATCAGTAGACATGCAACTCTACGATGAATTTCATTCATGTTATTCTTGATTCATGTCACATTCCAAGGCTTTTAATTTTGAAGACAAACGAAATATGTTTGTCGAGCGCCCTGAATTGTATTTCCAATGCAAGTGCTGTAATGAGCATTAAGTTGTGTCTTTTTTTCAAAAGATTGATTACTGAACAAAGAATATTATTGTTATTTTTACGAGTTGATCACGGACTGATATCAGTTAGACAGCCATTGAAAACCAAGGAGTACTGGGCAGCTGTTTCATCCTATTTTGAGAATCATTGGCAGTACGCACCTGCCGTCAGGGTTTGAACCCTGGACCTTCCGGTTACAAGGCAAGCACGTATACCATTCAGTCACTGGGACCCGACTCAATGGCCCATAATTTATAACATCTACCAGTTCGTGTTTTTCAATGGTTCTCTAACTGATATGAATCCTCGATCGACTTGTAAAAACAAAACTAATCCTTACAATTATTCAAAAAGCACAAGAAGCCGATATGTCAGTCTGATACCGAGCACTTCCATGTAGTCAGTCGACGGGAAAATCTAAAATTAAATTAATATGACCCGTTGCACAAGAGGTGGCTCTCGTCGCCCAAGTCGTCTAGTGGATAATGCTTTGGCGTCCGAAACTATGGGCACTGGGTTCGAGCCTCGGTGGGAACATCGTCACTCACTGAGAAATGCAGGTAAATCTAGATGAAGAGTCCAAAATAGGACGAAATGCACATCCTGGGTTCCACTGCTAGTCACCATCCACCAATTAAATATTCAAGTATTGGTTTGTAGGTATTTGTTTGATTGGTCAGAGGATTTCATCATGAGCTGGCATTGGTTACAGAACCATTGCAAAACCTGAGAGTACTGGACAGCTGTTTCGTCCTAGTTTGGGACTCCTTACTATTACTGTTATTGACAACACTGACAACAATTTTTTCATTATTGTGGATATATAACTGTAGAACCTGATGAAGAAGTTATCGAAAAGAATACTCTTTGCTCAGTAATCAGTCTTTTGAAATTTCCAATTGGCATCTTTTTTCAGTTATCCCATTTTGTCAGGAAAAGTCATTTATTTTCGCCCTCTTAACGTTAAGGTTTGAGTCTAAACATTCTTGCTGAGATGAAATGAGACCTACTGTCCTTACCTGTGCAGTGACTGACATCTCATATTAGAGCTTTTAATGAGAATGTGAGAAAATCTATTCTAAGCTTAGTTACTTATGAACCTGTACCGAATAAAAATCTTTTGGAATGCTTTGTATATTTCAGCAAATAGTGATCGTCGAACTGTACTGTCAGATAACGAAAAAATCATGTTTAAAAGTAGTTACCGACTTCACAATAACTTTCATCATGAACTGGTATCACCCTTAGAACAGACAGTACTAGAGTGTTTCTCTGTCTCATCGTAGGATTTCCTCAGAATATCAAATATTATAATATTATTATTATATCCTTTAATTCCTAGAGGAACATAGGGCTTCAGCTGCGCGTCTCCATTGCCTCCGGTTTTCTGCCAACCTTTTCACCCAGCTCCAAGTCTGCCCACACACTTTCATCTCCTCTTCACATGACCTCCTCCAAGTCACCCTTGCACTGACGACCAACTCGCCGCTTCCCTTTCGGGTTCCACTCGAGGGCTTGTCTAGTGCAGGCAATAAAAAGTTCAAAACATTAGGATATATCGGAAAACATATTTCATCAGCATGTACGTATGTGTTAAACTGCTTTTCTACCAAACTTATAATACGCTAATTTAAATGCCTTAGAATTAATCTTTAAGCTATTAAATTATGGAAGCCATTGGTTGATTTTTTTGAAAATCCCTTTGCATGTATTTTTTACGTTACCTGTATGTTCTTCGACTAACTAATTAGTTAATTTCACTTTTTAGTTCAAGCAGGATGTTTCAAATTGAATTTGCCACTTTGGCTAACATTTCTCGAAAGTTTTGAATGTGAACGAAGTCCCAAATCTAATCATACACATTATCAAACACTTCAAATTATTATTGAGTTGAAAAAAATGGAAATTAAATTTGAACCAGAAAGAATATTACTGCCACCAGTTCCTACTGGAGTAAATGTAAGAGTGCCAGTCTCACTGACTTCATATCAGTTAAACAAACCTACTAAAATAACAGGATTTTGGAATTTTTTACCAGCATGTGAAGTTCAGTCACCGATTTGTGAAGCAAACATCCAGTGTCCGTTTACCGTCGAATATCCTGAAGGACAAAGTAAGCCCATATCTTACCATTTGATGCGTCACACTAACCAACTATATATGTATATATATGTCACATCTTAGTAACTCCCTTATCCGCTAGCTAGCATTTCTAAAGTAAAAGATACATAATTCTAAGTGGCTTTTTACAAATGTCTGAATTAAATGAACAGTGGTCAGTGTGAAAATAGGGCTGTTGAAGTTGTCTACTACATTTTCAGCAGTGTTCTGAATTTATCCACACTTCCTATTTCTTTTAGGCTTGCAGAAGCAGCATACTCCTTTTCTACCTACAAGTGACTTCTAGAGTTTTTCTTATTCCTTTGCGTTGCGAGAGGAACATGCGGCTTCAAGCTTCAGCTTTGACGTTTTAGTTGTAGTAGTTTATTTTACGGGGGTGGGGAGTTGCTAGCCACATGCTCAACTTTCCTACTATACTGGTCTTCCTACGGGGTAAGAGGTATACGAGTACGTCGGCTGGGGATCTGACGACAGACTGAGTGAGTGGTTGGCGAGTACCACTGACGCTAACATCTGGATACTTTAGGTTTATGCTCAGCTAAATATTCACAAGTTTCTCGACAGTGTTCAAATTTGTATTCTATAACCGCTGACTTTTAGCTCTGTGGTATTTATACACACACTACTACTCTGAAGTACAATTAGACGATTTTGCTGTTGGTCAGATTAATATATTTTATGCCGAAATATCTGTTTAGTTTTTCGGCTAATAAAAAGAAGTGCCTAACAGTGATGGTAGGGTATTAAGTAACTAAACGTTTCTATTAAACAATAAGTCTTATAGCCTTTTAGACATACTGAAGATTGGAAACGTTATCTATACACTGCCGTCTAAAACGCAGGTAACTCCTACTAACCATACCAAAAGTATCACCACAACTATTGCTAGTGCAATTCAGATTATCCTATTTCTTTGTTTTGGGAGAAGCAGGATCTTTTGGTTCACGGAAACAAGTTTTAAATAATTTCTACTGAGTATATCATTCATTTGGCAATCTCTACTCCTCTCTTACCGAGTTACTTTATCCCAGAGTATGGGTTACTTTTATGTTTCTGCAATTAAATGAGGCTATATGCCATTTGTAAACATTAAACCCAGAGGGATGTTCAGCTCAGGTGAAAATCAATGTATAAATAACCAATCATTGGTAGTATTATTTGATAAATAGAATGCATAGGTAATCTCAGAAATCGTTTGAAGAAAAGTTGAAGTAGAGTTTACGAACTAAAGCCTTATTTATTACATAAATATGGTTAAGCACCTAGATCATCTAGAACAAAGGAAGAAGAATTCGTGTTTCATGAGTCAAGTCTTTAGCTTATAAGCTTGTGGTGAGAGTTGTCTGCAAGCTAAAATTGTAAACAACAATTTATGTCAATGTCTACGTCCCAAATAGAGGTCATGAAAAAATAACAAGAACAAAGCTTAACCTTGAGGAACTCAACAACGAATCACAGCAGACTTAGCGTGAGAAAATACGAATCGCAGATATTTGGATTAACTTTCTAAGAAACGGACACAAGCAGTACAGAATAACCTTCAGCAAGAAAACAACCAATCAGAAGACGTTGCTTCTATGCTAAGATAACGAATAATAATGTACATAAAAATCTATAAATATCCGTTGATTTCCTCAATAACCAATCTATTGCCTGGCTCTTATCGTTACAAGCTTACATAGTGGATAGTTGATCTTTATTCACATCTAGTCTAACACTCTTTTAGTAAAAACAGTTTATTCCTTGTCTAGTAGACAAATAACAGTATCTCCAGTTAGATTTTATTCAAACTTGTAATACCTCTAACATATTTTATAATAATAAATAGTCTATTTTGTTTGTTTCGCTAAATGATCATTTACTTTTATTTTAGTTATCAAACCAGATAATGCTTTGTCTACCTGTAATACTGGAAGTTTAAATTTACTGCTAATTTTCAATTCTAAGATAAATGGACTTGTTTTAGCACCAAATCCTAGACCATTGTGTTTAGTTATTATCGCCAGTAACGTTAACACTGATGTAGACGGAACATCCTATTCCTCAAAAAGAAATGCCTACTCATCGTATATTTGCTCAGCTGCTTTACCTGTCAGTGCTGCTGCAGACAATTCACTTATCAGTTGGTTTGATTATGTAACGCGTCGACCAAATGAATTCCGACTTAATTATCCTCAGGTAAAATTTTTAAAGAAATTTATAATTCCAACGTAAAATCTTTTATCACTTTTAAATTGAAGATTTTAATCCATTCTGCTGAGACGGTACTAGCAGGCATTTATCATCGCTTATTCCTGTTGAGTGAAATTAATAATCGGTTATCAGCAACTCAAAAGTATTAACTACTTTTCAGAATAATTAACGTTTCAGAGTAGGGACAGCAAAATTTACACCAAAATCCCACTGATTTTGGACTTTTAACTGACGTAAAAGTGATCAAAATATAGACGAATTCCCTTAATCACATTGCTAGAACGAGGAATCGCGCATCTCGAGTTCCATTCTGCTCTTCACGCTACTATTACTAGAACCTGAATATAGCAACTTTTGTTTCACAACACTTTGTTCCGTGTATTTGAAGTAGCATGGGCAAATAAACCTAACCACTGAAAACTCTTTGAAACACACTCAATATCACAATGGAATAGTTAACTGATAAAAGTGAGATACAATCATCTCGAGAGAATCCCTTTTTTCAACGCTACTATTAGTAAATCAATAAATATTAGTGATACTTTGTGGACTGAAGTGAAAACAAGACGCGCTTACTAGGTGGAGTAGGTGCTTTCATCAGCCGATAGTCAGACTGGTAACTTAAGACCAATGGCTGTGCCTATTTGTAGATGTCCACACATCAACTAATTTAATGTGTTCGCTAGACAATGTATCATGTGAGTTTGTCACTAGGTTTTTGATCCAGTATGAAGGTAAACGTGATGGCGAAATTTATTATTCTAATCTTATTAGTTGTTCTTATTTAACTGACGATGTGTAATTGCACTTTTGTTAATATTGTATGTCTGTTTTTGTCTGAAGTACATATAAACTAATTATGGGTTAATATACAATGCTACTACCACTGCTGTCAGTCTGATGAGCTGTCTGAAATTTAGTAACTAAAAGAAGAGCATTACTATCTCAATCTCTCTTTTTCTTGTGTGATCCTGTGTGTAAGTGTAGCTAATAGGTAATGTGGAAATCACTTCTCAGTTCAGTTGCAAAACAGCACAGATTCTCTTCGTGCAGAGAGGTAAGTTTAATTTCGGATTCAGTCACTATCACACTAAATAAATAATAAGTTACGTGATTTCACTAAAGCCGATTTCATTACAATCCTTAAATTGTCGTCTTCGTTCACCAAATTCTGACCTTACGAACATATATTTGCATAGTAAATACGCAAATTATGCTCTCATCCTGTGTTCAATCCAAAAAATTAGTGCTGCACCGCACATAGTTCCATTCAATCGCCAACTAACATATAAGTAGTAGGCTGGGCATCTGTTAAATATCTCATCTGAACAACTGACCTGTTAAAATTATTCGGCCACCTAATTTCCCTCGGTGCATAATGCCTCAAATTTACTCAATTTCACTTAACTTTAATAAATCAATGACTTCTTTCAAGAACAGTCTTTATTTACGTGCATTTCCGAGTACCCTTCATTATACCACTGTGTTTTGAAAATGCTTAATCGTCGGGTGTTTCAGATAGAACGAAATTCCGTCAAATGATACACTGTCGGTGGCTTTTCAACCTGCAGGTCCTCTACAAAGAACGGATAAAATACGCCATAAAGTATGTACCGTTCAGAATGAAGACACTCTTACTATTGTTGAATGTAAATAGACCATTTATCATGCATTAGATACTACAGTTATAATCATATACACACGATAAAATAACTAAAATCATTATTATGTCTAATATCACAGACTTGAAGGTCTATAAGTAAAAACCAACAAGTTGGCAGAAGAGGCTGGCAGGGATGACAGGACTTCAATTGAACAAATTTTCCACTGAGTGACATCGTGCACCGGACTTAACCTCGGGTGGAACCCTAATGGGAAATGACGAGCTGTGCATAAATTTGAGGGTAACATGGAGGAGACCGTGTGGCGAGGAGAAGATGAGAGAATACTAGCAGTGATGGAGCCAGCTAGAGAGATTGGCAGAAAACAAGATGAAATGAAGATTTACTACTGAAGCCTTATGTTCTATGTAGAACTCAAGGAAATATTAAGAACAGTTAATTAATTGGAAATAACCAATTCGTAAGAATTAAGTTCTTTTTATTGGTAAGAGATACATATTCGAAAACCAATTACTGTGAAGAAACTAAGTTTGCAGTACACCATTATTCAGGAAACAGAATTCATGAAAATATCGAATTCAACATTGAGAAAACAAGCATAAAGTCATTTTATAAGGTTATTTCATTGCATTTGTGAGAAAAGATATACTTTATTGTCGACAATGAGCTAAATGAACCTATTTGCTTACATTCTGATGAGTTAATTACTTGTATGCAGTTACAGCAAAAAAACTGATTTTCAACTGATACTAGTTACAGATGACTGCTGATAGTTTTCTGTATTACCTGACAAAAAGTTTTCAATGAACTGGCTCACATCATAATGAAAATGTATCAGATAGTTTGACGAAAATCATAAATCACTAAAGATCCTTACTTTCTTTTCAGTTCACCTGAACAACTTATTAATAAGGACATTAATCGTGTCAATAAGTCGGAACGTTAGAATGAGCATTGATTTCCTCGAGTTTATAGACAAACACAACTACCACCAACTCGAACCAGGTTTCTACTTCTTGTTAAATGACTTCTCAATTCTAGGTTATAATGCACAAAAGTTCCTTTTCATTTAGCCTGGTAACTACACTCTACCTTCAGTGAGTTGATTACAAACAAAACTTGTAGTCAAACAGCCACCACCACACGATCAGCATTTTGCATATTTAGTTCCACAAAATAGTGTTGAGTTTCTCTATTTCAAAATAGACTATAAATCATGTATGTATTTCATACTAAATGTTCATTTTGATGACTTGTGTTTTCTTCATTTTCTGTCTTTAGAATTCTGCAGTAATTGTTAGCAAGCTGAAAAAGATTAAATACAGTCAGAATTTCAATATTTTAGCACTATACCACTTATTTAATGAGTTAAAACTTACACAGAAAGAATATCTAGATACAGAGGATACATTTTCAGATCAAAGTTCCAATGTAGACAATAATATGCAACAGAAATTTGATCAAAAATCTATGTGTGGTTTAGGTTATTCAAACCTCAACTGTAAAACGTATAATATCTCAAACAGTAAGCCTATTGCCTATAATGAATAACATTTATTTCACAGACAGAAAAATAGGGTATATTTTATTGTAGAACTTAGAACAAATTTTCTCTCCACTGGATCCCTATTTTCATTTTTTTTTAGAACATCGAAAATGGATTCTATTGAACACTGATGTCAATTAATGGTGGTCCAGTTCCTAGGAAAACGTTTATTTGATGTACTCATACATGGATCTGTTCAAATCCTTTATAATTTTATAGAAACAGATTCATGTATAAACACTAACTTTGCGAAATGTGGCTAGTGAATAAATCAGACATAAAAAAGTTTACTCCTGATTGGGAAAAGTGGTTTTACTTCACTGTAACAACTTGCTTAATTGAAGATGAAGTCTTAAGAATGTGAATCTAAATAAAGCATTTAGTTCAGTTGTAAATGATCACTTGTTCAGATGTAATGACCTCAGTCATGTTGCTTCCTATAATTGTTCTCATACGCACTCCATACTTACTGTTTATGTAATATGTAGCTAATAATGGCAACTCCAGAGTACTGCTGAGACAGATAGTGTAATTACTACAAATGAAATGAATATATATACATTATATTTTTCAAACTACAAACTTATTCAGATGTTTTTTGTTGTTTTTATTATAGGCCCCCTTTTGCTTGAAACTCATTTAGACAACTTAAATGACACTGATCACAGAAGGTAACTATACAACATTATTACACCATGAAATTTCACTAGTTTCTGTTTCCAGTATTCCTAATAACTGACTGAGTGACCAACATTTAACGTATGATTTAGCACAGAAGTGTTTAAGGTCAGGCGCATACACACTAAGAGAACCTAACTGTGATGATACAATTACAGACCGACGTAGATAGGTACAACAAAAACAAAACAATTTGATGAAGATTGGTGAACACGTTTAGGATATGATGTTAAACGCTGGTAATCATATTCAGTAATAGACTTCTTGATATATCTATCGAAATATTCGTCGTTTTCGCAACTAGTCCAGTGTACAGTTCACATGTTAGAAGAACGCTTACAGTCTCTTGAGATAAATTAAGGACAGAAATTCTCGAATGCTTTATGAATAAGAGAAAAATGTATTTTATGTCATCAATGAGTTTCTATCCATACACTAAACTTGGTGGACCCCATTAGAAATCCAGGCAACTTCGTTCTTAAGCTGTTCGCTAGTGAACACTAGATTAATTTCCAAGTATTGGTTCAGACGTATGTGATTATTTTCTTATCAGACCAAGAAATGACGAACCAGCTATCTTTATCGTATGAAATTAATCATTTGGTGAGGCATTGATTTATTTTTTTTAGAATAAAAGTGTAATACTTTGATTCACAACGGTTTCCAAAGGTTTAATGAAACTCATTTCTAACATACCATTCAAGTACATTTTGTTACAACAAGAAAATAAACTTTATTTCCTTTACATTTCAGAAACATAAGATACCAAAATATTTACTGTTTTATGTAGATACTTTAATAGTTAACTTCTCTAAAATTAACACTTAGTAGTGCGACTTCAGACCTCTGAAAATGGAAGAATCTTAGATTTTGGTGAGACCAAGTATAAAACTCATGAAGCTTATAAAGTAGGCCTTAGAAATCTAGGCAATTTTGACTGAGAATTTAATTGGAGGGTAGTGACTAACAGTGGAATCCAGGATTCGCATTTCGTCCTATTTGGGAGTCGTCAGCTGAATGTGCCTGCATTCCGAGTGAGTGATGATGTTCCCACCGAGGCTCGAACCCAGTGGCCATAGTTTCAAATGCCAAAGCGTTATGCACTAGGCCATTTGGGCCACAACAGCCACTTCTTTTGCAACGGGTCATATTAATTATTGAACTCAATTTTAAATTTTCCCCTCGATTGATTACATGGAAGTGCTCGGTCTCAGGCTGACATTTGGGGTTCTTGTGCTAAGTGCGTATCCTGGATTCCACTACTAGTCGCCATCCAACAATTAACTTCTAATTATATACCCAGACATAGCCGAAGCATCTGCACAAAAAGCCGACATGTCAACCTGAGACTGAGCATTTCGGTCCAATCAATCGACGGGAAAATCTGAAATTCAATTAAATAACTTTAATTTGTGATGGAAGAGTAACAATTTCAGACTTCTGACAACAAAGTACTCATCCATCGCAATGATATACATCTATGCAATAATTTTCACTAACCTCTAACTTGTTACTCACTAATCTTCCATTTTCACTATTTTTTAACTGCTCGCGTTATTTGAGAAAACTCATGCATTGAAAATTACGTCGAATGATCTAAACGAAGGGAAGGATTCTTTTAAGTAGTTTTTCATACCTTAATTATTGTAGAGTACATGTTCACTTACAATTAAATTAGATGTGAACTCCATGTGTTCGTATAACAACGTATTAAACTTTTAAGTGAACCACTCTAACGCCACCAATAAAACAGATTTACTGCTGAGAATGCGGTCATAACCATTCTTAATCTGCTTCTTTCACTTGGGTATTACCACGAATGAAAACTTATTGCGAGCATAATTCATAAAGTTTGGTTTTAAAATAATAATAATGATAAATTTTCTTTTTGCAAAACCCTTTTTTATTGATAGTACTTGTAAAATAAACGATTTAGATAAATTTTCCCCGTAATTCATCCGAAAAAGTGCTCTGACCTCATTTTGTGATCTACCCGACTGCATACCTAGTTCAGTGGTTTACACTGGAATCGTCCATCCAACTAGGTAGCTTGGATTTTTAAGAAATATAGATCACTCAGATCTCCGCATTCTGTCAGTCCACATCACTGATTAGTTTTATCTTCAACCAGCCATACTGCCATCTCGTGTCTAAATTATCTCAATCTAGCTAGTTAGCACTGGTGTTCTGTGCCAGGCGGCTTCAGTCACACAATTATGTATACGTTCCTTCATGTATTTACCTTGTTTTATTTAATTGCATAACACTGTGTATCTTTTTTTTCACCACGTTTAAACTTGCAGACCATCACCCTCTACTATGGGTACAACAATGACAAATATATATGGATCAAGTACATTTTTACCGGATTGGCAGTTGATTGATCATGCTGCAACAGAATACTTACAGCGTTGGTTAAGTGTGCATGGATTTCCAAATGGACGCCATTCATTAAAATTTCCAGAAGATTTTAGAAAGTAATCAGATTCACATATTGATAATGTAGATCAGTTCTGTTATTTTTATAAGCCTCACTGGTTTGGAATTATGACCTACTGTCATGACCAGATAATGAATAATGGTGTATATGTTAAGTTAGATATATATTTCATTCTTCAGAACGAGTTATTCGAATGAGGTAGTAAGTAAAATTAGAGATGATACACAAATAAATAAGTAAATAAATATTAAGTGTAAAACGAAAATAAGAGGAGTAATTGCAGCAGAATTAGCAAATAATCAAATAAAAAATTTCAGGAACCAAACAATGTGAACTCACAGTAATCTGAGGAATAAGTAGGTTTACACACAAGTTTACATTTGTAAATTTAGATAACATAACAAGAAGCTGTGATTTCCCTGAAATGTGTAACGTTTTTGTGCACCGCATTTGTATTAATTAGGTTATACATCAGCTTGTGATACATATTTTTCTAAACTTTAACGGATTATAAAAGATTTGAATTGAGGGTAATAGGAACGGAGGAGTGATGTGAAAATGGTCTGAATCCCAGACGTAAAGGGAATAATAATAATATAGCATCTGTAACCTCGAAATTGAGACTTCATGAAGGAATGAGAAATGGTGTCTTTAATTGCACTAGATGACTTATTCATATGAAATACAACTACGGTGAATATTATCTCTTGAGCTTACCTCTCTCTATTCTCTAGAATAGCCCATCTTTTCAATGCAAGCAAAGATTTTAAGTTAGTAAGGTGGATACACTTTTCAAACTATTGTGATTTAGGCATACATGATTTAGGACAGACAGCATAGAATGGCAGTTAAGCCTCTACCTCAACTTCATCGACTTTGAAAGTGCCTTCGATAGTGTTTGCCGCAAAGCAATTCAGAAACGGATCCGACACTATCGAGTGCCCTGAATCCTTATCAGCCTCATTCAATAGCTGTATAACAATACCACATTTCAAGTAATTCAAAATGAAAAATTCAGCAAAACCTTTAAAATGAATACAAGAGTAACACAAGGCTTCTTACTATCACCGATGATATTCCTAGTTGTGGTGGACAAAATCACTCGGTAGACCGAGGGGAGCGAGGAGACAAGAATACGCTGGACTGACAAGAGGAGTCTAGAAGATTTGAACGTTGCAGATGACTCATGTTCATCGTCACACAAACTAGAAGACTTACAGGCAAAAAACGGACCTCAACTGAACACAGGGGGGCAGAGGTGATAAACAACAATAACAACCAACAACAACAAGCATCTATCACCATCGACGGGAGAAATTTAAGGGAACTCGCTCCTTTGACTCATCTAAGCAAAATCGTCTCAACTACAGGCAGTTGGCACAGATGAGGATGTCACAGGCAGGATTGGAAAAGCAAGGCGGATCCACATCACTCTGAAATCAGTTTGGAAACCTGAAGCACTCAGCATAAGAAACACTACCAGGATCTCCAAGAGTAAAGCCGAAGCAGTGCATCTATATTGTTCAGAGACTTGGTGCAGGCGTCACATGACGTCATTCCAACAGACTGCAGACGTTTTTAGCAGCTGCCTTCCATGGTTTAATAATCAACATAAGATATCAGAGAGGATTAGTATTAGGGACTTCTGGGAACAAACCGATAACCCATTGCTCAACAAATATGCCTCAGGAAATGGAGATGGGTCAGATACACACTAGGGTGACCGTTAAGTGATATCGCGAGCCTCTGAGTGGAACGTGAATAAGAAACGATGAGTTAGGCACTTGTGGCTGACATGGAGCATAGGGTATGAGAAGGTGAAAGCCTGTGGGCAGTCGTGGAGAAAGACATAAAGGATTAAAAAGAACAATAAATGGAGATTGGCTGCTAAAGCCCAAGGGAATAATGAAGGAAAATATTAATCCATAATTTTCTTTACGTCCCATGGAAGTATGATAGATGTATTTAGACGTTTTAATGGTAATCACTTAAATCTGGATCAATGTACAACAATGACAGGAATTTGAATAAACTAGGGTATTCAGGAATTATTAACTTCTACTAGGAAAATAATGGTTTTCAACATTTATACATACATATATATATACATTTGTATAGCTACGAGAGTTACAGTTAACATATTTAATTATTAATTTTGTCAGTATTCACTACATGATTACCTTCATTCCTCAAAATCTCAGTATTTCCGTAGTCTGCCTTGTCTAATGTTTGTTATTTTGCTTTTCAGTTGTATATCACTGTCAGCTACAGTCGCTGATCTATCAGTTATGGGTGAGAAACAAAAGTCTTACATTAAATCACAGTCAAACCTAATGATAAGTGAATCAAGTCGAAGTTCAAAACTCAAAAAAAACAACAATAACAATAGCCATGGAAATGATAAAACTTCGAATGAATTCGTTTCACGTAGTCTCAATCCACTGTACAACTGTTTACAGCATCTTTGTGGTGATAAACAACCCCCTGGTTTATTGCCTTCAATTAATTTATCAATAAATAATCCTTATGAGGCACTGTCAACTGTTTATTTCTATTGTTCTGCTTTATTAACATTTGCACGAAGGTTAGTCTATTTAGTTATTTAATTAGCTAAGCAACTAAATAGTGTTTTTGCATCTAAAGACCTAACATTAAGTACTGCTAGTTACAATATAAACACTGTACATTTCTGGTATTAGGTGGTTGAAAACAACCGACAGGAAGCCTTCGACATAGGTTTCGTGCTAGTTGGCACTCGTCAGCAAGGCGTATCTGCAACCTTTAAGGAATCTATGTTTGTCCTGAGATTCGGACCCGCGTCACTCAGAGAAGTTACCAATGAGCTATTCGATCTAGCGATTAACCTCCTGTAGGACTGTATTGGATATTTTTTCCAGCTGTACACTAGTCAGCAACTAGTGTAATGCGTCTAGTCCTATCTTTGGTGCAGACTGCATTCTATTAGTCAAGTTTGCAATGTAGCCACCATGCCGCTAAGTGGCTCGCCAACACGGTGTACTGTGTCTTGTTCATATTAGATGGTTTGAGACAATCAGCAGAAATCCTTGGACTTAGGTTTCGTACGGCACATGTATTACGTTGTTTTCGGTGTGTTCAAATACTTGATCTGCTTAACACGCGTTTCTCACATTTATTCTTGAAGTTTCTTTTTACTGACATACGAAGACTTGATTTTGTTACTGGTTTATATTGATTTGAAGTGTAAAATCCCAATCAATAATCACATATTCCTTCCTACCCATTATTACCTTTATTTATTTTTCCATGACGATGGACGTTTGATTACTATTTGGGCGCTAACAAATAGTTAGACTAATGTGACATGTACTTTAGACACAAAGCGAGACTTAAAAACAAGCAAAAACATAGGAACGATCACAACGTGCTTTACAAATAGTTTTTACCTGCATATTTGTTCTTACAGAGGATTGAAAATGGTAGCTGAGTTACCTACCTGCCAAGAGAATAATATTATCAATCTGTTCCCATCAATCGATGAATAATTTCACTTGACTCGGTGACCAAATCACATATTTGACTGACAGTCGCCTAAACCTACATTTGATAACCATTATGTGTTAACAGGCACTGAGACATATTACTATCGAGAGAACTGAATGTTTGAATCTCATGAGTTACGCCGTGGTAGCAAGTATGCCTAACTTACAGGTACTAAACAGTGCGAAATATAAGTAGAGCGCTGTTGGTTAGTTTACCTATAATATCAAAAGTCTATTGATTATTTCTATGATTTTGCACTTTAAACTTCCCTTTAACTGATGATTTTCCATTTTATAATAGTCAAGGTAGTTGTTTACCACATGTTTTACCGGAACATTTAATGGACCCGAATGATTATCACCTATGGCATAAATATGGTTGTCCAGGTCTAACAGAATCTGCACGCATATTACATGTTTCATTCAGTCAGAATTTCGGAACTACACCAACAACGTATTCTGAATCAAATCAAACAGCTGAGACTGTTAACAAGCAAAATGACCATCATGGAGATTCTCTAAAGATTAATTTGTGCCCACTGAAAGAATCAAATGTAGAACAGTTTTTAATTATATCCGAAAGAGCATGGACAGATTTAATGCTACAGATAATTAAGGTAAGTATAGTCAATCTTTGAAAATATTAGTGTTGATTTTGCTGACACGTGGAACACAGAGACAAGGTGTGTCAATCCTAATGCACTATATTCATTGTAAAAGTTTCCTTTCAAGTTAGATTACGAGCTGATATGACTACTGACATAACTTATAGATCCACTGAAAACCAGAGAGTACTACACAGCTCATAATGAATTCCTGTAACCAATCAAATCCCTACAAACCAACACTTGAATATCAATGAGATGCTCACTAGCGACTAGCCCTATTCAGCTAGGTAGTTACCTGGGGTTCTAGTGAGAAGTTGTGACCAGTGGGGTGCAGCTGGTCGGGTGTGAGGACAAATACTCGCCAAAGACATTGGCTAGGAGTCGCGCTATGTCGTGAATTGGCAGAAGTTAGAATTCATGGGCTAGCCATTGGATCAGGTCCCAGTGGCTTAATGGTATACGAGCTTGCCTTGTAACCAGAAGGTCCTGGGTTCGGATACCGGTGGGTGCGTACTTTTGAAGAGTCCCGAACTAGGACGGAACAACTGTCCAGTACTCCCAGATTGATATCAGCTAGAAAATCATTGGAAATCACGAACTGATAGGTGTTATAAATCATGGGCCATTGAATCGGGTCCCGGTGGCTGAATGGTATACAAGGATTCCCATTATGTTTAGGAAGGTAATAACCACATATTTTGATGATAGTGTTGTCCAACTTACTGTCAAATTAATGTAACACAAACCTTTAAGGATAAACTTTCACTAGGTCATTTGTAGACATGCATTTCTTATCTAACAGCACATATGTAACCATAAGGTTACACATCACAGTAACTACTCTGCAGTATGGCTTCCATTTGATGAGAATTAGGTTAAGAAATAAAAATATTCCAAAAAGCTACTATCTAATCTTGAAAGTGGGAAGAACAAGTCTTGTATCCTCACCTTGAATCCAACAGGAGCAGAGTGCTTACAAAATGTACTCAGAGCTCTCAAAAAACCCAATTTACTCAGCGTTTACACCTAAGAGAACCTCGTCATTTGTGTATTTTCACCTAGTGTAGAAAGGTTTTGGAAATAACACAATTATTGACCAGTTTACATTAGCAAGTTTTCGATGGATCAAGTGCTTTTCGACAGGATTTATCACCAGGCAGATATTCATGAAATCTAGGAAGAACTAAACAGTTGATTTCCCATAGCTTTCTCTTCTTAGTATTAACAGTGTGAAAATCCTTTCGGCGTCATACTCAGAAACCCGAGGCTTAGCAATGAATTCTTCCCACCTTCGTCAATTCGTTATCTAGTGTTATCGCTGAACAGTCTCTCAGTTTCGTCCTTTTCGATCCGAAATAGTGATGATTAACCGTTCACATTTCAATAATATCATTCCTTAATTATAAATTATTTAAAATAATCCCAATGTGTTTAAGAAAAAATCAAAACAAGATTTTTCTGAACGTTTCACTGTGTAAGCCCCAGCTTCTTCATCAGAATTATTCGGATCTTATCAATCATCAAAATATATAGCCAAAAACTTTCTACACAAATTTAAGTCAGTTTATTTGAAAACGCTTGAGGCTTTAATAATGCTTTGATAAAGCTATTAGCATTAAATAGCGAAATGTCAGTAAAAACAATATCGTTTCGTTTTTCATTCATTGGGAAATACAAAAACCTTTATTATAATCAGTTTATTTGAAAGTCACTTGTCGATAGACATTTTTACCAATAGAAATATGCAAGCAGTCATCATATGTTTGTGATGACTAATGTCAAATTGTTATTGTGTATATTTCTTTCTGTATGAGTGTGTGTGAGTGTATGTAATTTGTCATATGGAAAACACGTCAGTTCGCATGTGATAAATATGATAATACATACTTTTAAAGGCCATGGAGGTTTTTGCTGTTTTTTCATCTGTCTTGCTTCATTAGAGCTTGCCATACAGGTGATAAGTCTATCCCTTCTTTCCTATTTACTGCGTTTGATGTAGTTAAAATGTGCAAGGCTTCAGCGATCAACCTTTTTTATGTGAATGAAATCCTCTTCCAAGAATTTCGACATTGTCGAAATCAATCTTATGTCCGCTTTCTATCGCATGCGTTGCTATAACCGATCTTTTCTCTAGACTTTATAATTCTACGTCATTTCTAGGTGGATGTTTCGTGCATAGTCTATGTTCATTTACTCTGACCTTCACCTGTCTACTTCTTCACATTCTGAACACTTTATCCTATAGACACAATTACTTTTTGACATTTTGGGAACCATATCCTTGACACTCCAGAGAATCCGAGGGCTTGAAATAGACTTTAAAATTATATGAAGCAAATAGTCTTTGAAGTTGTTCAGGTGTGTCCTTTCGATATGAAATGGCTATCGTCGATAGCCAAGATTTTTCAATTTTCTGTTCTCCCTTGTGCTCCTTCTTTCTGATAATATTATTTAGTAGCTTTTCCGGATAACCATTTCCAATCAAAATCTGTTTTACATTGGATATCTCGTTCTCCATATTATTAGCTCTTATAATGTTTCTGGCTCTGTTAACGAGATTTAAAGCTACAGAAACTTTCACTCCTACTGGATGACCTGATTGGAAATTTAAATACTTGTTAGGATGTGTTGGTTTTCTGTATATTGTAAACTTCAGTTTCTCCTCAGTTTGTCTTTTTACAAGACAATCAAGAAAGTTTAGAGTTCTCTCTGGCGATTCTACTTTATTGGTAGACTCTATATATTCTGAGGTTAAGTTAATCTATGTTAGAAAGTTTTCTTTTTCAGTTTTCTTCGCGATGATAAGTTTTTCATCTACATATCTGTATCATATTCTAGGATGACATCTAAGACTTGTCAATGCTTTCTTTTCTAAGGCTTTCATATATAAGTTTGCTACAATTGGAGATGCTGGTGAAACCATTGCAACTCTGTTTGTCTGACAGTATAGTTTGTCTTTAAAGGTAAAATATGTAGATTCTAAACAAAGTAATAAGCATTTCATAAATTTTTCTATTGCTAATGAAGATTTAGCTAATACTTCCTGATTGTTTTCAAGTTCATATTTCATTATATCCAGTAAATCACATATAGGAATAGTACTAAATAGAGAAACCACATCAGAACTTGCCATAATTTTGACTTCTTCAATAGTTATGTTCACTACTTTCCTTTTAAACTCTTCAATATTTTTAATGTTTGAAGGAATACTGTATTGAAGTGGTTTCAGTACTTGTGATATGTGTTTTGATAAAGTGTATGTCACTGAATTGGTGAAATCAATTATTGGTCTTAGAGGAACATTTATTTTGTTTTTTTTGGCCTTCAATAAAACCTCTTGGCCTTGTCTGTTTTGGGAGCTATTGAAAACTAAACTGAATTTCCTAATTTTGATTTCAATTCTCTAAAAAAAATTATATACTTGTGCTTTTACTTTGTTCATGGTACTAGACATTTTGTTTATTGGTACTAGTGCGTATGGGCCTGCTTCGATATGTTTCAAAGCTGTCTTGTAATAGTCATCCTTATTAAGAAACACAGTGACATTGTCTTTGTCAGCTTTAGTTGTAACAAGAGATTTGTCTGATCTTAGTGTTTGTAATAGATGACGTTCGTTTTTCGACAAATTTGGGATGATCTGCTTTTAATTCGACAGGATACATCTAACCTTCTGACGTAATTCATTAGCTTCATCATCAAGTAAAAAGGCGCTCCAATTATTTCAGGATGTTCATAACATCTACGGTCTGGAAACTTATAATCATTCCTTAATTGTTTATCAATATTTACTGTATGATTATGTCGATAAGAGGTGTATGGGAATCTCTCAGTTGTGAAGTAATTGTTGTCAGTCTGTTGTTGACTTATAATAAAAACTGAATTCATGTTTATTAATTTGTTTTTGTTTTTTAATTGGTACTTAATACAAGTGATTATAGATATAATTTCTCCTTCTTTACTTGTTTAGTGTCTCCTGTTTAATCGAATCGATATCAATTCACTAGATTCAGCTTACCTACCGCCTAAAGAACTATTAAAAAATAAATCGAATGAAGCGTCTCCATCTGCTATATCGTCCTCCACATCACCACTGTCTTATTCACAACCAAATGAATCAAACTATGAGACTAAACAAATCTTGGAACATGCAGTAGACTCACTAGAGAAAACCGATCGTAAACAAATTTCTAAGTTAATAAATTCAACTGATCTACAAATCGATAGTTGTTATTCTTCATGTGAGCGTATTTTGTTGACATGGTTAAACTACTGTTATCATCAGTATGCATGTCAAATATGGCCGGATAATAAATCAATATTTATGGATCGTCTCATTGTTACTAACTTTGATAATGATTTACGTGATGGTATTGTATTAGCCTCTACGATTGGGGCATACATTCCTAGCCTTGTGAGTAAATGTTTCTTTTTTACAATTACTGTCATGATTATTGCTTAAGATTATTCTAGGCTTATCAATTTAATCATATGATAACTGTGACGAACACTTAAATAACAGAAGAATTTTTTTCCGGTTCACAGACCACAGCAGATTATTAGCGCTAATCTCCTCGTACCGTATGTCGAGCCTCAAGAATATGAGTGAGTTAAATGACTTACTACATTAACAAAAACATGTAATCGATCATTAAGCGAGTGCTATTAAAATTGTCTAATCAGAATTACACAGGATTAAACACAGTTGTAAAGAAGAATTCTACCAGGCCTATTGGCTACAATTTCCTTCCTTTGAAACATTTATTTCCCAATGCGCATTTAAAACAAGCCCAAATCTTTTTGATGTGGTTAAGGATTTAATGAATTCATCAGATTTTGGTGGAACTCTTCAGTTGAACACTCTAATTACATGGACATATGTATATATAAATATCATTAGAATTAGGCTGGGAGATATACGGCTACCAAGCAAATAAACTGCATTGGATTAATCATGAGAAACGACACGTGTGGATGTTTTTCAGTTTGTGTTCAGATAGATAAGAGGAAGGGAATATGATAGATAAAGTTAAGGTAATGTGCGTTGGTGTCATAGCGGTTAGGACGCTCGCCGACCATGCAAATGGTCCGAGTTTCGATCCCCAGCCGACGAACTCCTTTACCTCGCTAAGCCAGAAATAATCCTGGTAAAGAGGAAAGGTTGGGCATGAGGCTAGCAACCTTATCCTGTGAAATAAAAAAACACTGCTACAGAAACTTCAAGCCACTAGCTTGAAGCACTATGTCCCACTGGGGAACGTGAAGGAAAAAAAATTAAGGTAATAATACATTACTGCTTAGTTACATTACTTAAATAAGCAATCAGATATCAGGAAAATAACTCGAAGATATCAAGAATTGCAGGTTGAATAGTACCGACAATAATAGTAGTAGCAACAATAATAATACTAAAACGAGTCTGGATAATAGTAGAGATAAAGGTTAGTTTTAAATAAATTCAGAATAATAATAAGAGGTAGAATAAAATATAGGATAAAAATAATCAATAGTGGTAAGAGTGAGACATATTTCCATGGTAGATCCAGAATGACCACTCTGAAGAGTTCCATCGAAATTTCATGAATTTACTAAATCTTCCTTTATTTAGGTGTGCTATTTGTTTTAAGCTGCCATTTACGATGACTGTTTATTGGCATGACTATTTGAACCCTTCGAATTTGATAGGACTCACCTGTGGTTAACGCTTGTGGTCCAGAGTTCAGTTTCCGGCCGACATACACCTCGCTAAGCCGGTGATAAAACCTTTAAAGAGAGAAAGTTGTGAGTGAGACTAGCAACTCCATCCCATAACAATAAAACACCAATGCTATCGAGACTTCTAAGCTCTAGTCTGAAGCCCTATGTTCTACTGGTAACCTAAAGGAATAAAACAAACCTGATTCGACAAGCTAACGGTTGCCAGTACAACTTTTGAAGTGTTGATTACTGATTGTGAATCTCAATAGGAACACCATCATATTAGAATAACGACACATCTGACTGATAAATTTCTGAATCTGACATTTCACCGCCAGCCACCGTCGAATAAACCCCTTGAGATTTATATACCTGTGTTGATTTACAAATATTTTTGCATTCACATATTTGACCTGTTGGTAAAACAAGAGGTTATATGGGTTTGTTATTTTATTTAGTTTCCAATTCAGTATGCAGATGAACGTAATGGCCTCATTTATTATTTCTAATCCTATTGGCTGTTCCCATTCAGCAGACAACGATCATTTGTAATTCTGCTGATGATTTATGTTCGGGTTTACTTGATGAATATATAAACACTACTGCTATTACCGTCTCTCTGCTGCTTGCCTCAGTTCTGCATATTTTGATGATACAATCCTTCTTCTTTGCAGGTGATTCTGCGTACAAGTTGTAGTTAGCCCTTAGTGCAGAATTTACCTCTTAATTCAACTATAAATGCCAGTACAATCTGTCAGACGGCATCATAGTTGAAAACAGAGTACATCAATAATGCATCTGTCCTAGGAGTCGACATTCCAACAAACAATGTGAAATTCGAAGTGCCAATAAATGACAGCCGACACCCACTTTAAAAGCGATTGTCGTCCTGGCTAATTTCCTAGTGTAAAACCCGTCAGCAACAAAGGTTGTGGTGAGAGGAGGCTGCTATCCAAATTTGTAGACATTAATTTACGTCAGTGTTTATGTCGCAAAAAAATATGAACAAGACTGATTCAACAACCAAACACAGCATACTTTGCGTAGGCAGATACAGTTAACATATAGATGACCTGACATTCAAGAGATAGTCACAAAGAGATGCAAGGTCAACTTTCTGTGAGAAGCAAACAATCAGAAGACTGTGTTTGTTTGCTTGATTGAATAAGCTATAATAATAATGTAAATGAAAATATATAAATACATGTTGATTTCCTTAATAAACGATCTGTTGCCTGGCCCTTGTCTTCTGTTGTTACAAGGTGATGTGCGATAGGTCCAAGAGTTAGTCGAAACTCAGTCACACATACATGCCAAACTAGCTGGTGACTCTCGAGTAGCACGGAGCTCACGTCTTCAATACCACTGTTAGTCATCACATACATCTCAAATAACAGTTCGCCTTCAGTTCGCTGAGATATTATAGAAGGATGTTTATTGCTAGTGTAACAATAGAAGACAAGGGCCAGGTAACAGATCGTTTATTAAGGAAATCAGCACGTATTATACATATTTCATGTACATTATTATAGCTTATTCAAGCAGACAAACACAGTCTCCTGGTTGGTTGTTTCTTGCTCAAGGTTATTCTGTACTGCTTGTGACTGGTTACTCAGAAAGTTAAGCTATATATCTGCGAATCGTATTTGCCCACGTTAAGTCTGCTGTGGTTGGTTGTTGAATCAGTTATGTTCATATTTTCTCACGGCCAATATTAGTGACACAGACACTGACGTAAATTAATGTCTACCAATTGGCTATCAGCCTGCTATCACCACACTAGTATTAAGGAATCCCATAGATTAGTACGATACTCACATAAAACTTCAGAGACAGTAAATACATTGTTTAGCTGTTAACTTTTTAAACCATTTCCAGCTTCAAGGTAAGTCACAAGTGAAATGTCTTCATGATAAATCAGTGTAGTGTCTGTTTCAGCTTTTTTATATGAATTCAGAAGAGCTTTGGTCATAATACGGGTCATAGCTGCTTGCAACGATATCTTGAACCACAGTTATTTAGTTGTTACTTGAAAAAGTCTTAAACTCAAACATTTGTAAGGAGAATGCTTGAAATATGCTGATTTTCTAGTTCCTACTTTGATTTGTCAGACATTGCAACTGAAGCTACAATTAGTAAGTGATTGCCAGCGTTATAGCTAACGGAGTTTTCTGTGTTCTTGTATCCATCTATCCATAAAGCCAACCTAGAAAGTGTATCACATCAGCAGCAAATGGAGTACTATCAGAAAACTAGTAAACATACTTTCAGTCGGTTGTTTTCGTGTACAATATTCCTAAATGAAGACTCCAATTCGTTTTTCTATTCTAAAAGATGTTTAGGTCCCTTTAAAAGGTGACGTTGTAAAATGAAAGAGTTGTTTGATAGGTATCTCTCTATAGGGGAAATTCATATTTACAAGTTATATCCTATCTGTGCTAAATTTGTTGAAAATTAAACAAACTGGCCTTTATTCTACCATTATGCTATTATGATACAAACGTTTTTCCCCCTGATGTATTTAGATTCCAAATTTCTTGTCTAAAATATATACTCAACCAACATCAAATGAAAAGTGCTTTCACAATGCAATCATTTTAGTTCAGGCATTGAGAACAATTCGTTTTGAATACGATTTATATCCATCCGACATAACAAGTCCACATCCTTGTGCAATGTCACTACTATGCTTACACCTATTCTGTCAACTGCCTGACTATTTACCGAAACAAACAATACAACTTACAGGTAGGTGAATACAAACAGATATTAACTGGAATTTATTATTAATTTCATGTATTCTCTTAGCTTCTAAGTTGATATGTATCCACATGGTGTGTGTTTTGTTTTTGACAGTCCATTATATTTTGCTATGTGTATATGGATCGATATTTCATTATAACTGACAATATGCTTTTGTCCGTCCATTAACTAAATAAGCAATGTATGACCTTGATATCACATGACATTACAACCAATCATGGTAAGACGTTATCTTATTGGTTCATGTGTATTAGCCATTTTCATACATACTCTTGCTTATCATTCTTGTTCATTTTTTTACGCACACACTGTTTCGTACATTCGTACCATTTCACTCACACACTAGTGTGACATTTATTTTCCTTGTCTGGAAAATACAAGTATCATCGTAAACCTGGTGGTCTTCTGATTTCCCTCTTTCCGCGTCACGACTATTCACTACTCGACGAGTACATAACATAAGTACATTCCACTGCTTCTTAATATGTTCTTCTGATCAATTTCACGTACAAAGGATCACAGCTTTTATCTACTACTTCACTTGTGGAAAGGGAGATTGATTACTGAATCCTCGTTCACTGACTCTACACCTAACACATACAACAGAACTGACTCAGTGCAAATACCAGAGATATGGAAGATATTATTGCCAGTCAAATCAGAGGATAATAAATAATGTTAAAATGTATTCAATTCACATTATAACATTCTAACAAGTTATTTATTTTACTATAAAATCATCTTATTGTATTGTATTGATAACACTAATATTATTTCCGAGTGTCTTTCATCTTATATTGACTTTATTCAAATGTCTAATCAATTTTACTCATGTATATAAATGAAGTAAGAAAGTTGTGTGAGTAGCTTGATATGATTATGAGCAATAATTTATGCTCAGAACGTCATCACTTAATAGTACTGTGCACCACTGTGTGATTTTATCAAATATAAATTTTCATCCATATTGAAGTTATGCTCTACCACACTGCCCAAGTTTTATCTTTATATCCACAGTGAAGTAGTTTCATTCAGAGGCGAAGTCGAGCATGTCAAAAGAAAAAAGCGTTCTGTAGGAATATTTTATCCCAGCAAAAGTGTTTTAAGTCTTCTGTGTCTAAACTGCTAAGGATTTTAAGAGTTGTCTAGTGTGTGTAAGCATATGAATGCATTCAAAATTGGTTTACATTCTTAATTACCCTAGTTCACACTAGATCTACTAGAATTCCCGCAGCTAGTTGAATAATTGAGTTATTCAGAGAATGTATAACCATTAAAGGCGCCGACGTTTTTTAAATGCTGAAAAGTAACACTTAGCATTGTAATAGAATATATTTTCATTTTACTCGGTTTATTTGATACAACGCGCGCTGGAACAGTTTAGTTTACTGAAGATATTTTGAAATTAATTCATTGCTCACAATAAAGACAAAGCATTGACACAACTTTCAAACTTTCTCTTCATGTTTCTACAGTTCCTTACCTGACTTTGCTTCCGAACAACTGGCGTTGACTTGTATCCATGATCTGTGTTTCTTTCTTTCCAACTAGCAACATGAGTTTATCAAAGCCAAGCTATTCAGTTTTATAGTATGGTCACTCATTAATGAATTTATTGCAGTGTATCAGCATTTCCGCTGGAGTGGATATTATTTCACTGAAATCCTGTTCTGTATTTAACTAAACCTCTGCTCTTATATTGTGATTGATTACATTTACCCACAGAGAAGTGAACGCTTGATATGATATAACTTAGACCTATAAATTCAGTTGAAAGTGCATCAGATGAAATTATTCGTGTCTCAAATCATTGAAAATGTTTTGAGGCTATTCACATTATATCATATCATCACAGTTCTTTTCTGTATTTACGAAAACTTATTTCCTTTTTTCTTCTGTTTATTTTCGTCTATAGGTCTTTTAAATTCTTCTGCCAAACGTCAGTTAGTAATCACAAATACCAGCTCACATTTCTTGACTTACAGTTGTATCATAATTGGTCCAAATGCAACTGATTTTAATTGTACATCTAGTGGAAATTTAAACAAGTCAACAAAACGTGAAAACAATAAAGTAAAAAAGTGTCCAAATTCAATAAATGACAATATTACAAATAATAATAGTAATAATGGTCAAGTGTATAATAATATGAAAGAGATGAAAATTACTGTACCATCAAAGGGAAAAGTACAATTATCGCTTGAATACAAGTAAGCTGACATAACCCTCTTTTCTCTCTTAACAAATATTATGAATGGTACTAGCCCGTAACCGCTGATTGTGGTAGTTTGCCTTGAGATGAGTAAAATACAGTTACTCAAATATTAACCACACTCGTCTATATTTTAATTTTAATTTATTTGAAATGCAGAGACAATATTTCTATATTGTTATATTTAAAGGAAGCATAAGAATAATTTTGTTTCGAAAAATAGCTATGCTCAAGGCGTGAGCGAATAACCCTAAACAATGAAGGGAGCAAAACAGAAATAATTAAAGCACCGAATATAAAGAGCCTGTGAGCTAAAATTCAACAGTGAAGATTCACGCTTGATCACAAAGCAAGTTGCTAGATTATTCAACTAAAAGGTCCTGAGTTCAAACCCTGGTGGGTGATTAATGATGGCTGCATGGAGGATTTCACCATTAATCAAACAAAATCCCTACAAATCCAATACTTGAAGATTAATGATGAATCCTAAAATGGGACAGAAGAGACGTCCAGTACCCTGTGGTTTTCCAGTGGGTCTGTTGCTGATTTCAGCTCGTGACCAAACCTGTAGCCAATCAAGTTTCTGCAAGCCAACATTTGAAAAAAAACATTCACATCGGAAGGACTTATGATCCATTCAGAAAACATTGAAAGAAACAATCACAAACAGCACTATTATGAAGTGACACATGTTGTGGTGAGAGCTAGGTGGAGGCCGAAAATCATAGACAGCAATTTACATCAGTGTTACGTCCCGAATTGGGGGCATGAGAAAAAACAACAACAAAGCTTAACCTTGAGGAACTCAACAACCAATTACAGCAGATTTAATGTGTGTAAATACGATTCGAAGATATATAGCTTAACTTTCTAAGAAGCTTTCACAAGCAGTACAGAATAACCTTCAGTAAGAAAAAACCAATCAGAAGACGTTGCTTCTATGCTAAGATAACGAATAATAATGTACAGAGAAATCTATAAATATCTGTTGAATTTCTCAATAAACGATGTTGCCTGACCTTTGTCTTCTGTCGTTACAATATAAATAATGAAAATCAGCAATTCTATAGACAATCAAGAAAACCTGAAATCTACCACTCAACTTCCCGAGATTGCCATATATAGCATTCACCGACATCTGCAGATTAAATTCCAACATTTAAACAGAAGCTTGGGACTCTAATTCACCTCGATGATGCATTTTAGTGAACAAAGTAGTGTATAAAATCCTAGAAACTGCCTTAAATGTTTCCAAAGACATTCAAATACATAAACTTCCAAGTAAACTAAAGTTCGCACTCAGTGACCTCAAATATTTGAATAGCCTCCTAAAATGATGGATATCATGAGGCACTCTTTAAGAACCCATGATTACAATTTAAATGCAAGTCAGAGGATATTTTACTTTAGAAAAACTTCAAAAAAGCAACGACAAAGAGTATGTCAATTATTATACAGTACAATAGGGTCAACCTTTTTGTTAATACACATACAAACATAAAACGTCAGTTAAGCGTCATAATAATAAATCAACACATCCGCAACTTCAACTAGAGAACTTTCGTAGTCTAAAAGCATGCTATTTCTAACTTCACCGAAGGGTTCCTGAAAGCACAACATTCAAGTGAAGAACTAACTAATATGTATATACACACACACCATCCATAAACCCATGACAATTAAGACTGACAGGCTTGCTTCCTAATTTAATTAATGTCCCGGAGAAGCATAAGCTCCCCTGGTGCACAAAGAGAGATTTCGAAATTACTGAACACTAATAAAAATGACAGTCCTTTTATCAGATGAAGAATCAAACTCTAAAATCGCCCAATAGAACACTGACTGTAATAAAAACACAGGGACAAGGTGAACCCAGGAAGAAATTAGTCATTATTCAAAGCATTTCAAAGGTTAAAAAACTATAGAGACTAATTTTGGGAATTATTCCAAAAGAAGTATCTTTAACATTCAGCATGGATTATGTACAAACGACAAAAGCCCTGCTAACAGTAGCTCAGTGACCACAAAGGCGCTATCACAAAACACTTCACTGATTACAGATCATAATGCAGAACTGACAACATTCGGCCACTCAAGAAGAAAAGATCAAGCTATATGCCAATCTCCGAAACGCCGCAAAACTACTCACTATGTACTGAAGATGACTAAACTGAATCCCAAATCTTGTACAGAAACAAAGTTATCAGAACTCACTAAGTGTCAGTTTGTAATGATTTATGAACCCAAATAGTTTGTGAGTTATCCTAAAAATAGAAGTTTTTATCAGTAAAACGTGGGTGGAGATGAGAACTAACATGTCCTGTCATCTTGAAATGCTACAAATTACTGGAGAATTTCTATTTTAAAATATCCCCAATAGAGCGCCCAATAAACCTCCACCGGAGTCCACAATAAACTCCTGCATCCTCTATGGTGTTGATCCCCTTCGAAAAAATAAGACGGCTATGATATGCCCACTTTCAGTTTGTCATCTCAATCACAAGCCCTGTTAAATAGACGTTTGTTCCAGCTTTTGAGTCTACAGTTTGATAACTCTCTCACAGTGGATCAATATATTACACAGTAATACTAGACGTTTCGCAGTGTTTCTATGAATGACCCTATGAGAATACTGACTGACCCTGGCTTTAAAGTAAGTGATGAGTGGTAAATAAATGCTAACTTTCAGCAGCGGATGTTTCCCTCAGATGTCTGTTTACTCCAACGTTCATTGTTTTCCTGTATTGGTTTTACTAGAATTCTATAACTGTGAAACACAAATTGCAAATATTAATATAACAAGATAATTAAGAAGTGGTCTTCCATCTTTTTTCGTCCTCTAATGCTTCCATTTAAGAGTTTATATCGCCTTCCAAACATTAGAAGAATAATTGGTGTTTCATTTTATGTACTTACCTCAGATCTCGGTTCCTTAAAGCAACAGAGGCGATATTTTTAGCCGTCTCTCAACGCCAGAATGGATGTCACGGCAAAAACTTGTCGTTTATTCTATCAGGAACTGTAGGTGGACTAGAAGCGTTGGTAAGCGATCACATTTAAATTTATGGTTTGAAATCTTTTTTTGCTTAGTACATCTGTCTTTGAAGAACCTTTAGGTGACAAGATAAATAAAGTTAAATAACCACTAGGTGGGTTAGAGTCCTCAATATGCGTTTCATTACAAATTTAGATGTAAAACGTGAATCAACCACTTCCAACCTGTCGACTGAGTGGTAACTTGATTTCTATGAAATAACTTTTCAGTGTACTTAAGTTTGCAGTATTATTCTGCATATTGTTTCAACAGGAAAACTGCTACAAAGTCGTTCTTACCTCGTCCTATGACACCTATTCTAGTTCCTGACAGCTCACTGGCCCAAAATAAATGAAAATTTGATACAATTTATAAATATACTATCAGAATGTCATAATATTGATTAATATCTGTCCTCTGCCTATCAAAACTCATTTACAACAGATATTTTGAACTTTGAGGGTAACTATATTCCTTCTGAAATTAAAATCTGTTACATTATGACAAATCCTATGTCCTACAAGTGAACTCGTTGAAATTAACAGTGACTTCTAACTTAATATGACTACGTCTTTGAGTTGTTCGCTGAATGAGAATCAAAGCACTAAGTTTTGATCCGCATCTGTTTATAATGGTGTAATGTGTTCATGAAAATCGGAGACATGAAATTATTGTGGATTTTGCGCCTTTTAGCATGGCATTACACTTGAACGGTTAACCAGCTGGAAATGCTGATTTCTATACTAATGACTAACTCCTTTATCTTATCCACTCTTGTAGCTTAACTCCATTTATTAACGATGAGTGTATGAATTTAAAGGGTTAGAAAGATTACCAAAGCTTTAAATGTTCAACAAATAACTTGATAAACAGCAGAACTTTAAGTTACTATTTAAGTTTCAATACATGAATACGTCACTTTGTTCAGCTAAAGCTATTACTGTAACGATGGAAGACAACGGACAGGTAAAAAATCATTTATTGAGGAAATCAAGAGATATTTATATATTTTTATGTACATTATTGTTCGTTATTACTAGCAGAGAAACAGGGTCTTCTGATTGGTTGTTTTCTCCCTGAAAGTTGATCTGTCATCTATTTGTGGCCATTTCTTTGAAGGTCAGACCATATATCTGCGAATCGCAACCGCCCACGAAAAGTCTTTGTTTTTGTTATTCTCATAACCAAGATTTGGGAAGTAAACATTGACGTAAATTCTTGTCTGCCAGTTTTGGCTAGCAGACAGCTGTCTGTGCGTCGATGGCACAATGGTTAGGAATCTCGCCGACCATCCATATGGTTCGGGGTTCGATCCCCTGCCGACGCACACCTCATATCTATGGTCGGCCTGCAAAATTTGAGCTGCCAATATCATATGGTGAAAATCTATACTTGTACCAAAAATACAGTGTGGAATCAAGGTGTAATCAAAAATATAAAATAAAATAAAAATTACTACATTATTGACAAAACATACTTTTCAGTCAGATTATTAATTTATGGTGGTTTGTGTTATTCATATTCATTAAGAGTAGAAAGGCTTACGGTTCCTTCAACATAGGTATTCTTACATGGTATGAAATATTTAATTCAATGCATCGTAAATGATGTAATCATGTCTAATTTTCATTAAGGGGAAAGGCATCCATTTCCAAGTACATTTCCTTATCTGATATTTATAATGACCAGGGTTTACCCCTACAAGGTATTACTTCACTCGGATTAATGTTTATGAGCAAAGAAACTATGGAAACCACTTCTATGTAGGTTATACTTATAAGTAATCAGTAAATGGAATGTATGATGTATGTATGTATTATGATTATGTGTACCTACAATTTGGGCAAATGTTGAATGCTTGTTTCGCATATTGCTAAAGACTGGTACGACAGATGAAGCATACTTGGCAATGACTCATTGACAAATGAGTGAGATTAGAGTTATAAATATTGTTGTATTCTGATAGCTTCTTCAATATGAGTTTACATGTACACAACTTTTCAGTATTACCTCCAAGGTAGTACTGCAGGAATAAAACATTAGAAACTAAGAGTGTAAAATCAGTCCTATTCAGACGACTTTAAAAAGGTGATTTCCACTGATCTTGTACTTCACTGAATGCTTTCGATAGCATTTCTTTCAACAGTATCTACTGTCTCATTTTGCTGAGTGTTTATGTGTGTTTTAAGTACACGTATCCAGTTTAAAATCTCAAACATGTGCTATATTGTCAAATGAAAATGTATAGCTTTTACAATATTATGTGACCGCAGTTCCGTATACATTGTATCACGAAATATTAATGAAATTAAAGATGGCTGCCGAAACTAACTTGTTCATGGATGACAGTGACTGACTAAAGTTTGTACGATAGACATATTAGCTTTTAACTACCGAATGGACATTCATTTGAACCTCAAATTTAAAATATTTACTGTGATCGCATTCATTATTCTCCTCATTCATCATTGCTTTTTGTTAGTTCGTATAAGTTATTTGCCGTCAAAATCGTTAAGATGCTTTCCGTTGTTATTCGCTTATCTAGTCAATGCATGTTAGCAAGAATGAAATAAATATATTCAAACTACTTCAGATGTATAGAATTCAGTTTAACCAAACAGCTCAACTGTACACATGATACTGAAACACTTTTATTCTTTTCCAGCAGGCTAAAGTTGTCAGATCACCATGTTATCAAATGACAGAATTTAAATTACCTGTTATAAATCCATACAAAACAGGTGGTATCTTTCAAATCACAGTAATTGAAAGTCATACTGATCTATTTAATGCAATATGTCAAGTTCGTGGTTTAAATACAAACAAAAACGAGTCGAATTCAAGAAATATTCTAACCAGTGAATCGTATACTGTAACTGAAAGAAGTTCATTTGACGAATCATCGGATAACAGTCAGTTACCTCCAGAGATTATGAAAGGTAAGATTTTGTTACATTACTAAGAAAATGTCACTTATCAATGAACTAAATAATAATATTTTAGGATGAAAGCCACAAAGTCAGTCCATTTGTAGTGATCACGAAAAGGTTTTCATACTGATCCATAATCATTTAGAAAAGAAAAAAGCATTTCCTCGTGATCTCTCTGTGTGGGTCAGAATCCATAACAACTCACCTTTTCCAAATTTGCACCGAAAACCCTAAGAAATACTTCGTATTCATCAGAAACCAAGCGATTTGAGTCCTGGATCCTGAAAATGATGAAACGAATTACAAAAGTAAACATGCAGGATTTGCCTAAAGTACGGTATTATATTATACATGAGATAATGAATGTGGTGTACATACCTCAAACTGTAGGTTTCTATGCCTGAATGACATCAGATGCACAGTCAAGGACAATCCACTGTCAGAATAAACAGCGCGCGAATGTCCCGACAAAGAATAAAGTCATTTGAATAAAGTATATCCACTAGAGGGAGGGATATCCCTAAATTACGTACAGAAGATACAGTTTGACTATACGAAGGTGATTATTATAGAATAAATAGAATATTAATACATTATGCGAGATAAACTTCAATAGCAAACAACATTTTCGATTAAGGAGTATCAGAAAAGAATATGTGAACCCATACTACTTGCTAGCGATAGGTAAAATTGAAAACAAAGGATAGTTAATGAAGGAATTAAAAGCCATTTCATTTAAGGAAAATGTTAAGTGGTACTGAGTCCTTTATACAACTTGCCTCTGACACCACTCCACCCAACTTCAGACTGATAGCTTCTGTATCTGTTCGGAAATGAACTATGGTTGGTCTCGTTTCGTGCTTACATACTGTTTTCTGTTCATTGGTTACTTATTCATGGATTGATAAACATACGTTGACCATTTGAAAGTTTTACTTTTAGGCACAGTCATTATTTCCTTTTTGATTGTGACTTTCGCTAGCTGGTTTACTCATTGTTTGCTCCATGTAGTCTCCCCAAATGAAGCTGTATTTCCGCCGATGTGAGCTCACAGTTGAAGATGATTTTACCACGAATTGATTTATAGTTTCATGCATAGTAAAGCATAAATATGCTTTTGAATATATATTAGCAAGTCAATTCTGATGTCTGGATTTTCTTTTCCCCTATTTACTATGACTCAGAGTTTAATTATAGTTACAGGAAGATAAGAGTAAATTAAACAGAATATCATAATCCCTGTTAGCCTGTTCATCACTGATGAAGAGATTATAACTGAGAAGAAAAAAATACAAAGAAATTCACCGGTAATTTGAAATTCACTTATGATTGACTCACATTTCTCCAGTGTGAACATAGAAAACAAAAAGCTACTATAAGAGTGACGCCTGAATGACCATCTACTCGATGTCGTTCACAATTTGTTTTTAACACTAATGGGATGTTTAAAGCGATAAAAGCCTAGAAATTAACCGTCGGTGGCCAGTCACGAAGTTGACAAAATTACAATAGAAGCAGTAATGTGACATATTGAACCATGTATAGTGTAGTTATAAATTGTAAAGGGAAGTCATCAATAAAAGGACATTCCATCTATGATTTCAAGTGAACGTTTAAATATCTGACTTCAGACAAAGTTGATCTGATCAATACATATTTAAAGCGACACAAGTACATAAAGCTTCTTCAATTAGACGAATGCTAACAAGGCTGATTTAAGATAAAGTATCGACATTACTAAACTTTTGTGCATCCATATTTGATTGCTTTTGAGAAGTCAGTTAGGTAGATTGTACGTGCGTCGGTGGCACAGTGGTTAGGACTCTCGCCGACCATGCATATGGTCCGGGGTTCGAGCCCGCACCGATGCACATCTGATATCTATGGTCGGCCTGCAAAATTCGGGCTACCGATATCCATGCTGAAAATTCCATACTTGTACTGAAAATACAGTGTGGAATCAAGCTGTAAATCGAAATCGAAAAATCAATACTCAGAGGAGTATGTCATTAGGTCGCCGTAATGTACATCATTGTGGCCTGGAAAAAGAAATAAATGAGCTTTTAAACAGTGATAATTCGTCCTCTATGTTGAGCTGAGATTCGAGCTCGATGAGGAATTTCAGTAAGTAACTCTTTAAGAACTCATTAAGTAACTCATCAACGCAGTAAGACAATCATTCCTTGACTACTTTCTGTATACCTGATGTGACGGAAAAACTTGAACACGAGTCTTGTCGATGAGCAACAGTTCAATTTGTAAGACTAGAACAATTCATATATATATATATAAAATAGTTTACTTGGTTGTATGTATAAAGTGGTGCATCTGACTGTCCAGTTACACTTGGTAGAAACTTCAGCCTTAGTAATCAATACGGCTAGACTACAAGGATGAAGCTTCTTCCGTAATATGTAGTGTACTTGATAATATATTTAATAGTACACGAATACGTCTTTCGTGCAATTCAAGCTATAAGGATCATTTAGGATGGATTCAACATTTCATTCAAAGATACACCCTCCGAAAATTCAAAGTAGAGCTTCGCAGTAACATGGATCAGCTCAAGTTGTCAAACTTCTAAAAACATATAAAAGAACAGAACAAAAGTTCTGGAACCAAGTTCCATCGCTCAGCTTGCTTTGAACTACCAGAATGTCAATTTTTATATATGATCACAATAAGGGAGCAATAACTCCCAACTAATTAATCCAGTCATTCTTACCGTCCTCTTTCTATACCATAGAAAAATTTCTCTTCAGAAAGTGTCTACATATACCAACAGACCAACGATTTTCGGCGAATGTATATGATAATCAACACTAACCATCAACAGTTGTATCTGTTAGTCTGACTGCATTTAATTCCATATATCGTGTTTGATTCAACTTTGCTAACCATCGGATGATAACATTTATGTGTTTGCAACTGCAAAACTTAGGCAGGAGTTTGCTAAAAACAAGTTTTCGAACTCAAATATTTCTTATTTAGAAAATTTGTGTGGAATAACGTATTATGATTGCAAGTTTAGTTGCTATGATGTCATGTAAAATCACTTCAACAGGAACATTCACTCTATAAATTAAATGACAGGCTTTACATTTAAATAAACTCTAAACTGTGGAATAATGATTAAGTGACAGAAAGAAAGCCCACAGAATATGTCCACAGAGTTGGTTTTGAAAGGTCAGTAAAGGCCAAAAATACCTATTGGGTCGAGAAGGAAGTAACTGAATTTTATTTAGTTATATGATAAATAATTCAGTAAAATGAAACTGTTAAATTCGACTATTCCCTTTTTTCTATTAACCCGCCTTCTCACTGTGTACTGTTGGGGAATAATAATAATAATTATTATTATTATTATGAATTTCCTTCTAATTAGAATACTATCAAAGGACACAATATCAATCGTTTCACTGCCGTGAATTCAGTATCGAACTACACGGAAATGCTAATAACAGCAGTACAAATCTACATACCACTAAAATCTCCAATGATGTAGACAGTAAACAGCAACAACTGCAAATATTCGAAAGTTGTAGACAAGGTATAGATGAATTATCCATCGTCTATTTGCCTCTAGGATGGGGCACACGAGAATGTTGTTTACTATTGTCGAATGAAATGATTGGTGAATTTGTTGTACTTTTAAAAGGAATTGCTCAATTACCACAACCAAGTGTTCTACCATTTTCTGATTCATTTGATGGAGCGAATAATCAGAAATCTTTAAAGGAAAATGAAAGAGGATATCGTATTAAGTCTGCAGTTGCAGCAGCGTGTAAGTATAGACTTTACTTTTTCTATTAGTATTATTTTATACAACTGGCTGACTGTAAATTTCCCGGTAATCATAGGTGATGTGAGGTTTTATACTTCAACTTGATTTACAGCTTTTGAGAATTTCCCTAAGCGTGCAAATGACTTCAGCCACTAATTTACTCATAAGTTACAGTGCACTTTGTTTTCCAAGAAACGTTTTTCTAAGGTTCATGGAATAATGCTAAGAAACAATAAATCGGAGGTAATCAGTGGTCAGATGCAATCTGTATTTCTTAATTTCATCTGTTAAGAGATTTTTGTGAAATTCTCCCAGTGAAACAGATACCTCGCAAGCATATCTGTCTGAAGGATTTGTGATCAAACACTGATAGTCTATTATCAGTTATTGCATTGAGTGCTTCCGTTTATTGGCATTCGTTTAGACATTCCGAACATTTTCAAATGAATTGGATATACCAATTGTAATCTTTCTACATGTTTCCTTTAGCAACACCCAATACTGCAGTTGACTAAGAGTAATTCAGATGACACGGTTGTGTTAAGTAATGCCACTGACAATATGCTTTGCCCTTAGCACCGAAACTCACAGTCTAGAAATATTTTTGGTGTGCTTCTAACTTCTCGAATGTAAACTGCTACTTCAGAGATTGAACTGTTACTTCTTTTGAATTCAGGAAGTTAAATGTCCGAGTGCATTCACATAAACTAAATATGCTTGCAGATTTCTTGCATACTGTTTAGCTGTGAAAAATGATATTTGAAGTTGGAAGAATTGACCGCAGCTTTGCTCTTTTCTGTCAGCATCACGTGATCACTGCACACGCTAGGCATAGAGTTCTGTGTAAGATGGACAATCCAGTCAAATCAAGCAAGAACTGTCCTTTATATGAGGCACATTGCCATGTATATGGGGTCTGACGGAATCTCGTAGTGACGAAGCTTAGAATTTCTCTTACTTTATAGCCACCTTGAGTGTGACATAGTATTTCTTTATTTGCTTTGCCTTTTTCTCTTTAGTCTAATAGTAGTCCCTTCCTTATTTCCCTACCATTTTTTGCCTTGTGTCAGGGTTTATATGCAGATATTAGGCGCGGTAATTTATACCGTTACTTAGCAATGCTAGTACCTATGCTGACTGGTTCTTTCAATTCACTGACCTCCATGACTTCCTCTGAACAATCTCGAATTTCTGCGCACGGATCCCATTCATGTAACATAAGTAACCAAAAGTCACAGTTAACTAAAAGTAAAGTAAATAATTTTGTAGCTAGTAGAAGACATTACTCACAGAAGGATCTGGATCATTTCCATCGGAATCACCCCTTATGCTTCCCCGAGAACAGAACTATGAGTAAAACAGGACATTCTGCGAAGCATTTAATTTCGTGTCACATCCATACCAACCACCGAATCAACTTTTCTCCTTTTTATTCAAATCAAGTTGTGAACTACAAGTCCATAATCAAATCAGTTGATTTAAGGTATTCCGCTGTCGAATGACCACCATAGTAGAATGGTAAAATACACAAGAAAGACTTAGCGAAAGAAAAATGCTTATAAATACAATCATGAAGTAGAGCTACACATAAACTGTGTTACGCAGGCATCTACAGTTGTTCTACTTGAAATTTACTAGTTTGAATTACGAACTGTTTTAGCGATTATAGTCTTTTCTAATCAGAAAGCACTCACTGGCATTTGGCTTTGAACTGATAGTTATTGCACCTATTATAAGTTTGTTTATTATTATTATTTTTGATTGTTATGCTTCATAAAATTGGCTACTCAATGAATAATATCCCACTTTTATTTCAAGCTTTCGGACGTTCGGGTGATCCAAATGTTATTTATCTAAGGTGTCCAATAGGATGTGAAATAAAAGAAACCTTATGGTTACCAGTAAAGAATGAATCACGTCGAATGGCACTGTTAAATGCTATACGTATTCGACTTTCACCAGCTGAAGTTAAACGGCGTGAGTTAGCTAATACACTTGAATCAGATGAACTATTGGAATTGGCTAACAAAGAGTTAACACTACTTAATTATGAAGAAAATTCATTTGGTAAAAATTCAAAATCTCAGGTAAGCATTTATGCAAAAAATTGACATGATTACTTAACAAAGTATTCGTCAATTAGAACAGATATTATTCTCAATCTACATACCAATATATTACTTATGAAATATTCAAGTTACACTTGATTTTTGAAGGCCTAGACTAGATGTATAACTCAGTCACTAGATACTGTTCAGTGGGGATTAAATCAATCTCGTTCATCATGCTGAATAAGATATTTTATATTGAGTAAATTATGCTGCAAGTATGGTTATTCAGTTTATTGGTTTAGTTACATTACTGAGCAATAGGATTCTTTTGGTATTGAACACTAAATTGACAGTGCTAAAAGTGATATCATTAAATATTCATTTTTCGTAGCTAAGCAATATGTTAAAGTCTTTTAACATGACTGATTTTTATTACCAGATAGCCGGTCCTTTAACCCCACTATGAAATTGCTAGTTACACAGAGAGAAATAAGGATGGCCATTGTCTCAGGCAGGTTTTGGTTACCTGTTGATCACTTTGAATGACTTCATGTTGTCTACATGATGTCCAATAACTGCCGAGTGAATTACACTTGCACTGTTTTATAAATGTGTAACCGTAATCTTCAGGTTCCTTTCAATTTGGATAGTGTTATTAGAAGAAGGAGATTATCTGAAAAATGTGATGTATTTGCGCTATACATTTCGAACAATCTGATCACACATTTACTTGTCAAGTCAATATATATATATATATATATATATATATATATATATATATATATATATATATATGAAAAACGTTAAGTTTAACAAAGTGACAAAAAAGATTTAATAATGATTAACACAACGTTTTGTAATCCAATCAAATAAGGATTACCAAGGTAGGTTAAGAATAATGATAAACTGTTTTTGAATACACAGGGGGGCTTAAGTTTATAAATAGCTATAGCCTCAGCGTATTTCAGTAAGCACCCTGGACCGTTTTTATAGATGACATTAAAGGCTGAGTTAACATCACTCTTATGGTTCATCTCGATTAGGTGTTTAGCTATAGACGAAGTTGGTAGCCTGACACCTGTATCTATTGGTTTTTCACAATTCATTTGTTTTTCTAGCCATTTTGGGATATGCTCTTCCACCCTCACGTGCAAAGCGCCGTTACTCCTCCCTATGTATGTGTGTCCACACACACACACACATACGAAAACTGGTAAATAGTGTGGGATGTGACATAATGACTTGTGCACTTTTAAGGTTTGCAGTGGAGCATAGTTTTGGCTTTTTCGACAATTACAAGCTGGGCTGCGTAATATATATACTGACTTGACAAGTAAATGTGTGATGAGATTGTTCGAAATGTATAGCGCAAATACATCACATTTTTCAGATAATCTCCGTCTTCTAATAACTCTATCCAAACTTATAAAAGGAACTAATTGTTTTAAATCTTTTCAGTTTGCTCAAAATGCCACTTAAATGACTTCTGTCTGTTCCTTCAATTTACGTACATATAAATTCGTAGATACTACTGGTGTTGATATAAAACAGAAGTTTGATCACCTTTGATTGTCGAAAAGAACAATTCGTTTGATACAAACGGTTTAGCTTCACAGTTAGCTAAGTTCTTTTCAGAATGGTATCTAATCTGTACTTTTTTTCTATTAGAAGTGTCATCATCTCTTAAGGAAAGTCCTAGAAAGGTCATATTTTTCTGCACTATGCTATACTTTAGTCTTTTCACACTGGACATTCTTTACTTGTCTATGAATTTCTGAGGATATCAATGATCACACAGGAATCGTACCATTGTTTACAGGTTTTCTTATCTGAACAAAGTGTTTTGATGGATTTCGATAATGTCCTCATCAAACTCTTATTGTAACTTATAGAGTAGATGCTTTCGAAATGCAAGTAAAATAGGCTTCACTTCTCATTTATATGAATGTACCTTGTAGTTACGCCATTCATGTCATGTAGAATACTTAGATAAAGAAAATGGAATACGTTGCCACTCTTGCACTGAATGGGTATTCGTGTCGGAAACTGCTGATTGTCGCCACTTCACATGACAATTCTCCCTAGACACTTACACGACTTTATCGATCTGAGCAGAATGCCTTGACTAATGCACCACTTGGCAGAAGAATTCAAGATCAGTCTTTGGGTCAAAATATGTGACAATTTTTGAAATTCTCAAAATATGCCTAAGTTCAGAAACAGTCATATAGTGACGATATAATTATTACATCCTCGACTTAACCTATAATGGCCTCCTTTTCATTGGGTTTGTTTCTCTCGAACACAACGCATAGTCTTTGCAGGAATACAGAACTTCGAATCTTATATTATGATGCTTTTTGCCATAATAACAGAAAGATTTGTTTCCTTTTTTATAAACTGTTAAAGCCATATAGGTGTGATTATATCGAATTCTTACATACTAGCTGATGCTTTAGTCAGTCTTGTCAATTATTCTTTGACTCTACCCTTAAACACCCCTAGAATCATACCACAGGTCCTACTGCACTATTCTGACTAATGTTACATATGGTTTCTTCCCTGTAACTAACTTTTAGCATAAGAAGAGTCGGCAAAATAATACGGAATAAACTCACATTCTTCTGCTAAACTTATATTCTTGTATTTAAGTGTTGGTTTGTTGGGATTTGGTTGGTTTCAGGATTTCATCACGAGCTGACATTAGTTAGAGGACCATTGGAAAACCTGGGAGTACTGGACAGCTGTTTCGTCCTAGTTTGGGACTCTTCATCAGTACGCGCTCACCGGGATTTGAACCCAGGACCTTCTGGTTACAAGACTAGCGAGCTCATTGACCATTAAGCCACTGGGACCCGATCCAATGGCCAGCCCGTGTATTCTAACTTCTGCCAATTCACGATATAGCGCGACCGCTGGCCAATGTCTTCGGCGAGTATTTGTCCTCAAACCCGACGCGCTGCACCCTACTGGTCACAACATCCCACGACTTCTTGTTTTGTTCAAATTTACGAAAGAGAAGGTTTGTATAAAACATACCGCTATCTTGACTACAAACTTATGCTAACAGAGAAGCTATACTGAAAGCCTTTCGGTGACTGTAACATTTGGAGGTTTTGTTTTGATTGCAGCTTGAGTCCACACTGTATTTTTGGTACAAGTATGGAATTTTCAGCATGTGATATCGGGAGCCCAAATTTTGCAGGCCGACCATAGATATCAGGTGTGCGTCAGCGGGGGCTCGAACCACGGACCATGTGTATGGTCGGCGGGATTCCTAACCGCTGTGCCACCGACGCACAGCTTTCACTAGCAAACACTTCAAAATATTTTGCTTCTACTTCTGTAATTTCTATGAATAAGCTTTGGAATTCATCAAAATTGATGGTAATAATAATTGACTGCTTTTTTTTCATCTATAGAAGAAATATGTGATTCAATCCACTTCTTTATAACACTGTATAACCAATCTAATCTACTTTATACATTTAGAAAAGATTACATGTTTCTCGTCACCTGATGTATAGTGTTGAAGTCGACTCAAGTATGATACGTGTTCCATCAAAAATACAAGTACCAACACAATTAGATTCAGGTAAGCCAATACAGAAATTGCATTTCATTAACAGTATCAAGTGTGAAAATTCACTTTATTAGCGTTCCTATTGGCCTCTGTCGAATTACAAGTTTCATCTAGTCAAAAGATACTGAAAAATTCTAGCTATGTTAGACAGTTGCCCTATCCTTGCTTGCAGGTCAAAACTTGACTCGGAATCAAAACAAAGAATGTAAGGTTCGCTGGAGAACAGACTATCATTTAGACACTAATTTCAGTGGGTCAACAATTTTAATCCTCGTCAATTCATGATGCTGCTCCACCACTAACCATTATCCCTGCTGAGTATATGACTTCAGGGTCGATTGTATTATCTTTTTCGGTTACGAAATCACCTTAAAACTCTAGGAAATTTCACTAATAGGCATCTAATAATGGGTAAAAGATAATTGTGTAGGTGACAGAGGAATTTCTGAGTTCATCTCTATGTCACATAGGAATACCTATTTCGAAATTCACTAAGACTATAGGCGAACTGGATGCATCTTCATGCATCACACTTGTAAACATAGATGTTCGTAGTATTTAAAGTATTACTTGTACTATGATTATTTTCCTGGAATAACAAGAAGACTGAGATTACAGAGACCAATAGTAGTATAAATAAACGCTAACAACTCAAAACAACAAAAAAGGTAGACAGTGGGCAAGGTTAAAATGTTCAGTGACACAACTTCAATGCAGTTGTTTAACCGCCAACAATTACAATGTTATAAATGCGTATTATCTTTAAAGGAAGATTAATATCATCTTAGACAGCTGTTTATTTGGCTCTATGTGTTTTAGTATACCGATGAACACTGAAACACTACTTCTAAATTATATCTAATCAACACAAGAGAATTTGATTATCTGTAAATGTCGTATTTTAACTGTAGATAATAAGTAATAATTGTTTGACTGTTTTCGAAATTATAGACTCCGATTCAACGTTTCCCCTTACGCTGCAAATAAAGGCGGATAAACCCGGATTAACTTCAGCCAAACTGGTTTTACAAGGTCCAGATGATATACGCCTTTATCGTATTGAATGTGTAGCCTTACCTGACAATGAAAAAATTGTCTTAACATTCACTTCTCCATTAAATCATCCAATCACTCAACCATTGCCCATTGTGAATAGAACAGCCTACGATTGGGAATTGGTCGCAAAGTTTACAGGCTATCCAGTGTGGTTCACTGGGCCGTCTACTGTTAGTATACCATCAAACACAACTATTCAATATTCTATAACATATCTGCCAAGGAGGGAAGCAGAAAGTCATGTAAGATATAAATTACTTTTATCTTTACATATTATCATATTTATATCGTTTCAAACTGAGATATTTTCTTGAATAGCATATCGTTCTGAATAACTAAAACTTTATTCAAAACTGTTCATCTCCTTCAATCTTTTTATATTATGATATCTGATGGTTTCATAGACAGTCCGAAATTCTACTTCTGAATAAGAAACATAAAAATAGCTCAGCCCATTTTATCCCCTTCTGATTCCCATTCTTCTATATTTACTTGTACCTTTTCATCACTCCTACTTTCAATGACTTCTAATACTAATCGTGGTAATGCTTATTCACTCATATGAAATGTAATTATTATTTTTTATTTTTTAATTTTATTTTATTTTATTTTTGATTACAGCTTGATTCAATACTGTATTTTTGGTACGTCTATGGAATTTTCAGCGTGGATATCGGTAACCCAAATTTCGCAGGTCGACCATAGATATCAGGTGTGCGTCGGCAGGGGATCGAACCTCGGACCATGTGCATGGTCGGCGAGAGTCTTAACCACTGTGCCACCGACGCACATCATTATCATTATTTTCTGTCATATCGTGAGAGTTAGTAGATTAAAACGTTCATGTGTATTCTACAATACATGGGATGCATAGAAGTTTTCCCTTTTGCTTGCCTGAATGAATCAGCATTCATTTCGATGCATTTAAAGTTAAGAAGTTAATTTTGTATAGACTTGATCGGTTTAGAGTTAGATTTTGTCATAAACCGAACTCAGATATGAAAACGTTAAAAATGAACAGGCATTAGATGGGTGCTTTATCCTAGTTTGTTACTCTTCTTCACTCTACACCAAAGACTCCACTAAGAATGAAGCTTAGAACTGTCGGGTTACACCGTAAACACGTAATCATTCGATCAATAACTTCAAATGAAATGTCACAAGAATTCTCAATTCTATCAGTTTAGGGTATGTTATCGATGCCAACCAGTGTCATTAATGACTATCTACCATTGTATTCCACCTACTGAACTCCACAGATGATCACCTCCCACAAAAATGTCAGAAAAGCTACCTCACATTCAGTACACAGTGGGTAATGGATGGAAAATCCGGTTTCAAGTTCTGAAAACATGGTCAGTAGTAATGAGGATAACAGTGAAGTGTTAGGTGAGGAGGGGAAGTCGATCGATGCACTTTCATAACATATCTCAAGCATGTTCATCTGCCTACTTCTTTCCCAAACAATGCTGACTGGAATAGTATTTGTTCCGAAGAGTTGAAGGTAATTAAGCTGAAACAAACCACAAATCTATGGAGTTTACGACTGTTAATCTCAATAATATAGTCAGGTATGCTTTGACTGGGTAAAGTTCGCAGAATGTTAAAAATTAATATTTGGAGACTGCTGGTGACATGTCGTATAACCATTCTCAACAATACTTTCGGATTTTTGGAATCCTCACTCACACATTTCAGTCAACTACCGTTCTGTTGTATCCTATCTGTTTATTTTACAACTATAGTCTGCTAATTAAGATAACTGTGCAGAACGTTAGTCGTTGGCATTTCATTTTTAGTCTTCAGCATATCTGCAAAAATATCTTTATTGGGAAATCAGCCATGTTAGTTCTGAAGGTACCACCAGACTTGATGAAGAACCATCCACAATCGGTTAGGAAACCTTAGAGGATATTAAACAGTCTTCATCCTCATCCTTAACTGCAAATCTTCTCTTTTATTTGTGAGACAGTTCATTCTACTACGTGTTTTTTTTCTTTTTTTACCAGACTAAACTTGTCCTCCAGAACATAAGTGATGGTAGTCAGCTAGAATATCATCTAAATGGTAATGTTTTAAAACCAATGTCACTGGGTAAAATAAATCTCGAGTTTACCATAAATCCCTGTGATATAAGCGATGGTATTTGCAAAATTACAAAACAAACTCATTTACAAACATTCACAGTTAAAGTGCCAAATTCAACTTCAGTGAAACAAAGTTTTCAATTGCAAACAAATCTACCCAAAGGTCTTATTGAATGGATACCAAATAATCAGAAGTCTAAAATCAATCGTATTGAAGTTATGTCGGGTCGTACTGATGATTGCAAATTTCAGGTTTCTGCATCAAAACGTGGATGTTATCAGGGTGTTCTAGTTTTTTTGGCAGATAATCAGACTAATAAGTAAGTCTTTTTTCAGTGTAAATACATATTTACCTACATAAATTTGTCTCAGGCGATAAATCATCCTCACTGCATGGAAGTCAAATAATTGTTGACGTTGGTTGAAATAATCAATGACATGTTTTACAGATGCTTCAGCTGTTAAAACTAGGATCGATGTGTGAGCTTAGTGTAGACAACTACAGTAACCTCAGTGCTGATATGCATAGCCCCTCCCTTTGATTTGCCTACTAATTACTTTGAGCATTAGGCTATGTCACCACTGAACTGGAAACTAAAAAATGATTTAGCTTGACAGCTTTCAAAATCTTACCAGGCTAATAATGGCATTCATCAGCGAAACTTACACCCTATCCCTTAAGTGTATCTGAATGACTACTGAAGTGACGATATTCCTTCAACCGACCACAGTCAATTTGCTTATTCCTAACCGTATACTTAGCCTAAGTTAGAATGTTTAGATAAGATAATGCTGGCAAGTGCTTTGATAACATTTACTATTCACATTTTCTAGCCCTTTCATTCCACAGAGATTCAAAAACAAGTAAACTAACCCATATCTTCCAAGGAATACATTATGCCTACCCTTTGTGGTTGTTCAAGTGATGACTGAATCACACAATGCTAAGAAATCATCTTCAGGAAAATACCTGAAAAGTTGACAGATCTTTTCTGCTAACTCTTAAAATATTTTCATATGACACCATTAATCTATTTCAACTTCATCAACTTTCAAAAGGCCTTCGACAGCGTCGATCGAGAGGTGATTTGGCAACTACTTCGCTACTACGGGGTCCCATCAACAATTACACACCTCATCCAACAGTTATGCGACAATGCCGCATGCCAAGTAATCCACAACGGGAAACCTACGGAAGCCTTCGAAGTGAGGACGGGAGTGAGGCAAGGCTGTCTACTATCGCCAATGATCTTCCTGATTTCAGTAGATTGGATAATGCGACAGACAACGGGCAATGAGGAAACAGGCATAAAATGAACTCACACAAAAAGAGACTTGGAGGATCTGGACTTCGCCCGCGATGATATATGTCTGATTTCCCACAAACTGAAAGATATGCAAGTGAAAAGCAATAAGTTGGCAGAAGATGCATCCAGAGAAGATAGGACTACAGGTGAACATAGATAAAACAGAGGTAGGTGGTGAAGATTCCTGGCCAACACCAACAGCAACAACAACAACAGACAATAATCAGCCAACATAAATGGGAGGAAGCTGAGAGAAACAACCTCCTTCACCTACCCACCTGGGAAGCATCGTTTCAACTACAGGCGGACGAAAAAGCAAGACAAGCTTTCATTACTCTTAAGTCTGTGTGGAGGTCGACAGCACTCAGAATCAAAAATAAGATCCGGATTTTCAACTCCAATGTAAAGTCAGTGCTACTCACTGTACGGATCAGAGACTTGCACTGCGCGTCATAAAGAGCATGTCAAACACTACAGACCTTCATTAACAGTTGTCTTCGCTCAATACCACTCAAGATCAGATGGCGGGCCAGAAAGATCACAAAAGGGATCTCTGGGAGCGAACCAACCTAAGAGGAACCGATTGTGAAACAAATAGGCAGGAAGAAATGGAAATGGATTGGCTGACCATACGCTGAGGAAACCATCAAGTGACATCACTAGACAAGCCATCGCTCGAGTGGAACCCGAAAGGGAAGCGGCGAGTTGGTCGTCAGTGTGAGGGTGACTTGGAGGAGGTGATGTGAGGAGGAGATGAAAGTGTGTGGGCAGAATTGGAGAGGGGTGAAGACTTTGGCAGAGAACCGAAGGCAATGGAGACGCGTGGCTGAAGCCCCATGTTCCTCTAGGAATTAAAGGAAATAATCAATAAATCAGCTAATTAGACACTATACCAAAATAAGCGTTTACTTACACTCGTATACTGATAAATTTGTTCACAGATTATTTTCATTCCATTTGTGAAATAAAGTAAACCAGATATTAGGTGTGAATAGAAGAAGCGCAAACCTAAAACTAAAACATTCAAGTTTATTTGATAAATATACCAACCAGTATTTATGATTCATTTGAGTTAATATGAGTTCATTGATTGCTAGAGTTTCTCCTATATTTGGAACTTGTTACTTCATCCACCATATAGTTTCTGTGCACATCCTTTTACTAACGTGGTAATCATGCACTAAACTATAGGGCATTACTCTTCAGTCTAATTAATTGCCGTTGTCACACTTCATTCACTTATAACTAGTAATTATAGCATTTCTGTTTATCTGCTGTCTTACCGGACAATATGACAATAGATTATATCAAAGTATACGTAGGAAGTGACCATCTCTAAACAAATTTTGACTTCATTCAGTCTTTTTAAATACAAAAAGAACAGTTACAAATGAAGAATAACCCTTGTAAAACAATGACAAATGGGAGTTCAGCTTTCACTGGGTTTTACTCTTCCCTTTTCCCACATAGTCAAGACAGCGATGATGATAATGAAAACAATGATGAACATATGTCAACAAACAGAACATCAATGAATCATTTCAATGAAACATCACATAAGCTAAATGAAACTGAAGAAACTGGTAATCAAGTCTATCGTATCTGGTATGAAATAGAAATTAATATTAAACCAGGTATAGCTAACAATTTGGTTAATTATTTGAGAATGTTCCTTTAATTATATATTCATAGAGTTTGTGTTGTGGGTTTCGTCTGTTTATTCAGTACTTAATTTTTTGCACCAAGATTCTTACTTAATTCATCTAACTGAAAAGAAACTTAATGGTGTATAGATTATTAATTTCAAAATACTGATCAATGAATACGGCATATTCTTTTCGATGTCTTCGTCATTAGGTTCTACATTTATGTCCATAATAATTAAAGAATTACTGATATTGACAACATCGTTTTAAATGTCATCAAATCAATAAATTTAATAGATTATAGTTCAAAATTATGTATAATTGATAGTATAACAACATCGTGGAAAACACCCATATGGACATTAGAAAGAATAGAACACGAAGTTCAGCAAAGATATCTTTTCGGCGATTTCATTCTCAAAAGCTGTACAATCACATTTAAATAGATTAGCTTACATGGATACAATTATTATTTGTTTAATTCCACATCGTAACGAGAGCGATAATAATTTTCAACTTGATATGAAAGTTTGAAGGTACAAATATAGATTACAAGGGGCTTATAGACAAGATAATGGAACCTTGAAGAGGTCCATCCACAGAAAACCGACATGGAACGGCCAACTAACGCACTTCTATAGTTTGATACCTTTGAGCCGAAAACGAGCTCTCGTCAGCGCACTAATTCATCTCATTAGAAAAATCTGCAGCAGCGACTGCATGGAAGAGGAGCTCCTATTCCTCAAAAATATCCTGGCTCAAAATGGCTACCCAACACGTTTTGTCTAAAAGAACATGAAACCTAGAAGAGAAGAATGTGATTCAGCGCCAAAGAAAACGCTGTATCGGAATCTGAATTTCAGAGGAGATTTGATAGCCGATATCCTGAAGAGGAGAATATTCAGCTCTGTAAAGAAGACCTTCCCTGTAGCAACACTAAGAGTGACATTCTCTAGTCGTCCAGTACTTCGAAACAACGGGAAGGACAAACTATAGCATAAGACCAATTCAATGTGCATATACCAGTTCACCTGCTCGTGTGGAGCTAGGTACATAGGTCGTTGTGTGGGCGTCTTTTCAAAACGTGCTAGAGAACGTTACCCAGCGTGGCTGCAAAGAGGAGGCACCGGTTCAATCAGAAGTGCCATTATTGAACATCTGATCAATATCTCCCACAACATTTCAACTGATTCTTTCAAAGTGATTTACAAAGTCAACAGAAATCTACCCAAAGCAGTATGCTTCCGACTTCTTTGTACTGCAGAAGCCCTTGCAATATGCATCGGGAAGCCGGAGCCGTGTGTTCAAAAGAAATTAGTCCAACCTCTACAAATACCATGGACCTAGTTTGATATGTTCCCTTTGCTTCCCTTTTTTTCTTCTTTTCTCGTTGTCTCTTTTCTTTTTGAGAATTTTTTCGTTCGCTGTGTGTCTGATCCTTAGTCCCTCAGTCTTCATTCGATTCACATAATTTTTTCAGTTATAAAAGCAGTTATTTTTAAGTTTGTTTCCATGCTCCTCCTGATCACACTTGTAATCCGTTTAGAATAACCATTTTACAATTCTATTCTAATCATGTGCAATTTTTGTGTTTCTAAGGCTCTTGCAATCTGTATTCACACCTCCTAACTTACATTTCAAGTTGAAAATTTTGATTTCAATTTGTTTCCATGCTCATTTTGTTTACACCTGTAACTCGTTCTATCCCTGCGTTTCTAAGCCTCTTGTAAATCATATCAAGTTGAAAATAATTGTCACCTTTTATTCGCCTTTAAAATTATTTCTCCAGTTATCAAATATTAATTTTGCATACGTTGTAACTGTTTTCTAATCCTATGCAATCTTGTCTCTAAGCCCCTTGTAATCTATATTCCTACCTTCAAACTCTCATATCAAGTCGTTACTATGTGAAATTAAACAAATAATAATTGTAACCATGTAAACTAATCTATATAAATGTGATTGTACAGCTTTTGAGAATGAAATCGCCGAAAAGTATAACAATAAACTAAATATCAGATAGATTAATGAAACTAATACAGGATTTATGAAGTTGTAGATTTCACAGAAAACGAAGGTAGTAATAGTTGCTAGAACTGTTCCTATCGCAAACAGATCAACTGTTGTGTTAGGTAAATTCCAATCGCCTGTCCTGCTTCGAATGTTTGGCATCTAGAGGCCTTTGATAATCTATTCGATTCCCGATAGATGACAGAGGAAGACTATTCAATGCTGTCTTTGTGGCTTGCTTGGTCAAAATGGTTCACTGCAGGACTTTTAACGGTCTTAACAGCGCCTTTATTTAAACACACTGGTATGTGTTGCTGACTAGGGAAAATTAGATTCCTACAACGACGGCCAATATACGTTGCTTCACAGGAGCAGTCGAACAGACAAATACAATCAGAGTTTGTTTACTACCAGTTTGTTTATACTACCATCTGGTTTTCTTGTGAGAAGGAAATATGAGAAGATAATTCCCCTCGATGAGATTTTTCTTCACGTGTGAATTTCAAGCTGTCAAAAAAACAACATTCTTTGTTCAATAATCAGTCTTTTGAAATTGATGATGGACATCATCAATTGATAATAATTAATAATTAATTTTCTCCAAGTTAAAGAAACATGCGTAACATTCGTACAGACTTCTACAGCGATTCGTCAATCAGTCTTTTATAACAGAGGTCCTTACGCCTGTAAGAGACTCATTATCAAATCATTCTATAAAAAGTTCATTTGATCTTACAGAAATGCTAGACACCTTGAACATTAAGGAAAAGGTTATGTGTTCAATTGACATAGAATCTTTATTCACCAATGTTCCCCTTCATGAAACTGTTGATTTCATTTGCGACTACATCACAAGCAACGGGATAAACTTACCTATTCCTGTAACGTACATCAAAGACATCATCTTAATGTGTACAGAAAATATTAGATTCACATTCCAAGGAAAAGCATACAAACAAATCGACGGTGTTGCAATGGGTAGCCCTCTGGGGCCCCTGTTAGCAGATATATTTATGTCGAAATTAGAGAAACAAATGCAAGGTATGCTTGGAGAATTTATGCTGTACAAACGTTATGTAGATGATACTCTTATTATTAGTAATAATAGCAAATCTATTGAAAACTTTATCACCCTATTTAATCATATCCATCCAAATATTCGAGTGACCTCCGAACTAGAATCCAATAACAAACTCGGTTTCCTGGATATTACTATGACTAGGAGAAATGATGGAACGATTCAGCGCTCTATTTTTCGTAAACAGACGTGGAGTGGACAATATCTTCATTTTACCAGTTTTGTTCCTATCCAGTATAAACGTTCCCTGGTGAAATGTTTGTTCTCAAGGGCTCGAAAAATATGTACGAGTGACACATTGATGGATGAGCTTCGACATATACATTCAGTTTTACTAGCCAATGGTTATCCAGAAAACTTCATCAATTGTCACGGTAAGGATAGACCACATCTTGAAAAGACAGCTTCTGTACCAAAGAAAGCCATCTTTATTAATCTACCATTCAAGGGCGACCAGATTATGCAGTTGACAGCTCAAAGACTTCGGTCAGCCATCAAACGCACATTCTACGCCGCATCTCTTTTTCTCACTTGCCGAACATTTTCGATCCCTGTACCTACGATTAAAGGACGAAATTCTGTGGACTCTACTTCAAACTGTATCTACAAGTTCACCTGCAGCTGCGGTGACACCTATATAGGTAGAACTAACAGAATGTTCCAATGTCGTCGAAAAGAACATGTTCCAAAATGGCTAGTAAATCATATCGAAAATCCTAACGCGATTAATCTTAATAGAAATCCAGCATCATCCATTGCAAAACACTTATTAATGTCTGGTCACAAAATCAATATTAATGACTGTTTCACAATTATTTCACATAACTCTAATTCAAGGTTATTGAAGGTGATGGAAGCACTTTGGATTAATCACATACAGCCTAAACTGTGTGTACAAAAATCAATAGACTTCAATCTTCGCCTACCCTGGACTGCATGACCTATCTTAATATGATTGGTCATTAGTATGTACTTTTGTTTTTATTTAACTGAGTAATTTTCATGAACTTTATTTTATCATTGTTAACCATGTTAGTTGTAAAGCGGTTGTAAAGAAACTACGAAATGATATCATCTCGCGAAATTTGTCTTCTTAATGCCTTATTCAAATTTTATGAATAAGTTAAGCTGAACAAGATGTGCGGTGTAGATTATAAACTATCTTATATGCCACAATAAATTAAACGTCGCATATTGACTGCATCAGTGTGTCGATTAATTTACATAGGTGTCACTGTAGAAGGTGACTAGCTTAAACAATTGGGGTGTTTAATTTTTCTTCGAGCATGAAGCATCTAATACACCTAATTCCGTTTTATTTTAATCATCCTAATACGTCCTATATTTTCTGTTTATAGGTCCGCCTATAAAACAAGTTGAAATTGTTTGCCCATGCTTAAGTTGTAAAACCATAGAATTACCATTTACAATACAATCTGACTGGTTCACAGATGGTCGAGTTGTTGAGTTCGACGTAGTTCTTGATGATAAGTGTTTAAGTGGTTCAAAAACACATTCTTTACAACCTGAGAATAATTCTTCAGTGATTTCATCAGTTTATATGCTGGAATATACCCCATCAATTGTTGGAGTCAGTAGTGCAGCGTGAGTTCAGTATTTTGTCTGTTAATTTGTTCATTTACTCTTTTTATCTAACCTTCATTATTTAATTTCACATTAACAGGGTTACAGATTCTCTGTAGCACTGATAATCAATTTGGATGCAGTTGCAAACTACCGCAATAGAGTCTGACATTTTGTTTATCTCTTTCAATAAATTCACTGGAAACGGTCATCGATTACTGTACGTTTATTAAGTTTTTATATTAAGGAAGGTGCCACAACTATTTTTCATGGACTACTTTCCAGTGTAACATCTTTGATTCAGTAGTAAAAAGGTCGTCAACCACTTATATGGTCCAAGTTCCATCCCCGGCAAGCGCACGCCCTGGCTAGTAGGAGGGCTTGAAAAGAGGGAATGTTAGTGTTATGTACTGCTGCTGAGTGAGTTATTAGAGTTTTCCCCGTCACCACTTATGTGATGTATTCGTCGAGTAGTTAATAGTCGTGACGCGGATACAGGGAAATCAAAAGACCACCAGGTTTACGATGATACTTGTATTTTCCAGACAAGGAAAATAAATGTCACACAAGAGTGTGAGCGAAATGGTACTAGTGTACGAAAAACGTGGGAACAAGTCCAGTACAAAAGTATATATGAGAATGGCTAATACACATGAACCAATAAGACAATCATCTTACCATGATTGGTTGTAATGTCATGTGATAACAAGGTCATACATGTTTATTTAGTTAGTGGACAGACAAAAGTATATTGTCAGTTATAATGAAATATCGATCCATATACACATAGCAAAATATAATAGACTGTCAAAAACAAAACACACATCATGTGGATACATATCAGTTAGGCGTAAGGTCAGCAACCCCACCCAACAAAAACAAATGACACTACTGCTACTTTACAAGCGCGAAATCCTATATTCCACTCAAAACTCAAGGAAATAAAAAAGGCTTCCTAGTGTAAATAAAATGTTTTATTTCACTAAACCAATATAATACAGAGTTTAAGGCAAAGAAGATGGGGCAAAAATGAAGTTGTAGGTAAACATTATCTAGGGTATTTTGGATATGTTCAGTGCGTGCCGAATTTCTCTCAGTTTTGATTTTCGATGACAACTGGAAGAAATACTAAAATGGAAGTCTCAGTGTGGCCACAATAAATATTATCTTTAAACCATGAAGCCCGTGAATGAATGTTGATCTGTGCCATGGCTGTTGGTACAAGCTGCTTTTTGATATCATTGATGAACTACAATAGGGACTTTATAAACCTTCAGTTAAGCTGCTCAAATTCTATTCTTCTCCTCTGTCTTTAGTTTGACACTTATTGCTCCGATTTCACTCTTATTTGTTTACGGATATTACGGACGTCTTATTTTCCACTGTTGTAAAGTACCTTCACTTGAATAAATAAACTTCTGTAAGAACTTCTAGGTTGATCATCTCGTTTTCCCATCACTTTTTATGCATTAAATTCATTTTTGTAAACATATGATGGTAAATACTTGCAACTCACATCTTCCCAGGATGTTTTAATAGTGTCATAACTGTAACAGCTTGAGTTTCAATATGTACAGTTTTCGACACAAATCGAAATAGTATCCCAAATACATCCTCATGCAAATGACTATTAGGGATAATCACTATGATCCAAACAATAACTTCTCAGACAGAAAGGAACTGTTAGGGTTTGTACATAGTGTAGACGTTTATCTCCCTTTTTGATTGGACACTAGCCAGTAACTAGTGTAGTGTGTTTGATCCTATCTTTGGTGCGAAGTGAATCCTACCAGCCAAGTTCGGAATATGGCCACCTTCCCACTAGGTGGCTCATCATCACGGTGCACTGCGAATAGCTGGTATTAAATGGTGAGAGAAAGTCGATAGGAAGCCTTCGACCTAGGCGTCGTGCTAGCTGTCACTCACCATCAACGCGTATCTCAAACCTTCAAGGAATTCATGTCTCTTCTCCTTTGAAAAATGAATGAATAAATAAAATAGTAAGACTGTTAGAAGTGCAAAACCTCAGAGTTATTAGGAGAATGATATATGTAACAGTAATGTTGATTATAAGTTGCTGTTAGTTAACAAATTATAAAAGAGGTTTTAAAGCTCTTTTCCGACATTTCTTCCTTCATGCAACACGGACGCTAAATATATGATGTGACTGAATTTTTATATTTAGCGCCACGAGCATGAATCCTTATGAAATTTTTCCTGACATTTTCTGCAATTGCATCCAAACTGATTATCAGTGTTACAGAGAATCTGTAACCCTGTTAATTTGGGTGCTGGGAAGTTTGTCAGCCATGCATATGGTCCCAGACTTCGATTCCCGGCCTACACAGTCGTAAACGTTGCCTAGTTTAATAGCAGCTAGTAAGTCTGACTAGCAACGCCATCCCCTGAAAACAGTACCGTTGCTGTTGAAAGTCCAAAGCTTGAAGCTGTATGTTCCACTTTTGTGTCCCTCAATTAGTAACATAATAATGAACACGGGTTGGAACTGACTCAATACGATAGTCTTTAGCATGCTCTATTTATTCAGTCGTAGGATAAACTTTGTTTATACACTTATCATATTTTGTTTGCGTTAAATAATCACTACACTGTATTTTTCTTTACAAGATATTCTTACATACAGTAGATTGTATTCGGTACCTTAGATTACTCAAAATAAATCTATTCTGTCTTAGCTTAAATCTTGTTTCCTTGATAATCTATCTTCATTTAGAGTCATTTTTCATAATAATGATTGTGGTGAATTTTGGATTGAACTCCTACTGAAAGCAGTAAAACCAGAAATTGTCAATGTACCAATTATAGAAGCTGAATTAGGAAGGTAAACAATTCCACTTTAAATAAACACTTGAAGCATTTGTTAAAATTTTATTTTGTTGGTGTTTTCATCTGTTGTTAGTTAATTTTATACACCCAGGAAAAATTAGTTAACACCTCACAAAAAGAGGAGAATCAACACAGAATCAGCCATGAAAACTGTACTTTACTGCTGATGATGATGATGATGACGATGATGTGATAAAGTGTATCGCAGTAAATTTCAGAAGACTGATTAGGGAATAAAGCAATACTCTTTCCGATGTCTTGTGCACCAGGTTCCACAATTATATATCTATTACAGCTGAAAAATTACCATTACTTATACTATAAATTTTCGAATAAGATCAAATCAATAAAATCAGTAGATTGCGGTTCTTTGATGCGTCTAATCCTCCGTCTAATAAAGACCGAATTCCATCAGTCAAGTTTGTACTATGGTCAATATGTTACGTGACTCGCCATCATGTTGTGTTCTGAATTGTTGTTAGATGGTTGGAGCTGATAGATAAAAAGCCTTTTACATAGCTTTCATGCTTGTTGACACTCGTCAGCAGTGCGCATCTGGAATCTTGAAGAAACTTATTTCCATTCTGAAATTTAATCCCGTCACCTAGTACTGCAATCAGAGATGTAATTATTGATTGGTCACTAGACAGTAACCAGTATCGTGCGTCTAGTCTTTGGGTTGGTACCAGGTGAATTCTATCAATTGAGATTGCATTGTAGCCACCAAGAGTATGCGATAATATGCATAAATATAACACTAAAATAAATATCAGATAAATTAATGAAATTAATACTGGATTTATGAAGTAGTAGATTTCACAGAAGACGAAGGTAGTAATAGTCGCTAGAACTGTTCCTATCGCAAACAGACTTACAGATGTTTTAGGCAAATTGCAATGACCTTTCCTGTTTCGAGTGATCGATACCTACAAGCCTTTGATAAATTATTCGATACGCGATAGACGATAGAGAAAGACTACTCGACGCTGTTTTTATGACCTATTTGCACCAGGTGATCTAATATCGATACTTGTTTCTTTACTGTCTCATTAAAACCCGATTTTTCTCGATGTTTATTTTCATTCTTTAAAACTCCCTCTATAACTACTAATCTTCAACCTACTTACAATTCCATCATTCTTCAGTTTCCAGATAATTTGTTGATCTATACAATGTTTCAAACCACTTTATTTTCGTTATGTTTGTTAAATCGAATGTGCACACGAAAAATGATTATATATATATATATATATGTGGAATCGTACAATACAGTCTCTTGACTGAGCTGTCTGTTCTTAGTTAGTATTGAACTGTTGATAGTTTTTACTGCACCTTTATTGAACCACACTGTTAGACGTTCCCAAGCCTGAGAAACAAAGTTCTTTAAGCAACAGCCAATATAACTGGCTCCACAGGAGCGGTTGAATTATTATTATTATTACTCAATCAATTTCTTTAAATGAATTAATAGATTAAAACAATTTCCCTTGTAAGTTTTTCTCTTGTTTCTTTATTCACATTCTCATTTTCAGCTCCAAAATAACTAAAATAGTTTTAAATAATCCAACTGATGAAATGTACATCTTAAAACCGAAAATCACTAATACAGATGTTTTCAAACTCCAGTTAGCTACATCAGCAAAACAATTAGCGAATATAACATCACCATATCTATTAGAAACTGATAATAAAAATGAATCACGTATACAAATGTCAACAATATGCCAATATCCAAATGATGACTTATTACACTTTAGTGAAGATTTAAACTATTCATCACAATTGTCATTGACTAATAGAAGTATTTCAAGTGCAGTGAATGGAACAATTAAATTGAAGCCAAAGAGTATGTTGTCTCTAGGATTGAAATTTACACCATGTGATATTGGCGAAACGGAACATCAAGGTTCAATAGTATTTTACTCAGAGAAGGTAAGTTCATGTAACAAAGACATCATTCGTCTATTTAAATAATCTATTTAATCTAGTTGACTTAGTTAAATGATGCTTTTTTGTTTAGTCCTTAGTCGGTCATTATACCATTATTTCTTTGGGGTCGAAGTTTTACATAAGGTTTCAGCAGCACATTGCTATTCGACTCCGTTCCCTGCTCTACTATTGCCTATAAGCTCTCATTTCTTCATCAGATGATATCCACCGCATCAACCATCCCTTCGTTTCCCACCCTGCTTCTACTCAAAGGCCTGTCATATGAAGTCACTCATCAGTCTCCTAAACATGTATCCGAACCACCTTCATTTTCTTCTACATATTAGCTGGGTAATAGGTTCTTGGTAACTTCGTTGTCTGTTAGAGTTCCTTGTTGTTTACCCTTTCCGGCAAGCCTCCTGATCCTCGGCGAAGGTAGCTGTTAATGGAAGTCTTGGAAATCCTTTCGCTGATGCAGATGTCAACTCTTCGAACCATATAGGGCCAACCTATTGAACAAAAACCCCGGAGTGCGAACGTGCCAGTGACCTCGAATGCATACCATTCGTTCGATTATAGAACCGATTTTTATAATAGCACTAGTATAAACTCTTTGCACGAACTGATATGTAAATTTCATCCTGGCCTCGTTTTTAAATACTCTTTGGACAGTGGGTTGATAGCACGTTAGAGCTGGGTTAAGTATATGGTTAGGGTAACGGTTAAGGTAATTACTAGAGTATTTTATTATTATTTCTATCTGTATTTAGTAAATAAGTAAGTGGAAGGAGAGTCTTTCGCTGTCCATGTACATGAAACCGTTTTGATAGCTATGAAACTTGAAAACTAATAACCTTCAGTGTATGTGGGGAGTATTATTTAGTTACATCAGTGCAAAATATTGTCTCTAGTGTGTTTCATTATTATTTTTCCGCGTAAATTATCGGCTTTTATGTAGAATCCACTGCTGGTTCTGTAATCCAACGAAGTTTATGCCTTCAAGGTAACTGGTGCGTTTGTACTCCATGTTGGCTATTCTTTATGTCTGTCCTAAAAAGAATCACTGACATGTCTCTAGTGTTGAAAATTCACACTTTGTTCTTTGCTCTGAGTGCAGTAGTTCTTCACATTGATTTCAAGGTAATGAAGGTCTGTCTTTCTTCTCCGATCCTGGCTTCAACATTCTCATTCATACTGTTTGATTAGTCATCGACGCTCTCAACAAATTCTTTCTGGAAGTCAAATATATATATATATATATATATGTGTCAGCGCCTTGTGGTATTTCATTTATTCTCTTTTTAAATAAACCACATGTGTCATGGTAACTTTAGTTTTTTTGTAACAAAACAGACACAAATAAACAAATTGCTAGTTGAGTAAGTGTAACTAATACAAAACATAACTCAGCACTAAAAACCCATTATCGTTACTGCTGTCTTGACTACTTATTATTGAAAGCAGTTTAAATCAAGCAGCACATACTGCAATGAGGTTAGTACTACAGTAGTCTCAGTTTCACTCATTAAAAAGAGTGCTTCTGCGGCATTTATAGTCAAAAATCAGTAACTGTGAACTGTCTGTCTGTTTTCGACATAGAACTTTGCACAAATGTGCGGCAGTTCAAGTCGCCACACTCCCTCCTTGTAGCACACAAAGCAAGAGAAGAGAGTATAAGAAATGCATATGAGAGACAGTAAACAGAGGTGTGAGACAAAGGAATAGTAGTAACGAAGAAAAAAAAACGGTTTCATCGGAAATCATAAGTCACAAAGAGTGGATGCATCTGCGCTATTGAGAACGATTCTGAGCCATGTCACCAATTGTATATGATAGATGTACAGTGGGTCTAGTATAAAACTGGGGCAAGCTAACTCTTGTAATTTCATGAATGACTGGGATATTTTAAGATACATATCACACAAGAAAGAAGCAACTAAATGAGAATAGCGTTCGATACACCTGAAAGGGGTGTAGAGAAATTTTGCAAATACAGAAGTCAAACCAAGGAACTTGTATACACCTCCAATGATATTTACAAAGTCTTGAACGAAGTAAGAGGAATTCATATCCTGAACACACATTTCATGTGTCTGAAGAACCTTTGTTAAAGTCTAGTCACCAGGAGGTCCAAGGGAAGAAGCTTCATGTAATTTTTCCCGCTTGGGGATCACTGCTTGTAGTTCTACTAACATTTCTATTCGCCGGTTTTTCAGAAATGTAGTATCTTGAACTGCTGCACATTTGTGACAAATTTTACGTTTGCAAGTCAGTAAGTCGACTATTATTTTAATGTTGTTCACCAGATCGGATGTAAAGTGCGTTTTCTTGAGAAAAAAAACTATTTCCACTATGTACGAATTTCTTATGTTTAAATTATTATTACTTTTTTTCATCATAAATTCTAGTTAACAGAATGGTGTTTCACGTTATGCGGCAAGGGACTGATGCCCGAACCAAGAGATCCAATCAATGTATCAGTTCTGATCGGTTCAGCGACAACACTAGTAGTACCAATTACAAATCCATTCAAATATGACGTTTTGTTAGACATACACTTAAGTGAATCTACTCTCTGTGGTTTATTCAAACAGTTAGAGGATACACATAATGCTATCCTTAAAAAGAAATTCAACAATGTCCCACCTAATAGTAATGATGATGATAGTAAGGATAATATCAAGGAAAATTTAGTCGAAGCAAATGAATGTAACTGCGATGATGATCATGATCATGATAAATCCTTTATCAAGGCTGCTTCTAAACCGATCAACGGAAATGTCTATTCAGCTTTCCAACTTTTAGTGAAACAAAAAAAGTAAGTAAAACATTTAAATCCCTAGTGTATGTCATTTATATAGCTGTTATGGGGAGTTAATGTAAAGGAAGTGTACAACTCAGACACGTATATCTAATAGAATCACTTAATTCATTTCAAAGGGCACCTCATTCAAAAGTTGTTTGATCACACTCATAGATATCCTTCTTTACTGCATCTTACTTTTTATCGCATAGCAGTGAACGCCTGCTAATTTGTCCAAGTAATTGAGATAGCTAGTAAGAAAACACCCACCTATAATAATGCTGACATTTAATCAATCAAATATGCGACGCTTGAGATAGCCACCTTTGTATAGTTACGTTTATATCAATAGGATATTTAATTATATCTATTTTTGATTACAGCTTGATTCTACACTTTATTTTTGGTACATGTATGGAATCTTCAGCATGGATATCGGTAGCCCAAATTTGGCAGGCCGACCATACATATCGAGGGTGTGTCAGCAGAGGATCGAACCTCGGACAATGTGCATGGTCGGCAAGAGTCCTAACGACTGTGCCACCGACGCTAGGATAGGCTTCAAAGCCATAGTGTTAATCAGTATAAATTGCTCTAGTTCTACTAAGAGTATCCGATATGTTACACGTGAAACTATCATGGAAAGAGGATTCAAAAACAAGCATTCCAATATTTTTAAATATTCTGATAATCCAGAAAACATCAGTGAACACTTCCGGTTGAAGTTGAGTGTTAATATGTATCAGAAATTAGTATTTGTAGCCAAATATGCTGACATTCAATTTAAGGAATAGTTTTTTAAGTCAGTATTTGAGAATAAACAGGAAATAATTATTTTAAAGTTATTGTAAATCACTCTTTAGCAGCTTGCCACGATAGCCTTCACAGAAGACTAGATATAAGATAAACTGATGTCAGCAACATAAGTGATATGACTGTGTGCTAACTTAAATTATAGTAAGCTTCCACAAGGCCTGAAGAACAAATTCAGTGAGGAAAAGCAGCACCAAGTATCATCATCAGCTGTAGCTAAGTATATGACTGAAAAAGTGATGACATGTTTGATTATTAGAGCAAAATGAAGATAAGTCTTGGATACGTTTGTGTCAATCATAGCAACAGATCTATGGCAGTCTTCTCACCCTCATTCTATTATTTACGTTTATATCTACTTTTCATATTATTTAGACTAAGCTTAGGCAGTAAACAACCAAAGATGTAAAGGCGATAATGATCAAATGCCTGTAGCACTAATTCTTTGTACTCTGTTTTATTATTGCATATTTAGATACTTCAATGACACTGCAACTATAGAAAGCTTTCATGAAACGACTGAGGTCTTCAAGTAACGAACAAACTCATTAGTTAACGGTAGCAGTCAACATGACTAATTAACTCTGTGTGCTTAGCTGAAGGAAACTTAAATTCTAGACCAGTAGTGAATCATTTCCATGAAGTGTTCTTCATGCTAAGCTCCTATTATTCTTGACCAATCGTGTTGGTTGAAATAGTACTCGATTGAAATAGACTTAAATATCCTCATTCCAATTCAAACAGTTTCCAACTTTTGGCGTGAGGCATGTGGAAACGCACAGATTGCCTGGTTAGGATCCATTAGATGTTAAGATTAGTTGTCCACAGACTTTTATGAATAATTTTACGGATTCTTCTACTTTTTATCATTCCTACGAAAGTTCATTAGATACCTTGTGACGTATGCCGAATAATTCACAACACAAACCCCAGTGAAGTCATTGGCGTGAATGTAGGGGGAAGACAACGCTTCCCCACTATCAATGATGGTCTTCTTATTTGTGGTGGACTGGATCATGCAACACAACATGAGTGGGGAGTGAAACGATGGACGTACTATAGACCAACAAAAAGATCCTAGAGTACCTAGATTTCGCAGATGTTTTATGACTCGTGCTGAACAATCTTAGAAATTTACAGCTAAAGCTAACAGGCTGACAGAGAAGGAAGCGAAAATAAGATTTCTGGTGGGAGTAGAAGTAACAGAAGTGACGGAGATACTCAATCAACAATAGCAGTCACAATGAAAAAGAGAAGTCTGAAAGGAGTCATTTCTTTCGCTTACTTACGCGGAATCATCCCAAATTAGGGAGGCACGGATGGGGATGTCATAGCTGATCATGATCGGATTAGAAAATCAAGACGGCCGTTTATTATTGCGAAATGAGTGTAGAGATCTGTAGCAGTTAATGGAAAGAAAAAAATCCGAATTCCCCACATCAATATTAAACCAGAACATCTATACGGTGTAAGGAACTGGTGCTCTCATCATCAAAACCGTTTCCATTACACCAATAGTTTCCTTCATTCGACACTGAAGATACGACCACCAACGAAGAATGGTAGCAAACAGGAAAAATCTGTGGAAGTACGCCAGCAAAAAAACCAGTTACGTAACAAATTCAGAATGAAACAGTTTGAATGTAAACTGAAGAGACACTCAAGTGACATTACACTGTAATGGTGTGATACAGACAATGTGCTCCAACTGAATATAATTCTCACATATTCCCACATTTCAATACTGCACTAGCAACAGAATACTATATATTTATTTGATCATTCTACTTGTAGCTAGAGTCAGAGTATTATTCTCATAGTTCAGTGCTGCATATATGTTTGAGCATCCTATTTCATGTCGTTTGAATTAAACCAAAACATACCTTTTCTTCCTTGTCGTGTCTTCTGCTATTACTACACAACAAGTCGATGAGCAAAACCGGAATGGCAGGAGACAAACAAAGAGTCCACGAATAAGATGAAGGAGTGCATATGAAAAGGAAGCTTGAGGAACCAGTTGAAAGTGATATCAAAGAAACGAGTGCCATGAACGTGTTACAAACGGAACCCAAGGTGAGGTGCATTATAAGTCAGCTGAAAATGTGAACGTTCATAAGACAGCCACATCTCTTGACTAACCAATATAATAATGGCTGTCCTTTTCCACCTACATTTGTCAGTCATATAGGCAATTAACATACTTATCGAATCTATACGTATGAATTGCTGATAATGGAACACCTAAGATTTAAAATGGAAATATCAGTGACTACCAAACAAATTTGAGACATATATTTCCTAGCTTACAATCGTTTTTATGATGACAATGAATTTGAAATTATTTTTCAGTTGTACGTAAATATGAGTAAATTAGTAATCTATCATTGAATATACTGACAGTACCTTATGATTTATTTATTATTTATTATCTAACAGAAATATACTTTTAACAAGCAAAAAAGTATTTGAAATACCGATATCATTTGCTCCACTTGAAATGCGAGAACATGAAGCCCTATGTACAGTCAGAATGTATAAAGCAAACTCTGCTGCACATGATTTAAATAAAACTGCCACTTCGATTTCGCCTATCCGATGGTTAGTTCCAATAAAAGTGAGTTTGCAAACCTGTATTCATCATTATATCAAATTTAGCTTATAACAAGTAGTACAATATATGGCATTTTCTCATTTACTGTTATTGAATGAAAATAAATGCTTTTGATTTTAAAATGAATATCAGTTTTTACAAGAGTAGAAAGTTGCAGAACACTGAGCCAACACTTCATTCCAGTTTCAGACTTCTAACTGCATACCAAGACCGCAAGGGGATTGGAGTACAAGACTGTCACTGTTTAGATAAAGTTCCAAAACCACCTAGCTCCTATCAATTTGAAAATTATTAATCTACATATAAAACTTTATTTGTTTGACAATGTACACAGTTATTCCGATGAAATCTTCAATATCAGACCATTTTGCTCAAATAATTTTGAACCTTTCATACACATTACAGTTATCTTACCAATTTTGTTAATATTAAGCGTCAAAAAAAAGCGACTTCACTCAAATTTTGATCAGCACAGTGTGAGACTGTGTGGATTAACTCTATAAACCCGAAAAAACACCGATTCTCAACAAATCGTTCCACCTAAATGTACAACGAATGTTGAGTTGCTGCCTAATAATGAAACATACAGACGGGTTGAGAAAATACCCATGGGATCCCTGCTAGACCATACATTTGAGAACATGCTTCTAGGAAAACTAGAAAATGGTCCGTTGAAAAATGAAATAGCGAATACAAAACCGTACAGTCATTGTATGTATGACACTTTTGTAGTACACGATGAAGATCCAGTTAGTGATTTGATTTTGGGTCACTTCAATAGCGCTAACGCAGAGGTTCATTTCGCCAAAGGAAGGAAAATACGATAGCACTTTTCACTTTATCGACGTCTCACTAACGAGGAGAGACGTATCCATTAAAAAACAGTATTTACGAAGCTAGAGGCAAAAACTCATTATGCACAATTCCTAATCTTCGTACCGATAAAACAATGAGTGTTTTGAATATATGCTTAGCATTTAGAAGGAGATCAATTCGCTTCAAAGATTGTGTACAGAAAGTACTCCAGATCGTCCGCGATATCCTACGCGAAAATGGATATTCAGAGAAGCCCTCATTTCCGAGTTTACAATTCAAAGGACATACTTCTACGGCGATTTTTTCCGAAAGTCGAACCAGAGCGATAAGGACTTTCTACTGTTCCAGTCCTTCAGTAGCCGTCCAATATTCATCTGTAAACTAAAAGATGAACCATTTAATCTTATCTCACTTCATGCATACATCGTTCGCCTATGTCTCGTACATATAGCTGAAGCTGCTGCAATAAGATCGACTCAATCGGGACTTTGTATTCACACAAACACCTTCAGGCTCTATTCCTACCATGGTCAAAATTGGACTAAAATATCCAACATGTTATGTCAGATGAGTGGCTCGGTAAACAACGAATTCCCTCTATACATTGCAGATATGATGTTCAATAATATTTTCCGTGAAGATATTGCAAACATACCTATACTCATCTTGGGACTTTTCCACCTGATTATTTTACTTAAAACACAAACTCGGTACAGAATAGACAACAAGAGATGCACCACACAACAAAATAAAGAGAATAGGCACAGAATGCATAAAAGAAGTCAACCATACAGAAAGAAAGCATATTTTTCAAGATCATTCCATGTTCACCACTTAATGGTACTTTAAGAAAGGGAGGAAAAAAGGAAATTGTAGGATATTCCTCACTGATTCTGATCCCGGGCGATATCGGATAACGTCCCGAGCGACTGATTCAAACAAGCTCTCGGTCCTCAAACAGAGTCGTGGTGTACCAACTTATGCGACCTAGCACAAATATCTTTCATCTCATGAAGTTACGAGTTATAGGCTCACCACCTCTCCCCTTTGTCTATTCAGTTCCAGGACCAGCAAACACAGACCAGTAGGGAAATCTCTGGAATGACATTCTTAGCACATGCCGAAGCCACTGAAATGGGTGTTTCCAGATGAAGATACCGTACTAATCACACGCTACTGGACTTAAAAATTACTCTCACGATTATGGCATCAAATAAAAGCAATTCTACGGAGACAGCGATGATCGGATACCCAAAGTCACTGAGCAAACTCAGCGCGAACAGGCCAGATTTCTCAAGCGTAGAGCAAGAATGCGCTCATCATAGCATTGTAAACCTGACCTTTGACAGCCAGGCTAACGTCGCGACGAGGTGGTTCAAGTTAGCCCATGCCACCCTAGCTTTCACTATTTGGCCAGAGATCTTGTCCGTCGCATTTTCGTCAACATTCATACAACTAACTTCGCATATTACTGAAGAGGCCAGTACCTCCTGATATGACTTCGTGATCGAATTTATCATAAGTATCTCAAAAACGTTCGAGAATTCTTTCGTAAATGAGCAACAATATAGTATTATTTACTCATATATATATATATATATATATATATACGCAGAATATTGCGTAAAAGTACGCAAGAAAACATTTGCAAGTGATTTAATACCAAATGGGTGAGTTATAGTAAACAGGTCGGGAATAATTCATAATAATGATATCACACAATACATAATTGCGTAACAGGTTCAATAATTTTCAATAGGGTATGACATTAGTGGTCATATTTTCCTGACAAAATTACTGAAGTAAAATTAGAGTTACGGCGAGTTGTCGTCTGAACTGATGACGACCAGTGGTGTCCGTCAGGGATGCCCATTATCTCCTTTTCTATTCAATTTCATCATAGATTTACTAATGGACTTAACCCTAAGTGACTTCAGCGACTCAGGGATTGACTTGCTACCAGGGAATAATCTCGTTGACTTAGAATATGCAGACGATATAGTCCTACTAGGCGAAGACGCTGACAAAATGCAGAGTCTTCTAAACACCTTGAGCCGCAATCTACGAATGTTTGGTATGCGATTCGCTCCCGCCAAATGCAAGGTGATGTTACAGGACTGGACTACATCGACGCCTAGTTTAAAAATAGGGAGTGAAGTGGTAGAGCACGTTGACCGCTTCACTTATTTGGGAAGTACCATCAGCCCCAACGGGCTGATCTCTGACGAAATCTCAGCACAAATACAGGAGCTCGTTCCGCATTTGCCAGTTTACGCCGTCTCTGGCGTAGACGAGATATTCGACTATTGACCAAAGGGCAAGTGTACTGCTCAGCAGTCCGCTCCGTCCTCCTTTATGGCTGAGAGTGAGACCTGGCCATTGAGAGTGGAAGACATGAAAAGATTAACTGTCTTTGATCATAGGTGCCTGCGTTCTATCTCTCGTGTGAAGTGGTATAATAAGGTGACCAATACTGAGGTTAGGCGTCGAGTGATAGGTAAGGCCGGGAAATCAATCGACGAAGTTGTGAAGTTACAAAGACTGAGATGGTTAGAACATGTGTTACGTATGCCTAGTCATCGCCTTCCTCGACGAGCAGCGTTGGCGGATATAGGGTCAGGCTGGAAAAAAGCTAGCGGCGGTCAAACAAAAACTTGGCACCAGTCAGTGAAATCCATAACAGTTAGTCTAAGCCACGTAGGAAGGTGTAGACTTCCAGTTTGGGGTCCTCGGGACGGTAAAAATCAATGGTTGGAAACAATTGGTGACATGGCTCAAAATCGCTCTCACTAGCTAGCGCAGATGCATCCACTCCTTGTGACTTATGATTTCCAATAAAACTGTTTTGTTCTTCGTTAATACTCTTTTGTTTGTCTCACACCTCTGCTTACTGTCTCTATTATGCATTTCTTCTCTTGCTTTGTGTGCTACAAGGAGGGAGTGTGGCGACTTGAACTGCCGCACATTTGTGCAAAGTTCTATGTGGAAAACAGACAGACAGACAGAGTTTCTATAAGTAATCACAAATGAAATATGTATTTCTGATTTCTTGTGATGAAAAACGCTTTCACCACAATCTTTTCTTCCATCAACTCTTTCTTAGGGTATTCCTGAAATGAAATCACTTACTTATCCATCAAGAGATACGCATGAATTCATTTCACCATATAGTTATAATTACAAGAACTCGCTGATAAAACCACTTGTTATCAGTGGAACTGTACGCTCAAAGTCATATTTTATAATCACTTTAAGATTATTGAATTCACTAGCACAAATGTTGGATCCAAGTTTATCATTTCGTGATCAACTGAAAGATATTGAAGTTTATTCGGTTACTTCACAAGAAGAAATAGTTAAGCTGAATGAACAAATGTTTAGTCAAACCACACCGACAATGATAACTGATCCACTATCCAATCATCATTCAACAACTTTATGGGATCAAATTCAAGTGGGTAGTTTAGAATGGACAATGAAGCCGATTGTAAAGAAAGTAGATGAATATTTAGCTCAATTAGTTGAGCTAGACAAAGCTTTAATGAGATCATTAAATATAAAATTAATTGGTGTCAAAAAACATGATGATTCAGAAATAACTGAAATTAATCTTGGCATGATATTCTCTCCAGCAATCTCATTCAAGTAAGTTGGCGAAACAAAAGTTTAATGTTAGTGAATAATACTCATTTTTGGACAAGAAAGTGATATTCACATTTCAAATGATTTATAGCTTATATGGGGATACACTAATCTTCCATTGCTTTTATGAAACAACCGTGTAACCTCAGTTTTCACTATCCTATATTTTGCTTTGAATTTTCTTCCTTGCCCAATTGCACTCCCTTTCCACATTGTAAAACTTTCATGACCAAACAATTTAATGCTTATTTTGTAAGAATAGAACTCAGAGAATCCTAACCACTGTGCCACTGACGCAGTCATAGTGCTTTAACTCTAAAACTGAAACTTCCTCTGAAGCATGTATATAATTTAGTAAATAAGGCTTTGACGTATCACCTCATTTGCTTAATTCATTTTTTACTAGTCAATACTGAGGAGGAAACCTTTCTCTTCTATGAACAGTATACCATCCTAAGTAATAAAACTCACCGTACAATAAATAACCAGCTGTCACACACGTAGGATTTTGATAATCGGACATAACAAAGTTGAGCTTAGCATATCATTTACTATAGAACACAAACAATTGGACGAAGGTAAACTGTTATTAGAATAAACAACACAAGTGTAATTGATGAGAAATAATCAGTACGACCTAAATATTATGAAACACCTGGAATGACATCATTATGGATACGCAAATACTAGCACTCAATACTGTCGATAAACCCAGTTAGATTGCCCAGAAATAACTTCATTGTTTAGGTGAAAGCGTCATTGTTTTCTATTCGATTCAAAGTACACTTCGAATGTATTAACACTGTTTTAAATCACAATAATGAAGTTTTTACTAAGAAACTAGAAACAATTATGACAAGTACAATTTTAACTTTTTTTTCTTTCCTTCACGTTCCCAGTGGAACATAGGGCTGTAAGCCAGTGGCTTGAAGTTTTTGTAGCAGTGTTTATGTTACAGGATGGGGTTGCTAGCCTCATGCCCAAGCTTTCCTCTTTACCAGCATTATTTCTAGCTTAGCGGGTTGGAGTGCATCGCCCGGGAATCGAACCCCCGACCATTGCATGGTCAGCGAGCGTCCTAACCACTGTGCCACCGACGCTACAATTTTAACTATAATTTATCATTTTAATAAACTTGAACTTAATAAATTCATAAAAGGTGTATCAATTCTTGTTAACTGTAGATGCAGTGCAGATTTAATGGTACGATCGTGTCTTGGTGCAATATGGAGATTCGGATTGCTATTTAGGTCAAATGATCCACCAGTAGATGACGTAATTTATTTTCCACACAATGGAATCGGGCGTTCAGTTAAAGTTCAGTTGGCGTTAAGTAGCCAAACCAAGTAAGTAAATTTTTAAGATGAAATAACACTGATTCAGTATAAATACTACAATATCATTTTTTCCAAGCTTGATAACAAAACAGCATTACATTTAATAAGCTTGATAATACAACAATGGATCCTGTTTCAATGTAAGATGTTAATAGTCGGTCAGCAGGATTTATGCCTTGCATGTAAGTCTCGTGCTCATTTAAGACGTAGGTGAGTGAGTGGGAAGTAGTCTAATGTATGGTACTTTTACTGCCTAATACGCAACTTTTCAAGTCCAACACCATGAAAAACTAGTTTAAAAACTTCATAGGAGAGAAAATTACGCGCTAATCCCATTTATAGAAATTGTATTAATCTTATTCACCATCATTCCACTCTGTTCTCTAATTTCTTTCTTAACTGGCTCCACGAACGCCTACAAGGCCATGTAATCATCAGACTCAGACATTGTAACTTCCCGTTCCGGTTACACACAGACCTACCTGCCTGCAGTATGTCCAGTCCATATCCACTATCCGCAACATATTTATTGAACATTTCATGAATTAGTTAGTTAGCTAAGACAGTTTCCAGTTCATTCCTTCTTTTCGGCCGATTATTTCATCTTCAATGTCGAAAGAGGGCATCAACTGTAGGAAGTCTGTTGGAAACGCTTTTCGTGATGACTGCACTAAGGTCTCTAATAAATATAGAAGCACTGACTTAAGTGTAGAAAATTCAAATCTTGAGGTCGAAATTTCTGCGGTCGTCTTACTTTTTTGATCCTCGATGGCCTGTGCTTCCTGGTTCGTGCCGTCTGTAATTGAAACAATGTTGCCTATCCAGGTGAGTGGAAGAAAGAAGTTCCTTCAGATTTATCACATTGATGGTGCCTGTTCTTGTAAGTAGGGTATAATCATCATGACTATGTTCTCTATGTTCACTTGAATTCCTGTCTGCGTTGTCACTGATGCCAACCAGTTCGTTTTCTCTTGAAAATTTTTGACTTCATGAGACACGCAACACATAATATCCAAGATAAACTTCAGGTTGATCCTACTTTTTACTCTCCATAGATTCTGATGCATCGTGGATAATGGACAACCTCGTTTCAAGATGGTTACTTCATTTGATTGTAATCAAAACAATTTACTCCAGTTCCCTCAATTTCAACTAATTTTCACCGATTAGACTACACCCAAGCTAAGACTAATACGCTATTAATTATTGAAATCGCATTTCATTGTTAACCCTGTTTTCTTCGAATTTCCCACACACAGATAACTGGATATATGCGTATAATCCTCAAAAGCTAGACTACATGTTGCTTACTTAACAATAAATATATTTTGAATTTTAGTGAGCCAATGAAATTCATCGCACGTTTATATCCAGAAAATCAAACCGAATATACAGTGGAGCCAATGCAGGGAGAATTACCGCCAACAAAAAGTATTAAGAACACGAGCGCTGGAATCGACTCAACATTGACGATTACCTTCAAACCCAATTCCTACGGGAAACCAATAAAAGCTAGGCTACTCATACAGGTGAGACAATAATTTCATCCTAATAATGAGTGTATACGAATGCAAAAACTACCATTACGGAGACAATGTTTACCTACACAATATAACTAACACAAGTCGCTCATACCTCTAAATATAGCTAGAAAAGAAAAAAACTATCAACAGAATTAACAAATGCTTACTTATATTTCTGATAAGAGAGATTAAAACACGTTAACGTAATATTTTTAAGACGAATGATGTACGAACAAAGGAACTAAAACCATCACATAATAAATCCAAAACAAACTACTACCAAAAGATAGACAGTCATGGGAAATTCTAACAGTTCCATCACATTGCTACACTTAAGTGGAGCAATCAAAGAAACGAATTGTGAGATATATTTTCACAGTTTGAAGGGTACAACATCATAGAAAATGCAACTAGAAATTAGGAAGGAGGAAGAACTTAAAATAAAATTACACGTTTAAAAATGGAATTTTCGCTAAGAAGAGACACATACATATAAAATAAGAACACCCAGAAAACAAGGAAACCGTGGGAAGGCTAAAATAACAAAGGAGTTACAACGGAATTCCTCTTACAACAATGAACTCAAACCTTTCTGAAAAGAAACAAAAGAGCGATATATATATATATATATCTTCAGGGCAGAAAAAACGCGATATTCCGGTCAGTTAACAAAGCAGAAAAAAAACCCATAGCATTTACAACACACAAACAACACAGACGACAGAATACAAAAACAAGCATTGAGAAAATAACATATCAAAAAAAAATACTGAAATAAAAACACAGGAAAAAGAAAGGATACATGCAAAAGAAAGCAAACAAGAAAAAAACCAGAGAAAAAAAATTCAATAAAAACTCCTCAGCAAAAAAAGATAGAAAATATTATCCCATCCCAGACTAACACGTAAATCAATCGCTCACATGACAAAAGTCTATCGTCTAGTTAGTCCGCACAGACAACCCTTTCCTAACACTGAAATGCGACACACGCCTAGACACAACATATCTCATCGAAAAAAAAACCACTACTCACACAATATCAGTCACAGTCTTAGTGACCATACAATAGCCCAACACACAACTCACACTCCAATCACTTCTCAGACAAATCCATTCCGAGCACGATAAACCCCTACACGTTTAGTCGACCGAATTCAACGACGATCCAATTGACCTGACGACGGCTGTTTCTATACCCTTCACCTTACTGTCTCTTACACCCTACAATCTTTATTCACATATAGGCAAACTAAACTGTCACAAAGTCAACACTAACATGGATAGCCTCGACTATTAGCCCCATAAACAACAACAACAACAATTTAAAACTGCTTTCGTTCCAAATAATATCTATATTTCACATTGCTTTATACATAGTCCGACTAAACATTGTTTATCACAAGCATCATCATACTTTTTCCTCCTTTATACTCCTCCTCCACACAGACTGACAGAATGGAGTGGCACTATCAACTCGTAGGAACCATTCCAACTTACAAGGCGCCAAACGGAAAGCCCCATCCGTCCACATACACCCTCAGCGTCACGAGAACAACAACTCCAAAATAACATGTTCCAACTCAACTAGGAAACAATGCAAAACAAAACTCAATAAATATTTAGCAACAAGACTTGTCGTTCTGACCATAGCATTGAAATGTAGCTAAACTACTAACAACACAAAACAGTGGGAATTCCTATCAGACTAATAGTACATATCAATCAAACTTCATATGACACGCAATCAGTTCATCATAAATGGCATTTCGAATATCCATGCTTACCCAGAGTGTGCACTGGTGACGTCTGAAACAAAAACAGGCAGAAAAACCAATTTAGACAAGAAGTCAGTGTGAAACACGAATCACTAGCTCATAAGAGGTGTCATACACTCATCACGTAGCACATACTCAATAAGACAAAAACAATAAAAACTACAATTTCTCCTGATAGAAAACTAACCTCTTCATAGCTCCATTTTCAGCCACAGTCACACAAAACTCCTCGTCAGCACACAAAGTCAACTCCGGGAATTCAGTGTCAACAGTCTAGGCAAATCAAAATAATGTCACCAATATATCACTGACTTACCACACAAATGCACCAAATTTGTCACCACCTCACCACAAGTATTTCGGAAAATTTGACATCATTTACTTGTCGACTGGAAAAAGCCAGGCTCAAACGACAACCAAAATCAAGCGCTGCTCACCTAGTCACACGCCTTCACCTTTTCTCCTCATACAGCCATTATCACCACTGACTAGTAATCACATTCAAAAAAGACCAAGAGAATCTCCCCGACTGACTAGCTGAAACACCAGCGAACCACCACCACAAGTCGTCAGATCAATCACTCGACTTCTAACAGGTATCCGGGATAACCACATCCCGTCCACTTACACTCTCCGAGTCACACAAAGACTATGCGAGAGAGAAAATCAGCACCCACCGAAATAACCCACTGAACTCTCACACTCCACACACGCACAAATAACCTCCCTGACCCTCATCCATCAAGACACTTAGTCCCACACACCCTCACTCTCCAGATCATACTACAAGCCAACACACTACTTATAAATCCTCACAACACGAAATTCGCTCACATTATCCCATCTCAGACTAACACGTAAATCAATCCCTCACATGACAAAAGTCTATCGTCTAGTTAGTCCGCACAGACAACCCTTTCCTAACACTGAAATGCGACACACGCCTAGACACAACATATCTCATCGAAAAAAAACCACTACTCACACAATATCAGTCACAGTCTTAGTGACCATACAATAGCCCAACACACAACTCACACTCCAATCACTTCTCAGACAAATCCATTCCGAGCGCGATAAACCCCCTACACGTTTAGTCAACCGAATTCAACGACGATCCAATTGACCTGACGACGGCTGTTTCTATACCCTTCACCTTACTGTCTCTTACACCCTACAATCTTTATTCACATATAGGCAAACTAAACTGTCACAAAGTCAACACTAACATGGATAGCCTCGACTATTAGCCCCATAAACAACAACAACAACAATTTAAAACTGCTTTCGTTCCAAATAATATCTATATTTCACATTGCTTTATACATAGTCCGACTAAACATTGTTTATCACAAGCATCATCATACTTTTTCCTCCTTTATGCTCCTCCTCCACACAGACTGACAGAATGGAGTGGCACTATCAACTCGTAGGAACCATTCCAACTTACAAGGCGCCAAACGGAAAGCCCCATCCGTCCACATACACCCTCAGCGTCACGAGAACAACAACTCCAAAATAACATGTTCCAACTCAACTAGGAAACAATGCAAAACAAAACTCAATAAATATTTAGCAACAAGACTTGTCGTTCTGACCATAGCATTGAAATGTAGCTAAACTACTAACAACACAAAACAGTGGGAATTCCTATCAGACTAATAGTACATATCAATCAAACTTCATATGACACGCAATCAGTTCATCATAAATGGCATTTCGAATATCCATGCTTACCCAGAGTGTGCACTGGTGACGTCTGAAACAAAAACAGGCAGAAAAACCAATTTAGACAAGAAGTCAGTGTGAAACACGAATCACTAGCTCATAAGAGGTGTCATACACTCATCACGTAGCACATACTCAATAAGACAAAAACAATAAAAACTACAATTTCTCCTGATAGAAAACTAACCTCTTCATAGCTCCATTTTCAGCCACAGTCACACAAAACTCCTCGTCAGCACACAAAGTCAACTCCGGGAATTCAGTGTCAACAGTCTAGGCAAATCAAAATAATGTCACCAATATATCACTGACTTACCACACAAATGCACCAAATTTGTCACCACCTCACCACAAGTATTTCGGAAAATTTGACATCATTTACTTGTCGACTGGAAAAAGCCAGGCTCAAACGACAACCAAAATCAAGCGCTGCTCACCTAGTCACACGCCTTCACCTTTTCTCCTCATACAGCCATTATCACCACTGACTAGTAATCACATTCAAAAAAGACCAAGAGAATCTCCCCGACTGACTAGCTGAAACACCAGCGAACCACCACCACAAGTCGTCAGATCAATCACTCGACTTCTAACAGGTATCCGGGATAACCACATCCCGTCCACTTACACTCTCCGAGTCACACAAAGACTATGCGAGAGAGAAAATCAGCACCCACCGAAATAACCCACTGAACTCTCACACTCCACACACGCACAAATAACCTCCCTGACCCTCATCCATCAAGACACTTAGTCCCACACACCCTCACTCTCCAGATCATACTACAAGCCAACACACTACTTATAAATCCTCACAACACGAAATTCGCTCACATTATCCCATCTCAGACTAACACGTAAATCAATCCCTCACATGACAAAAGTCTATCGTCTAGTTAGTCCGCACAGACAACCCTTTCCTAACACTGAAATGCGACACACGCCTAGACACAACATATCTCATCGAAAAAAAACCACTACTCACACAATATCAGTCACAGTCTTAGTGACCATACAATAACCCAACACACAACTCACGCTCCAATCACTTCTCAGACAAATCCATTCCGAGCACGATAAACCCCCTACACGTTTAGTCGACCGAATTCAACGACGATCCAATTGAACTGACAACGGCTGTTTCTATACCCTTCACCTTACTGTCTCTTACACCCTACAATCTTTATTCACATATAGGCAAACTAAACTGTCACAAAGTCAACACTAACATGGATAGCCTCGACTATTAGCCCCATAAACAACAACAACAACAATTTAAAACTGCTTTCGTTCCAAATAATATCTATATTTCACATTGCTTTATACATAGTCCGACTAAACATTGTTTATCACAAGCATCATCATACTTTTTCCTCCTTTATGCTCCTCCTCCACACAGACTGACAGAATGGAGTGGCACTATCAACTCGTAGGAACCATTCCAACTTACAAGGCGCCAAACGGAAAGCCCCATCCGTCCACATACACCCTCAGCGTCACGAGAACAACAACTCC